TGCCAAGGCAACGAACGAGAAACCGGAAAGGACATACTTGGATTCCAAACCGATACCGCTAAATGCCCAGCTGTATTCCTTGTAGAGGAAAGCCGAAAATCCTACGATAAAGCATTTCGGAAAGAAACTACCGATCCACTAGGGGAACAACAGCTAAAACCCTCAGACATCAAATAGATTGGTCTGATAGTTTCCCGCATGGAAACTACTAATGGATTCCATCTGACTACATGTCTCAAACAAACCTGAAAATATCTGCAGAAACTTTCCTCAACAAAAAAATAGATCCAAAACATAAAATATAAGATGTAAGGATAACAATATTTACCCATGAAACCAATTTGGCAAAACAATTTCAATGATGTTGAAGGAATCTCTCGTCTCACGTCCGCTCTCATCGGCATGCTCGACTCATCGATCTGTGAAAGAAGAGTGTGCCATATTCCGATGTAAATAAACTACGATTCACACCTCCTGTTTACAGAGTTCAGTTTTACGACCTACGATCCTTTACGATGCCTTTGTGAAACACACGTAACGGGAACGTAGAACCACACGTAAACGGATCGTAAAATGATACGATGACCGTAAGTTAAGAAGGCTTCTGCCCTTTCCTCGATCTTGATATCTATATCATTAACGGAAAGCTTAATACTAAAATATATTATGAAAGAGATGATTTTTCATTTCCTATCGTTAATTATCCATTTTTAGATGGTGACGTTCCCTTGTCACCATCTTACGGTGTTTATATATCTCAACTTGTACGATTCGCTCGTGTATGTAACAATCTTTAAGATTTTAACGAGAGAAATTTATGTATTACTGAAAAATTATTACACCAGGGTTTTTGATATCACAAACTAGTCAAAACATTTACTAAATTTTATCATCGGTATAAGGACATCATTCGTAAATATAGCTCAACATGCAGACTTCTTATACGTTCAGGTATTTCACATCCAATTTTTTATGGAAATATTCTTTATAAAGCACAAAAATGTCAGTATTCACCTCTGAAGCTAACAAAACCTTTAAATAGACTTATTAAGAAGGGATATAGTTACGATACTGTTGTCAGGTCATTAAAGATTGCATATTTTGGCGTTAATATTGATTCACTTATAGGGTCTTTGCATCGGCACTAAACACATTTATTTAAAAACCAGTTGTTGGCATGACACGAGTTATGTTCTTCTCATATATGTTATGATGGTATGATACTAAACCCCTAACGGGAAGGATTGTGCCTGATATTCATATGATGAAGACATAATCTTTCAATCAGTTTAATTGAAGTCTGGAGCTGGCATGTCAGTTAACTGCTAGTAGTCTGTTGTTATTTATGTATTATTGTCATTTTTTTTATTTTCTTTGGTTACATCTTCTGACATCAGACTCGGACTTCTCTTGAACTGAATTTTAAAGTGCGTATTGTTATGCGTTTACTTTTTTACATTGGCTAGAGGTGTGGGGGAGGGTTGGGATCTCATAAACATGTTTGACCCCGCCGCATTTTTGCGCCTGTCCCAAGTCAGGAGCCTCTGGCCTTTGTTAGTCTTGTGTTGTTTTTAATTTTAGTTTCTTGTGTACAATTTGGAGTTTGGTGTGGCGTTCATTGTCACTGGACTGGTGTATATATTTGTTTGGGGGCCGGCTGGGGGACGCCTCCGGGTGCGGGAAATTCTCGCTGCATTGAAGACCTGTTGGTGACCTTCTGCTGTTGTCTGTTCTATGATCGGGTTGTTGTCTCTTTGACACATTCCCCATTTCCATTCTCAATTTTATTTGTGAAACGGTGGCCAGAATACTACATTGATAATACTGGCGAATCCATATTTCCGTAAAGAGATTTTTAAATGGATTTAAATTAATTATCTCATTCCTCAGAGAGTGTGGTGATGCTGGTTTTGGGACAGTAGTGTCTTCCCAACTTTAAAAGGTTGTTACTTATGCTGTTCTCTAGATAGCAGTGTGTTCCCAACTTTAAAAGGGTGGAGAGAGGCGAAAGATACCAAAGGGACATTCAAACTCATATATCAAAAATAAACTGTCAACGCCATGGCTAAAAAAGAAAAAGACCCACAGACAAACAGACAAACAGACACAAAACACAACATAGAAAACTAAAGACTGAGCAACACGAATCCCACCAAAATCTGGGGATGATCTCAGGTGCTCCGGAAGGTTAAGCGGATCCTGCTCCACATGTGGCACCCATCATGTTGCTCATGTAAGTACAAACCCAGTAATGAGTCTAATTCGGTATGTCATATTCGGGGAAAGGGGGGTGGGAATGTAGGTACGACAATTGGAACATATCCGCTATCATCTTTGAAACGGATGTTCCATAACGGTCAACCAACTCGTGATGGCGTCCGTAAAATTTACGAAGGGATGACTTCAACTTCACCGCTTGGAACTCTTGGTTTAATAGCTTCCTTGTGAGCAGCAACCCTCTGTCAAGGAAATCATGATAGGAAATACAAGCCCTGGAATATCGTATCAACTGGGAGATATATATACTCCGTATGCAGGCGCTGCTGGAATGTTGCGACAAAGAAATTGAAAGTTCATAATTGGGAAGCTGAAATCATCCCTTTTGTCGTAAAGTTTTGTTTTCAACCGGCCCTCATTGTCAATTTCAAGATGTAAGTCAAGATATGATGCTGACTTAACTGTATCTGTTGTATCCTTTATCTCAAGTTCGATGGGATAGATGCGTTCAACATAGTCACCGAATTTTGAGTTATTTATTGAGAGAACATCATCTATATAGCGGAAAGTAAAGTTAAAGGGTACTGCTAACTTCTTTTCTTTCTTCCTAAGAAGTTCTTGTATGAAGTCAGCCTCATATGAATAAAGAAACAAGTCGGCAAGAAGAGGAGCACAGTTGGTTTCCATAGGAATGCCGATTGTTTGATGAAAAACACGTCCTACAAACGTAACAAATATGTTGTCAATCAAGAAATCAAGCATCTTGATAATGTCAGTTTCAGAGAATTTTTTGTTTGAATCAAAGTGAATTTGTTTGTTTGAATCAGAGTGATTGTTTTTCAAAGTACGATTTATCCCTCCCTAAGACAAGATACTTGTATCTACGTTGGCCATTCTGTTTTATGAAACAAAGCAGGACCAACTCTTTCAATTTGTCTTTAAGTTTGAAATGGGGAATACTTGTGTAAAGTGTAGAAAAGTCAAATGTTTTAATACTTGGTGGTGATGCTTTTCTCCGGAAAGCAGTTTGTTCTCAACTCTAAAAGATTATTTGTGATGCTATTCTCTGGGAGGAAGTTGGTTCTAATCTCTAAAAGACTATCAACGATGCTGTTCTCTGGACAGCAGTTTGTTCTCAACTCATAAATGTTGGTGGTGATGCTGTCCCTTATAAAGCAGTTTGTTATGAACTCTTTAAAGGTTGGTGGGGGAAACTGTTTTCTGGAAATCAGTTTGTTCTCAATTCTTAAAGGTTGGAGGTGATACCGTTTCACAGCTGACAACGGATATGTTCCAATTGTCGTAACTACAATCTCGTCCCCTTTTCCCCGAATGTAACCTACCGAATTAGGCTTATCACCGGGTTTGTACTAACATGTGCAACACGACGGGTGCCACATGTGGAGCAGGGTCTGCTTACCCTTCCGGAGCATCTGAAATCACTCCCAATTTTTGGTGGGGTTCGTGTTGCACAGTCTTTGGTTTTCGATGTTGTGTTTTGTGTACTGTTGTTTGTCTGTTGTCAGTTTATTTTCGACATATGAGTTTGAATGTCCCTTTGGTATCATTCGCCTCTCTTTTGAGACAGGAAAGCAGGGGTGAACACGCACGTTTGGTAAAAATAACGAAACAGGATAGTATTTGCATAAGTAGGTACTGGTCAGTATGGTAAAAACGTGTTAGTAAGCAATAAAAATTACATTTCTTCTACCTATAACATATTATTATTATGCAAGTAATGTCTCATGTTCTCATTGTTTTCTATTATATTACTGACATTTGATTTTTTTTCAATAGGTACTGGTGTTACAACATACAGTCTGCATCCGGTGTCTCATTGTCTCACGGTTTTCTATTATTTTACCGACATATTATTTTTTCACTAGGTTCTGGTGTTACAACATACAGTTTACATCCGGTGTCTCATTGTCTCACGGTTTTCTATTATTTTACCGACATATTATTTTTTCACTAGGTTCTGGTGTTACAACATACAGTCTGCATCCGGTGTCTCATTGTCTCACGGTTTTCTATTATTTTACCGACATATTATTTTTTCACTAGTTCTGGTGTTACAACATACAGTCTGCATCCGGTGTCTCATTATCTCACTGGTTTTCTATTATTTTACCGACATATTATTTTTTTCACTAGGTTCTGGTGTTACAACATACAGTCTGCATCCGGTGTCTCATTGTCTCACTGGTTTTCTATTATTTTACTTTTTCACTAGGTTCTGGTGTTACAACATACAGTTTACATCCGGTGTCTCATTGTCTCACGGTTTTCTATTATTTTACCGACATATTATTTTTTCACTAGGTTCTGGTGTTACAACATACAGTTTACATCCGGTGTCTCATTGTCTCACGGTTTTCTATTATTTTACCGACATATTATTTTTTAACTAGGTTCTTGTGTTACAACATACAGTTTACATCCGGTGTCTCATTGTCTCACGGTTTTCTATTATTTTAGCGACATATTATTTTTTCACTAGGTTCTGGTGTTACAACATACAGTCTGCATCCGGTGTCTCATTGTCTCACGGTTTTCTATTATTTTACCGACATATTATTTTTTTCACTAGGTTCTGGTGTTACAACATACAGTTTACATCCGGTGTCTCATTGTCCGGTGTCTCATTGTCTCACGGTTTTCTATTATTTTACCGACATATTATTTTTTCACTAGGTTCTGGTGTTACAACATACAGTCTGCATCCGGTGTCTCATTGTCTCACGGTTTTCTATTATTTTACCGACATATTATTTTTTCACTAGGTTCTGGTGTTACAACATACAGTTTACATCCGGGTGTGGTACGAACAAATATATCGAAATATGTACGACAACAACGAGTTTTTTCTCGACCTCTAATTGACCTTTATTTGGTTCTTCCCCTTTTTAAAGACAGTGAGCAAGGTACATCAACGATTATATACTGTGCAGTTGACGAATCCTTGACGAAAGAGTCGGGCAATTATTATAGGTAAGATGCCACTATTTTCCTTCACCTTGCGGTATAAAGGATAAAAATAATTGATATAGTACACTATTTTTTAACTTATTTGAAGTATAACATTGTCATTGTTTAAACCATGGCATATCTATACTGCATATAGATTATTTCGGATTGATAAAAGGAGATGTAGGGTATACGACAATGAGACAGCATCCGAAAGAAAAAATAACCAACAGGCGTTTAGAGGTTACCATAGGGTTTTCAACAATAGACAGGTGTGTATCGATCTCTATATCGTTTCGAGTGTATAAAAGTTGAACCTTCAAATCTACTGAACATATGTCGCATCGGAAATATGAAGTATTGACATAAAAGTTAAGATGAATTTGCTCCGTTTTCCTTTTTCAGGGAATGTTCAGAAACAATACCAGGAAAACAAGCATTAGATGACGGAGTCTCAAAAAAATTATGGGAATTATCAGAAAAGATGGTTGGCCTAACATGATTAGCAGAAGTATTGATTTTAACCTACTTCAGATGGACCTCTCCATATTCAACATGACTATTGACCTAATACAATATAAACAATATTCTAAATATACAATTATGTATAATATAACAACAGTATATTCGGTGTATTTGATACGCCTGAACATTATCCTTACACAAAGATTTTTTTCAAATGAAATGGCCTTTTATAGCTAACTATTTGTGGTATGGGTTTCGCTCATTGTTGAAGGCCTTACGGTGACTTATAGCTGTTAACTTCTATGTCAATTGGTCTCTGGTGGAGAGTTGTCTCATTTTCAATCATACCACATCTTCTTATTTTCATATTGTTGGAGGCTGTCGTTCAGACTAAATTATATTCATAAATAGCACAGTACTACAAGTATTTAGGTTTTAACCCCTGTCAGTCATTTGAAGTAATTTAAGTTTTGTGACATTAAAATTGGTATTTCTTTACAAACACGGTTTGATAATGCCAAAGTAAAAATTAACGTCAATTTGAACATGTTCGGTGTGAGCCAAGGCTCCGTGTTGAAGGCCGTACTTTGACCTACAATAGTTTACTTTTACAAATTGTGACTTGGATGGAGAGTTGTCTCATTGCCACTCATCTCACATCTTCTTATATCTATATATCCTATAAGACTCTATTTTTATTAAATATGTACTTTTCAAATGATAATTTATTGTTCTTGCTATGACATATTTTCATTTGAAAGTTTTATTGCATTTTACCCGGTATTTGTAAAATAAGTAAAAGGACAAACTAGATAAACTGCTGAGTGGCGAAATCTGCCGTGAATAACAATGAGTTATATTAGCAGCTACATGTAATATAATGACGTCCCTTTAGTACAAGTCCATATTTAATCATGCAGAATGTGATTTATGGGTGGAAAGACTACATATGAGATTTGTTATATTATTTAAGATAAAAAAAGGATGTTGAAATTGATATATAATTTTTCATATGGACCCTTACCAGGTGATTTATAAATTCTTTAGAATGCATTATAAAACTCGTTTTAAGGGAAAAAACTCCAATAATATCCTATAAAATATATTGTAAAATGTATGTTAATTATATGTCTTTGTAAGGCAGAAAGTACCGATTATAAGGTTATCTGCATATTGATATTGTATAATATCAGCTGTTACTCACATTATGAAGCTTTTTGTCGAGTGAGTGCCGCAAACGAGTTCAAAAAGGCTCCATACTGTTTCGAGCAGCTGATATTTTACAATATCCATATGCAGACAACCTGATAATCGGTACTTAATTATTATTATTATTATTATTATTATTATTATTATTATTATTATTATTTTTATTATTATTACGTAGAAAACTACATTTACTCTTCTAAGTTGATTACTTTACGTCATACTGGTTCTTTTCAAAACAATTATGTGGTCAGCTTATGGACTGATGACTATCATTTCAAGCGCCAAATATCAATGACCAAATGTTTCAACTTAGGACATCAAAATGCATGTCTTTATGTGGTCTCAGGATGGTTATAAATGTTTTTCCATTAAATGTTTTTCAAAGCGTCACTGATTTTAATCAAACAGTATACAATAAAACCACCTAATTGGTTTCAATTAGTGACGCTTATTAATGAAGATAATCTAATCTAATCTAATCTAACTTATCTTTAAACCCCCTTTGTAGAGGAACAATATTTTCATATGTAGAACAGGTGCTTTCTTTATATACAGTGCTGCTTCTCCTTCCACCATTGGGCATCTAACCATATTTACATGCTCAGCTCAAGTGCTCTCTATATACAGTGCTGTTGCTCCCTCCACCATCCGACATCTGATGTGCGCATATTTACAGTGACGTCCTACCCCCACACAATTTGCATAAATTCCTTTATTTTACAGTTAAATTCACTTGATTCCAGAAATTTGTGTGGTTCCCCCAACCACGCCATTATCGATGTTGAGATAACGGAATCGCTTGTCTTATCGTCACCTCACACTAGTTTTATTACTGTCCACATACCATCTTGTAACGGGCTATAGCAGTTGATATAGCAGGCGTCGAGTAAGGCGTTCTATTTGTACTACACTGACTGGAGAAAGTTTCTTTGCTTTCGCTATCGGCGTTAAGTCCAGAGTATGTTGTAGTTTTTCGTTCGTTGATAGTTCATCAAATTGAATTCCCATTGCGTTCAGCGTTGTAGTTATTTCTTGAAGTATGGCGTTCCTCACTATTCTCAAGCTTTCACATTTCAAAATAAAGTGTTCTATATTTTCTTCTTCCTTTGCGATTGTAAATCATTCTTTTTGAATGCTTATAATGTCATCCAAGCCAACATAAGTATTCACTAGTCATTAGTAGTTTCCGTAAGTTCTTATTTAATGCATTTCATCGGAGACTGAACTGTAACAATTGATATGTATTTTATCAACCAATTAAAATGTTAAAAGTAATAATGTCGGGGCTTTAATATTTTTAAATGATGAATGATCATGAAATTCCGTCCAGGAAAACAGATTTTCGTCGTTTAAAAACTATACAACTTGTGAAATACAAATTTAATCAAGCTTTTAGTTTGTCTTGTTTGAAATAATAGTATTCCTTAGCATTGCTATTACCATTGATATCAAGAGTTCATGAAGTCATTGCTTTTATCGTGTAAATGAGATCTGAATTGGGCGGAATATTTAATCAAAGTGAGATATATGGGTAGGAGGTACTTGGTAAAAGGATTGTCATACTTCCCGTGTTAATGCATTTTATTTTGTTTTTTTTATTGTAAGTAACTGAACACCTAAAAACGTATTCTTGCAATTGCACAAGATTGTGTCTTCCTGCACTCCTTATAACTCTGCTTCTTTTTCTTCAGTACAGCCATTGATATTAAAGTGTACAACTGCACGATAAGTAGCTTTCATTAACTGCGAGCATTCTTTGTTACGTTATTGTTTATTATTGTTATGCTTCTACTTGTGTTCTGTTATCTGTTCAAATTATTATTGAGTATAGAGTTTTCCCTGTACTGATTTTTTTAACGTGTTCTATATAGTTTTACCACTGATCTAGATTAATTGGTAGTGGCTGAGATCTCAACCACTATGTTTTAATGGACAAACTAAACTAAAAATTTGGGGTGGTTTACATTCAATGTAACAATTATTACTCCTTTTCTCACATAATTCCCTGGATAAACAGCACAAAATCAAGAGACATTATGCAGCACATAGATTATTTTGCATTTATTTACGTCATTAACAATCAAACACAAAAATACAAATGTTTTAAACAAAGTAGAAGCACATTATATTGTCAAAAGCTTTACATTTCCTGTAATGTTGCACTGTGTGGTGTTCTGTAGAACTGTTGAATGTAACCAGGATAAGCAAAAGATGACATTCCACGCATATACGGCGATAACATAGGGAATGTTGATAATGACTACTGACTAATGTTCTCATTGGATTCCATTGTTGTTAGTATTCGAGAACCAGGTTTACCTACACCAACGAACTGTGACAACTCTCTCGGACCGTTGTAGCTAGTACTCATGATGTGACGCTTTTCTTTCATTCGTCGATTCTGGAACCACCATTTAATTTTATGTTGACTGAGTTTGAGTTTCTTGGCGAGCTTTGGACGATCTTCAATCTGGAGGTATTTACTGTTACTGTAGTAACGCTCTAATTCCATGAGTTGTGAGTTTGTGAAAATTGTTCTAGGTCTCTTCGATGGTTGATCTGACTTGGCTGAGTCGTCTGAGCAGGAACCAGGTGAAGTACAATCTCTTGGTGTGAAGGCTGTACAGTGGAAACGGTTGTCATCAGAATGTAATAAATCGTCCAATCGATTCCTCTGGTATTGAGAACATTGAGTTGAATAGGTGAGTGGAAGCTTCATTTCTGCTGTACATGATTGGCTGCTGTTTGGTAGATATATGTCATGGATATGGTTGACAACTGCATCAGTGCGGACAGGATCCAGATCCCTGCTGCTCTTTGACAGTTCTTCGATGCTGAAGGACATCTTGATTGGTGCGTTCTGTTGATAAGCCATTTGATACAGTATATCAGTAGTTTATTGTTTGAAGACACTTTGACAATGAGCTACACTTGTCATTTTGCCTGTTTTATACTCTCCTAAATTGATTACTCGGAACGAGTCATAACGGTTCTTATCAAAGCAATGAGTGGTTAACAGAAACCAACACAAGCCTTAATAATTACTACCTATTTAATATAGGTAAGCTGTGATTAATTTTAATCAGTCACGATAATTAATTAAGACAACAATTTAACGATTTTAAATCATATTGTTTGAAAACACGATTATGTCATCCAAGCCAACATTGTGAGGTAGTCAGTTGTCACTTTTTGTAAAAACAGCTGTGCTGATACTAAGTAGTTGAAATAAAAGGCGGCAAAATGAATTTTGTTTTAACAGGAAAACTAGAGGTTCTAAGGAGCCTGTTTCGCTCACCCAGCATTCTTTGGAAAAAAATATTTGATACAGTGCAATAAGAATATGTGTGTTGAATGGAACCTAAGAATATGTGTGTTGAATGGAACCTAAGGATATGTGTGTTGAATGGAACCTGATGGCCAAAATCTGTCTTGATGATCATTTTGTCTGGACCAAGATTCTGTGTATCTATTATAGCCTTTAAGATAATAAACAGAAATTTAAAAAAAATGGTTTGAAATTGTGATTTAGGGGTAATAAATCCTATAAGAGTCGACTGACAATTTCGTTCCTATTGATTTGTTTGTAAATCTTGTGTTCCTGATCATTTTTGCTATGTAAAGTTTTAGTCTATTCAATGATAGCCTTTGTGTGAGGAGGATGAATCGTAAAAAATAATCATATCATCATTTCAGGGCAGCAACTCTTGTAACTAGTCAGGGGCGGAACAAGGATATTTAAAAGGGGGCGTAATTCACGATTATTGGTTATTTACTGCCAAGAGGAGCAAGGCGAAACATTTTTGGATAATTTTGTATATATCAGAAATTTATGTATATCGTGAAAAACATGAGATTTTAGGGGGGGGGGGTGAAAAGCACGAGATTTTAATTTTTTGGTGACGATTCAAGGGGGCAAACGCCCTCATTCCCCCTCCCAAACCCTGGATCAGCCAATGGCCAATAGACAAGCAATTTGGTCATTTCACATATTTGTAGATATAATTGTCCTTATCATATTTGTTTTTTTACAGTTTCTCTCCATCTACTATAGTTTCATTAAAAAACACATTTGGTGAAAATTGTCAATCAAAGGCAATTACTTCTTTTAGGAGTCGACTTACGTTTTCAGCTCTGGTGACATATTAGATATTATTTGACTAATCGTTTTGCCATTTATAGTTTCTCTTCATACACTATAGTGTTCGACAAAAGTGCAAAAATGGGGAAAAACGTCATTCAGGGAAAATAACTCCTAAATTGAGTCGGATAACAATTTGGCTATGTTAACTTATTTGTGGACCTTATTGCGTTGAAAGCTTTTGTTATTTACAGTTTCTCTCTATCGATTATAGTTTTCGACAAAAATGCAAAAATATGGGCAAAAATCGTTTTTCATAAGGTAATAACTCCTTTAAGGGACCAGTCGACGATTTCGACTGTGCAGGATTATTTGTAGATCTTTTTATGCTGAAAAGATTTGTTATTTACAGTTTATCTCCATACTGTATTACTGTAACAATAGTGTCTGCAAAAAGCGCGATAAATTGGTAAAAATCGTCCTTCAAGGGCAATAACTCCTAAAAGGAGTCAATTGACATATTTCGGCTGTGATGTCTTATTTGTAGATCTTAATATACTGAACACTTTGGTTGTTTACAGTTTCTCTCTTTCTTTTAATTTCAAAGCAACAACGAAAAACCGTAAGAAAATATAAAATTATAATTTCTATGGGCAATATTTTTCTTTCTCTAAAGAGTCAATTTCAGAATTCAGTCATGCAGACTTATTTGTAGATATTCTTCATTTTGATAATTTCTTCTATTTGAAAATTCTCTATATTTGCTATACTGAGTTTAATCAAGAAAAATGGTAAAACATATCCTTTAGGTGCATTAACTCATATATGGGATCCATTAATGATTTCGGCCATGTTGACTCTTTGTAGATCTTATTGTTTGTTCATTATTACAACTAAAGCGTGTCTCTATCTATAATAATTCCCAAGACTATAACCAAGTAATAACTTTCTAAAAATTGACATTTCAAGGGCTATTTCACCAAAATGAGTTTTCCTATTTTTCTAGAAGAAAAAAATATAGTATATGCTGATAATTATCTACCTATGTCAGTTTTGTTCTGGCAGCTTTAGTTTTTGAGATACAAATAAGAAGTAAGAAGTAAAAAAAGTACATTGTGTAAAATAAGATGTTTTGTGAGCTATAATTTACTCTGATATTCGCGCTATAATAACATTCACGGTACCACTATATGGTATATGATGTTTTTGATAACTAGACGTTGATGCGTGATATCGATTGATGTCACACGATAAAGCTTTGAAAAGTTCTTGAAAAATGCCATGAAAATTGTATACATGATCTTATGTGAAAGAATATACAAGTATTCGGTAGGTTGATGAGTGATAGATGTGAAACACACCATACAGTATATACACAAGTATTCGGTAGGTTGATGAGTGATAGATGTGTAACATCATACAGTATAGTATGTTCACATAAACCTAAGAAAAATGAGACGAGAATTTCATGGGACGAAAAACAGGCCGAGGTAAACCAGAATACCTCTCTTTTGGAGTGGGGCATCATTAGATGTGGTGTAGCACTTTTACATGTAAATTCTCCTTTGTAGCGGGGGTATCATTAGATGTAGTGTAGCACCTTTACATATAAATTCTCCTTTGTAGCGGGGTATCATTAGATGTGGTGTTGCACTTTTACATGTTAATTCTCCTTTATAGCGGGGTATCATTAGATGTGGTGTAGATAGTTATCAAAGGTACCAGGATTATAATTTAATACGCCAGACGCGCGTTTCGTCTACTGTAAATTCTCCTTTGTAGCGGGGTATGATTATATTTAGAGTATAGCTCTTTTATGTGTAAATTCTCCTTTGTAGCGGGGTATGATTAGATGTAGTGTAGCACCTTTACATATAAATTCTCCTTTGTAGTGGGGTATGATTATATGTGGTGTAAATTCTCCTTTGAAGCATATCATTAGATGTGGTGTAGCACCTTAACATATAAATTCTCCTTTGTAGCGGGGTATATTTAGATGTGGTGTTGCACCTTTACATGTAAATATTGATGATGAGAAATTAAACAGTTCAGAGAGGTAAATCAGGATACCTTTTCCTTTGTAGCGTGGTATAATTAGATGTGGTGTAGCACCATTGCATGTAAATTCTCCCTTGTAGCGGGGTATCATTAGTTGTGGAGAAATAGTTCACTCTTATGATCATAGCAATTTTAGGACTTTGTAAGAGAGTTGTTAGAACAATTTCATCAATAGTTTGTACCAGTTTAGTAGATAATTAGATCACTGTATGTATTCTACACTCGCAGTTCAGTTTTGATGGAAATTTTCATTAGCCACAATTAGTGAATGCCAATTGCCAAAAGTTTGATTGCTTTGGTCCATAACTGGATTTTACATAATCGATTTCATATCGTGTCAATGAGGTAGATCCAATGTAACCTCATGGCTATTGGCTATTTTCAAAATCCATTCTATCTTTACTTAAAATTCAGTTTAATAGATTTACATGTACTTCAATCATTATACAAAGATATTTTAGAAAGTTTGGCCAAATTAAAAATTACAATAAGGTCGACAGATCCAACCATATAACATTAACTGACCATGGAAGCTTTTTTCTCATGGTAGCCTCAAAACAACCACAATTATTTAGAAATAACAGCAACGACTTGTCGCCCCATGTGCTTTCAAGTTGTGTACGAGATGACACCTCTTCCTGCAAACTGTTACTTTATACAACATCCGTTACCAACTTGCTGTAAAGTAAAATAAATTGGGAATGTGTGCATGGGACACAGATGATGCCCCCGCTTGCATATCATATAAAGTTATAAAGAGACATAACTGAAGAACGGTAAAAGTGACGCTACCCAAATTTGTACTTGATCTGAGTTTTGTGGTAATAAGTATTGTGTATAAGTTTCATAACATTTGGTTGAGGCATAACTTAAGCTAGAGAATGGAAATGAAAAAAATTCAGAGATTTTTCCATTTGTACAGGGCATAACTCTAGAACAGTTAAAGTGACACCACCAAAATTCAAAATTGATCTGTGTTTTGTGGTAATAAGCATTGTGTATAAGTTTCATAAAATTTGGTTGAGGCAAACTTAAGTTAGAAAACAGAAACCAACTTTGGGACGTACGGACAAGGGTAAAACTAAATGCCCCCTCCGCTACGGCGGGGGCATGAAAAGACAAACCACACACGAAACATTATAACCTCAAGTACCACTGTAATAATAAATATTTTTACACGTTTCCTTATGGTCTTTGAACAGTTATTTCGAACTGCTTATGGTCTTTGAGTGTATCCATTTTTACCATCAAATCGTTCATTTTTTTTTAATGCCCACATATTTTCCATCCATTTTACTCCAGATTTCAAAGAAGGTGATGAAGTAATATTATTCAATTTAAATACATACTATCTGTGAAATAACAACTAAAAATGGTATTTGGTATTTTATTTTTAGGGTTACTAAGTAACAAGTCTATTTTATACAAATGTCTTGCTAATGTACAATCAAAACAAAGGGGGACAACAATAGATTCTTCCATCAACTACCATGACTGTTTAAATATTCAATTCAAATGTGCTTGTCAACATTTTACAAAATTTAGATTTTTTGCGTCTTTTCATTCTGATTCTAAATATAATTAAAAACCATTGAAAGTAAACAGTTTTCTTTGAAAAAACAAATGTTCAAATTTTTTTTCAACAAATATCAAGCTTTTGCAACTTTTGGCAAAAATTGCCAACACATATCAATCATTGAAATAAGATTATATAACATCAATTTCTTCTTCTGGAAGTTGTATAAATATATTTTGCTTAGAATCATTAGTGACATTTCCATGGTGATGATATATTTACAAAGAGATTCAACAAGATAAAAATATTGAGTAAAGCATAGAAAATCAGTAAACCTTCTGAGTAAAGTATCACACATTAAAAATCGGTGGTATAAAATACATAGAATAATAATTCAAAACATAGAGACAGAAGATATTTAAATGAGTGTAAAAATGAAGCATGGATTCGAGGAACACTCTAAACCACAACAATACATTACAACTATTTTATTTTACCTTTTCTATACATTCCTGTATTATTTTCTAACCTTCGTTGCAAAATTTAGTTAGAAAGTAAGATAAATACAAATGCATAAAATAGTAGGAATCTCAAGACATTACTGTTAATTCAGACATAAATGTAATGTGTAATCAAACAGCAAAATGCAAATTTTACGTTTCCAGTGATAATTCTTTTGTAAAATGGTCTTTCAATGTATTCTCTAAATAAGAAATTATCTGAACATCTTATCATCTAAGGTAAGTACTAACCTTGTGATAGAAGTATAACAGTTCAGAGAATAAAATCAAAGATCAGAAAGTCAAGATCGGAAGAAACAAAGCAAAGAAAGTCACTTGCATATCAAAAGGAAGAAACTTTAGCTTTTAAATTTAACAATTCAGCAGATGTTCTATAATTGCATCAGAGCTGTTCCATTGTAACACATATGTATCTAAGGAGTAAGGACCACACTTATTGCAATACATTAACAGGGGAGGATTCAGGCGGGGGCGTGGCGGGCGTGCCCCCCCCTAAAATTTGCAAAGAATGGGTTGTCCTCAGCTTAATAAAGAATATTTTAATAATTTTACCTCAAAAAAATTTGAGTTTGCACCCCCCCTTACCTAAAATCCTGGAATCGCCCCTGATTAATACAGTGTTAACACAACCATTGAGAGCAATATTAAAGTGCTTTCCCTGGGTATCTTATATAATTTAATGGAGCTCCCCTCACTTCTCTTTACCTTCAATCCATCTAATACTAGTGGAAAAATCTGTCTTGGATATTACAAAAAAGATTAAATCAGAGTCAGACACTAACTGAAGAACCTTTTTCTTGATAAGTTTGGAAATCCTCATATCAATAAATGTTCACATATGATATATATAAATTTAAACTTTTGTAATACATAATCTGAATGTATATCATATTTAATCTTTAAAAAATTTTAAAATGTTAAAACATATAAAGTTCAAACTAAATATGCGAATCTTTCATTGGACAACACATATTTTAACTGTAAAATGATAACAGTTTTAAAGTCTTAAATACATTAAATTGAAATCAAAAATTAAAATAGATATTACAGCTATGAAAGTATGTAACATAGATTATTGAATTGTTAATGGTTTTAACAGTCATGATAATTAAAAATATCTTTCATAATTAATACATGATAAATGCAAAATGTAACATTACTTTTGTAACAAAAGTTCTGATTTCAACATACATGTATTGTTACACCTCATGAATTCATCTATCCAAAGTGGGCAGCCCATTCAACATTTCTTCTCTTACTTTCACTGGTCCAGAAAATTGTATTACTTCAACATAGTTCAATTATTTTTTATGAAACTCAGGGTCATGAATGTCAAATTTTGTATAATTTCTATTTCAGTAGCCCAAAAAGTGGTTCAGTTCAAACTGTACGGGTTGTACTGGGTGGTTTTCAAGTGATTTTATAAAAACAAGAAATAGAATGCCCACTTACAGGGTAGGCAAGTTAGACAAACTGGAAGTTTTTCCTATCCAATGCACAAACCCACCGAGGATGTATGGAAAAAGCAAAATCCATGAGCTGCAACACATAACTTCCTCATCAGGCTTAAAACTTTTACTCTTTATCTACTGTAACAAGTATTTTATATTCACAAATATACACATGTATACACAAATCTTTGAATATCCTTCATGTAGCTAATAACACTTATGAGCACACACAGAACTTTAGGACAGGACAACAAATTTACATAACAAATTGTTTAATACTATCTCCATTTGACATATTAGGTATAAAGTATTTTGTAAAGAAATCTTATCAACAGCTTATTATTGATTTTTTGGTCCATTTTGAATTAATGTAATTACAAATTTAAGAAGTTTATCATGGCATTACATATTTGTTAATTGGTACAGTACAACTTAAAAAGACATATATTTATAAATAAATATAGCCCCATTAGATGTGAATCAGTTCTCTAGTTTCACTTTAAGCCAAAGGTTACACGTTGACACAAGTAAAATACTGATACAATATATCTAACTTGTCAAAGGAGATCAAAAGCTAACAAAATGGTGATGCAGTAGGGTCCATTTGTTTAAAGTAAAGTTTTGTACTAATGTTTTCTTCCGGTGGAATAAAGTCTGGTAACTCAGGTATTGAGAGATTTTCAGGATCAGTTGTCACACTAGGGGCGGTCCTCTGTGTCCTTGGATCTTGTTTGACAGCTGGTTTAGGATTATTAGCTGGTGGTCGATTGTAACTGTTATATCCCGAGTTATCTCTTTGTTGACTTTCTGCATCAAGTGGAGAACTATATTCCATGCTACCTTTCCGTTGTCCCCCATAACGTCTCTGTCCAGTTTCACCTGCTGGTTTGATCTTGACTTTAAACCTAGGATCATTCCTATAGTCTATTTTTGTTTTTGCTGCGTCACCACTTTGTGATGTGCTATCAGAATCGGAACCTCCGCCACTTATCTGCCGTCCTAAGTTATTGGGCAAGTCTGTATTTTGTTCTACGGCAGGCGTTTCTGATTTGGTTCTAGGATCTCGAACTGAGTTTTGTCTCTTTATTCCTAGAGGATCTGGTTTTTGTTCAGTATCAGAATCAGTGGGATATTGTAAACTGGCTAAAATATCAGAAGGAGAAGGGCTAGCAATTTCACCAAGACTGATCGGTAATAATCTTGGGTCGCTAGGCTTCGGTACATTGATTACCATCCCACTTGAACTGCTATCATGGCTCAATTGACGTGAAAATCTTGGATCATTTGGTCTTGACGTAGCAACACTAGACCTTGGGTCTATTGGACGAACGGGAAGATTATGAACACCACTTGGTGGATTTGTCATTCCACGCATTCGTGGATCATTTGCTCGACTTGAGGCATTTTCAGATATTGTCCTTTGTAAGCGAGGGTCTGAGAGTTTAGCACTAGATTCACCTTGCTTTTTCATTCTTGGATCCTGCAATAAAGCACTAGGTTTAGATCTAGGATCTGCAGGTTTATTGTCAGCTGACTGACCAAGTTCAATTGGATTTTTGTTTTCCTTATGACTTTTCATATTTAAATGATCTAAGAATTTTTTCATCCTTGGATCATTTTTGAACTGTGGATCTAACAAATTAATTCCTTGTGGGGGTTCTGTCCTTCGTGAAGGATCTACTGTTACAATAATGCACCTCCATTCTGCATCACCTGGTCGTGAATTGATTATTGCTGGTTCACTATTCCATTTATTTACTGGTGGCACAGTTAATCCACTGGTAAATGTTCTAGGATCTGCAGGGTGAGGAAAACCCATGTGACCTGCAGGTTCATTGCCATGGGACATAGCACGAGGGTCCATATTGCGTTGCCTTGGGTCTCGTACTGGAGGATTTGTTACTGGTCTGTAAAAAAAGAATATGCATCAATTTAAAAACATGTAACAGTAACAAAAACAGTCAGTTTATTCGAATAATTTATTCATAATATATTTGTCCCATTTAATCACAGACGTGTTATAAACAAGTGTGCTAATGTCCAACTATTTTTACCTCAACCTATATCCAGATATTTATTTAACTGTTTTAAAATCTTTTTTTATCATTTTGGTAACATCTTTGTTCTTGTATGGTATCTTTTCTTTATCCATTATATGTCAATCATGACTTGGCAGCAATGACTAGGTTAATAACACAAATTAAGAAAATCTGTTACCTTTTTCTTTTGATTCTTTTTTATCACAAACACAGAACTAAATATTAAATTGGAAGACCAATTGTGTTGCCATTAATATATTTTATGTAAATGTTAAAGAGTACTTACCCAGACTGACTCTTAATAGCATTGATCATCTGCATAACGTTAATAGATGAACCTTGTGAAGGATCTGATGTCTGCAAACACAAATAATAAAAAGTAGTACAACAAGAAACATTTTTAACTCAGGTAATATACTTAAACATAGGTTTTTGGGGTCACCATTCTACTGCATAATATAATTATAAGGAGCTGTGAAATGATTGCTGAAGAGACACATTTTGATACTATATAATGACCTCTAGATGTCTTCTGGCTATTTGTGTTGTTACATTGCTGTCTCAAAACATCAATCCAACATTTCATTTCAATCAGTAACAATATAGTTAAGTATTTTGAAATATGGATTATTCTTATTTTGTTCAGAAAGTGCCTTATGTTCAGATAGAATGGTACACATGTTTTAAATCACATAAATATTCTAAAATGTAATGATAGCTTAGTTACAATATAACTGACCTAGAAACATTGTCATAAGACATGTCAATTTTTGTTTTAGCTGAAATGTTTATTATAACAAGAATGTGTCCATAGTACACGGATGCCCAACTCGCACTATCATTTTGTATGTTGAAATTGGGGTCAAAACTCTAATTTGGCATTAAAATTAGAAAGATCATATAATAGGGAACATGTGTACTAAGTTTCAAGTTGATTGGACTTCAACTTCATCAAAAACTACCTTGACCAAAAACTTTAACCTGAAGTGGGACTGACAGACAGACGGACGGACGAACGAACAGATGCACAGACCGTAAAACATAATGCCCCTTGGTGGGGCATAAAAAGATAGACTTATTGAGATAACTTATTTTGTTAGCACATCATGGTTAAATAAATGGGGAATGTGTCCATGGGAGACAGATGATGCCCCCGCTTGCATGTCATATAAAGTTATAAAGGAACATAACTGAAGAATGGTAAAAGTGATGCCACCCTTATTTGTACTTGATCTGAGTTTAGTGGTAATAAGTATTGTGTATAAGTCTCATAACATTTGGTTGAGGCTAACTTAAGTTAGAGAACACAAACGAAAAATTCAGCAATTTTTCCATTTGTAAACAGGCATAATTCTAGAACGGTTAAAGTGACACCACCAAAATTCAAACTTGATCTGTATTTTGTGGTAATAAGCATTGTGTATAAGTTTCATAACATTTGGTTGCGGCAAACTAAAGTTAGAGAACGGAAATGAAAAATTCAGCAATTTTTCCATTTGTAAAGGGGCATAACTCTAGAACGGTTATAGTGACGCCACCACAATTCAAACTTGATCTGTGTTTTTTGGAATAAGCGTTGTGTATAAGTTTCATAGCATTTGGTTGAGGCAAACTAAAGTAAGAGAACAGTAACCAACTTTGGGATGTACGGACTATCACTCTAGTGAGTTACTGATAGCTTTTAAATATATATGTTTGCATCATCCAAATATGGATATTATACTCATAACAAATAAGTTTGGTGCATGGAGAAAAATTGGATAATATGTATGTGAACTTTAATAATCAGACTAGAGAATGTGTAATAGTTTCCAAAAGAAGAAACAGTAAAATAGTCCTACCTCCTTTTTGCCAAGATTTTTAAGAACATCTGTAAGTTTTGGAGCACCACCATCATCTTCATCACTTGAATACCAGTTATCATCCTCAACTGAAAAAAAACAAACACAATACAATGTTCCAGTTATTATCTCAGTGTGAGATATTATCTTATAATATAGCAATGCTTACTTTGCAGAGTCTATGATACCATCATACTTTTTCCTGTTTCTGACTCCTATGATCCTTCTGTTTTTTTTTTTAATTCTAATGTCCAAGACTCTTTTATTTTATTTCTCACTCCTATGACCCCACTATTCTCTATTTCTTAATTTGGATTGACAAGTAAGACATTTTAACATATGACATGTTTGATATATAAACAAAATACTCCTAATAATTATAATATCAAAATTTGAAAGAAAAAAAAATCAATCTACATTTTGACATCTTAAATGACAGTACCTTTAGCAGCTTTTGATTTGTTTTCTTCAGCAGAGCTACAGCTATCTTTACGTTCCCTTTTAACAATTGTTTTATCCTCTTCTCCCTCTGATTGGCCCCCATGCTGCTGTAGTCTCATCATTAACTCCCTCTGTTTGGCAGGTAATTGACTAAGTGACCCAAGATCTAACCCCATCTGAGCCAACTTTTTCTCATTTTCATCAGTTTCTTCATTCTTTATCTTTCCTTTTATAAAATTAAGCTATACTTTAAAAATTATGCATTGACTTTATATGTGTTAAATATCCATTATCAAGACGTTTTCCTTTCAAGGTTCTTGCATTCTATTTCAAGTTGACATTTTTTATGAACTGTTATTTCTATATGTAATTGTGGTTTTTGTTTTATTAACATAAATGTTGAAAAGTTTTTTAGTTCCCTTGAATAGACACAACTTTAAGTGAAATCAGCCTGAATGACTCTCCATCTTTTGTTACGAAGTAGACTCCTTTCATGATGTATATGACAGTGTTCTCCCCAGGGCCTTTTAGCATCATGGTAATGTGATGCTATATTGCTTGAATGTGATGTTTTAAAAAATGATTCTCTTAAAGAAAGTGTTATAGATGTAATGCTGTAAATTCTAGAAACAAGATGGTATTTGAATTTTCATGGTTTACCAGGATGCTATATGAAATTTGTAGGGAGAACACTGTATGGTAGCTTTATGCAGGAGATATCTTCAGTCAAAATTTTCTGAAAAATGAGATTATATTAAATCTGAATTTTAGGAGAGATATAAGAGAATAAATCTAGCTGAAAAAATCGTTTTGCCCAAACAATAATTCACCCACATACAACCCTGCTAATTCTAACCTGTTTTAGTGCCATCCTCTTCTGTTTTTATAAAAGGCATCTCATCTTCATCATCATCTTGTGGACTGTATGCTTCCTCCTGGCTTGAATCTGTATTCAAGGCAGGATTTTTAAAACTTTGTCTAGGGTCATGACTGTCAATTCCAGGATGGTTTGGACTGAGTATGCCCATTCCCTGTCGAGGATTCTGCATACTTGGAACTGACATTGCCTGACTGACTTGTGGTGATATATTTGGATTTACATGACGAAGTAGAGCACCAACTATTGCTAAAGCTGGATTTAGATTTGGGTTGTTCATTCCATTTGGTCCACCCATCGGTCCTGGTGGACCCATTGGTTGATTCATCATTCGTGGTCCTTGTCCCATTGACATTGGGGGACCTCCCATTTGTCCTTGTGGCATTGGCCCTCCCATCTGTCCTTGCATTGGACCTTGTTGCATCACTGGTCCCATCATATGTCCCATTGAGTTAGGTGGACCTCCCATCTGCATTGGTCCATGCCCCATAGAATTTGGTGGCATATTCATAGGGCCCTGTGGTCCTCCCATTGGTGGGCCTTGCATGGGTCCAGGGGGCCCCATCTGACCTGGACCACCAATACCTGGACCCTGAGGTCCCATCTGTCCCGGTGGCATGTTCATTGGACCTTGTGGACCCATTGGTCCACCTGGTGGTGGTCCCCTCATTCCCCCTTGCATTGTGTCATTGTAAAATCCAACTGGTCTGAAAGACAATTAAACATTCAAATTATTTGTTGCAAATTAAACATATGTCATATTTAATGTAATAAATAACTAAACAGACTTTGATTAAATGTACAACTAATTATCTTTATCATATGACATCTTTCAAATAAATGGGGAATGTATCCATGGGACACAGATGATGCCCCCGCTTGCATATCATATAAAGTTATAAAGGGACATAACTGAAGAACGGTAAAAGTGACGCTACCCAAATTTGTTACTGATCTGAGTTTTGTAGTAATAAGTATTGTGTATAAGTTTCATAACATTTGGTTCAGGCTAACTTAAGTTAAGAGAACGGAAACGTAAAATTCAGCAATTTTTCCTTTTGTAAAAGAGCATAGGTCTAGAACAGTAAAAGTGACACCACAAAAAATCAAACTTAATCTGTATTTTGTGGTAATAAGCATTGTGTATAAGTTTCATAACATTTGGTTGAGGCAAACTTGAGTTAAAGAATGGAAACGAAAAATTCAGCAATTTTTCCTTTTGAAAAGGGGCATAACTCTAGAACGGTTAAAGTGAAGCCACCAAAATTCAAATTTGATCTGCATTTTGTGGTAATAAGCATTGTGTATAAGTTTCATAACATTTGGTTTAGGCAAACTAAAGTTCGAGAACGGAAACCAACTTTGAGACGTACGGATGGACGGACTGACAAGGGTAAAACTTAATGCCCCCTCCACTACAGCGGGCCATAAAAAAATAAATGTGGATGGTGTCCACATGTGGACACAGATGATGCCCCCGCTTGCATATCATATAGTTATAAAGGGACATAACTGAGGAGGGTAAAAGTTGACGCTATCCAAATTTGAACTTGATCTGAGCTTTGTGGTAATAAGCATTGTGTTTAAGTCTCATAACATTTGGTTGAGGCTAACTTAAGTAGAGAACAGAAACTTAAAATTCAGCAATTTTTCTATTTGTAAACACGAATAACTCTAGAATGGTTGTGTATAAGTTTTCTAACATTTGTACTTTATCTTAAGTTTTATGGTAATGAATATTGTGCATAGGTTTCATAATGTTTGGTTGGGGCAAACTTAAGTTACAGAATGGAAACTAAAAATTTTTGCAATCTTTCGATTTATAAAGGGGCATAACTCAATAATGGTTAAAGTGACACTACCCAAATTCAACTTGATCTGTGTTTTATCAGTGGATTCAAAATTAAACATTGCATTGTATAAAGCATTGATTGTAGTTGATTCAACTATAATCATGGACAAAGGAAGATAACTCCAATTTAAAAAATAACTTGATATTTAGAAGAAAAAAAATTTTTGGCAATTTTTCCATTTATAAAGGGGCATAACTCTAGAACGGTTTAAGTGACGCCACCAAAATTCAAACTTGATCTGTGTTTTGTAGTAATAAGCATTGTGTATAAGTTTCATAGTATTTGATTGAGGCAAACTTAAGTTAGAGAACGGAAACGAAAAATTTTGCAATTTTTCCATTTATAAAGGAGCATAACTCTTGAACGGTTAAAGTGACGCCACCCACCAAAATTCAAACTTGATCTGTGTTTTGTGGTAATAAGCATTATGTATAAGTTTCATAACATTTGGTTGAGGCAAACTTAAGTTACAGAATGGAAACTAAAAATTTAGCAATTTTTCCATTTATAAAGGGGCATAACTCTAGAACGGTTAAAGTGACGCCACCAAAATTCAAACTTGATCTGTGTTTTGTGGTAATAAGCATTGTGTTTAAGTTTGATAACATTTGGTAGAGGCAAACTCAAGTTAGAGAACAGAAACCAATTTTGGGACGTACGGACGGATGGACGTACGTACAGACGGACAAGGGTACGGCGGGGGCATAAAAAAATATTTTCAAACAATAACTTCATATATTTCTTTTCTCACATGAGGAATTGCATAATATTTGGGAATTCGGAATTTAATCACAAACAACAATAAAATGCTCCGCAGGGCGCAGCTTGATACGACCGCAGAGGTCGAACCCTGAACAGTTGGGGCAAGTATGGACACAACATTCAAGCTTGATACAGCTCTGAATTTGGATTGTGATTAAATATTTGACACAGCATAGGTTTCTGACACAGAATGAATGTGGTCTAAGAACTTAAAAAATTTAAATTGGACATTCACCTATTATGGTCCAATATCCAAAATCTAAATACATGGTTAGATTCAGCATATCAAAGAACCCCAAGAATTCAATTTTTGATGAAATCAAACAAAGTTTAATTTTGGACCCTTTTGATCTCAATGTGGACAAAGTTGATAACGGGGCCCAAAAATCAAAAATCTAAATACATGGTTAGATTCAGCATATCAAAGAACCCCATATATTCAATTTTTGTTGAAATCAAACAAAGTTTAATTTTGGACCCAGATTTGGACCAACTTGAAAACTGGGCCCATAATCAAAAATCTAAACACATGTTTAGATTCAGCATATCAAAGAACCCTAAAAATTCAATTTTTGTTAAAATCAAACTAAGTTTAATTTTGGACCCTTTGGACCTTTATGTAGACCAATTTGAAAACGGAACCAAAAATTAAGAATCTAAATACACGGTTAGATTCGGCATATCAAAGAACCCCAATAATTCAATTTTTGATGAAATCAAACAAAGTTAAATTTTGGACCCTTTGGACCTTAATGTGGACCAATTTAAAAACGGGGCCCAAAATCCAAAAACTTAATACACGGTTATATTCAGCATATGAAAGAACCCCATATATTCAATTTTTGTTGAAATCAAACAAAGTTAAATTTTGGACCCCGATTTGGACCAACTTGAAAACTGGGCCCATAATCAAAAATCTAAATACATGGTTAGATTCAGCATATCAAAGAACCCCATATATTCAATTTTTGTTGAAATCAAATAAAGTTTAATTTTGGACCCCGATTTGGACCAACTTGAAAACTGGGCCCATAATCAAAAATCCAAATACATGGTTAGATTCAGCATATCAAAGAACCCCATATATTCATTTTTTGTTGAAATCAAACAAATTTAAATTTTGGACCCCGATTTGGACCAACTTGAAAACTGGGCCCATAATCAAAAATCTAAATACATGGTTAGATTCAGCATATCAAAGAACCCCATATATTCAATTTTTGTTGAAATCAAATAAAGTTTAATTTTGGACCCCGATTTGGACCAACTTGAAAACTGGGCCCATAATCAAAAATCTAAATACATGGTTAGATTCAGCATATCAAAGAACCCCATATATTCAATTTTTGTTGAAATCAAACTAAGTTTAATTTTGGACCCTTTGGACCTTTATGTAGACCAATTTGAAAACGGAACCAAAAATTAAGAATCTAAATACACGGTTAGATTCGGCATATCACAGAACCCCAATAATTCAATTTTTGATGAAATCAAACAAAGTTAAATTTTGGACCCTTTGGACCTCAATGTGGACCAATTTAAAAACAGGGCCCAAAATCCAAAAACTTAATACATGGTTAGAATCAGCATATTAAAGAACCCCAAGAATTCAAGAATAAAACCCCATTGAAATTGATCAAGAAATAAGCAATTTATACAAAGTATATTCTTTTGCACAATACTGTGCAATTGAATATTTCTTGCTATTGCGCAATACTGTACAATTGACAATTTCTTGCTATTGCGCAATATTGTGCTATTGGATATTTCTCGCTATTGCGCAATACTGTGCAATTGAAGATTTCTTGCTATTGCGCAATACTGTGCAATTGAAGATTTCTTGCTATTGTGCAATACTGTGCAATTGAAAATTTCTTGCTATTGCACAATACTTATTGTATAATAATTTACACATCCTGTTTGGTGTGTATTTCCTACCATATCATTATTATTTGCTTTTAAATATAAATCAGAAATAACCAACTTAAAATGGAAAATTTTAAAAGAAAAAAAAAAGAAAAAAAAGAAAAAAAAAGAAACCCCCCCCCCCCCCCACAAATTTTTTGAACCCCCTTATGATTCATCACCCCCAAACTCAATCCCAGCCTTCCCTTTGTGGTATGGTATCTTGCAGTACAATTTCAGAGAGATCCATACAATTGAACACAAGTTATTGTCTGGAAACTAGAAAAATGCTTATTTTTGGCCCCTTTTTGGCCCCCAATTCCTAAACGTTTCGGGCAATTACCCCCAAACTCAATTCCAGCTTTCCCTTTGTGATATGGAACCTTGTAGTACAATTTAAGAAATATCCAAACACTTACACACAAGTAATTGTCATGAAACTAGAAAAATGCTTGTTTTTTGCCCCTTTTTTGGCCCCTTATTCCTAAAATTTTGAGGCAATTACCCCCAAAATCAATAACAGCCTTCCCTATGTGATATGGAACCTTGTGGTACAATGTCAGAGAGATCCATACACTTACACACAAGTTATTGTCTGGAAGTTACAAAAATGCTTATTTTTGGCCCCTAATTACTTAACTGTTGGTACCATAACCCCCAAAATCAATCCCAACCTTCCTTTCGTGGTATTGAACCTTATGGTAAAATTTCATGGAGATCCATTAACTTAAACAAAAGTTAGAGTGCGAAAACCAATGTGTCTTCGGACGACGACGACGACGTCATACCAATATACGACCAAAAAATTTTTAATTTTTGCGGTCGTATAAAAAGAGTGCAACACTGTTTAATTATAAAACCTCAATGATGATGTAATTTGATGAATTATCCTGAGTTTTATTTCTGATCCAGATGCTGTATATCAACCTTTCTCTTGTCAAAACTACCTTTGGAGCACATACCTGGTACCAACATGCATCCTATGTTGAAGACAACACTGAACCACATAGGTGGTTTAGCATTTGCATAATGCCATATACTAACCACTGACGTTACCCCCTGAGTTGTGGTGGTGAATGCAGTGCAAATATGTTAATTTGTTGGTGTAGAACCCACTATTGAGCTTACTATATCAAAGTTTTCTCCTATGTCTTTCCTCTGTTGTAAAAATTCATTTATAGGACCTCCATGTCAATAGAGATTGTCCCTGATTTGTACTCTGCATTGTGTGTTACAGGTATTATTCATAGGACCAAACAGTACTCACCTTGGAGGCTGTCCCTGATTTGGACCCTGCATCCTCTGCTGTGGAGAATTATTCATTAGACCTCCTTGTTGTCCTGGTTTCTGAGGGCTTTGTCCTGGAGGAAATGTTTGTATATCAAATAAAGAAGGAATTTTCTTTATTCTTTCCATCTGCTCCTTCAAATGTCTAGGAGGTGATCCTTTAATATATAACAATATTGCATATAAACAGAATGGTACATTTGATGCACACACATAACAAAACACTTCTTAACAAAATTGCAGTTATAAAAATTATAAAAAAGTAATTTCATTTCTGGTGCAAAATTTCTATAGTGGAATAAGATAAAATGAAATATAATCCACATTTCAATATATACTATCTAGTTATATATAACAATTTGGCATACTGATCTCTTTGAAACCATTGGTGTGGGTTAATCATATTTTAAGAATAGAGTGGATGAAATATTAAAATTGCACCTATGAGTGGCTGCATCCGTGTTTCATAGATAAATTAATAGTTAAAGCTATTATATTAAGATATAATGTATAATTGTTATTAATACTAACTATCCTTTTCAAACATCAAGATTTTACCTAGCACTCCAGGTTTCTGTTGTCGACCATATTCTTCTTCCTCTCCATGGTGATCACCTCGTGAGTTCATCTAAAATATATGTCACTTACACTTTATCATATCCACATCAAATATATGTGTATCTTTTTATGTTTTACTGTGTTGGTGAGTTTCTGTCTCATCAAGGTATACCCCATACATCATAGTATATCCCACACATTAAGGTATACCTCACATCGTCTCATCAAGGTATACCCCAAACATCATAGTATATCCCACACATTAAGGTATACCTCACATCGTCTCATCAAGGTATACCCCATACATCATAGTATATCCCACACATTAAGGTATACCTCACATCGTCTCATCAAGGTATACCCCATACATCATAGTATATCCCACACCATTAAGGTATACCTCACATCGTCTCATCAAGGTATACCCCATACATCATAGTATATCCCACACATTAAGGTATACCTCACATCGTCTCATCGAGGTATACCCCATACATCATAGTATATCCCACACATTAAGGTATACCTCACATCGTCTCATCAAGGTATACCCCATACATCATAGTATATCCCACACATTAAGGTATACCTCACATCGTCTCATCAAGGTATACCCCAAACATCATAGTATATCCCACACATTAAGGTATACCTCATATCATCTCATCAAGGTATACCCCATACATCATAGTATATCCCACTCATTAAGGTATACCTCACATCGTCTCATCAAGGTATACCCCACATCTTCTGTTATTTACACATCGTCTCATCAAGGTATACCCCATACATCATAGTATATCCCACACATTAAGGTATACCTCACATCGTCTCATCAAGGTATACCCCATACATCATAGTATATCCCACACATCAAGGTATACCCCATACATCATAGTATATCCCACACATTAAGGTTTACATCACATCGTCTCATCAAGGTATACCCTACATCTTCTGTTATTTATATATTACATCTGTAAACCGTGTTAATAAAATATAATGAAACCATGTTAAAACAAACTCAAGTAAATCATCAACAATGTTTCTAGTGTGAATTCTATAACTGTCATAACTGTGTAAACATATATGTTCATTCAAGACATTATTTTATATAGACATAGTGATATTTACAATTATTTCACACATTTTGGTTGACAATACTTATTTACTTAAAGTCAAAATGTGTAAATGTCTGTTTCCTGCCTCCAACATTTTAAAATAGGGTTGCTCGGTCAGGATTTAATTTTTATTTAATTTTTTGCATGTTAACAAAATCCCGAAAAATTTCATGTTTTCTCAGAGTTTGGTCCCGTTTTACACTTATGCATCAGGTAATTTGCGCATAAGTGATGATAAATTAATGTTTTTCAATGGTTTGTAAATTCTACATTTGATAAGCGAAGATCTTATTACAAATTTGAAAGAATTATCCAAAGAATATTTGTAGGCTAATAAGAAGGTTCTTAACACTTATTCTTGAATAACTTTTTGGAAAGGCAATAAAATATTTCAGGGTCCGCAATCGAACTTAGGGTCATTCAGTAGGCAGGAAACAAGCATATTGTTTTTTGGCCTAATGAATATGATAATTATTATAACAACATACCCTTTCCACAATTGGAGCTGTTTCATCACTTGGTTCATCATGGGAAAATTTACAGTTTTCACCTTGGTAACACTCCTGTCCAGTGTGGTAAAATTTACATGGATATTCACATAAAAAAGTTAAGGAATACAATGTTAACAAAAGTCAAAATAAGTTTTATATAATTATCTTTTATAAACAAATTTTCTTTTCCTATCAACTTTTCAATTACCTAAAAACAGCTGTAAACTTTTTCTTTCTCATCAAAATAAAAATATTGATATAACCATAAAAAAAATCCTATTTACTCCTTATTTATGGCAATGATGTTTCAATAATCGATTATAATGGAAAATTGATCAATTAATGAAAATATTATAATAATCTATTATCATTTTCAAAATTTGATAAAAGTAAAAAATATCCATAAAAGTTATCTTTATATGGAAATCTTTTGTCACCTCCCATGCTGTAAATGTACGGAATGCCTTACAACATCCATATTTTGTACATATACACATTTTTTGTGTACAGTATGACATGCACAAGTTTTACATAAGGAAATTGTGTAACTAAATTCCTACATTATATAAGCAATTAAATCAAAAACCACTTGATACTTAAATCAGAGCTTGCTATTATTTCAATTAACTAATAAATTGATTATAATTTTCCAGTCAATTTCCAACTCTAATTTACTGTCATCTTTTTTCTACAAAAAGGATATTGTGCATGAAAATGCAGTTATCTCCCTTAGAACAAGATCCTCCTAAGTAGTATTTACATAATTCTGGCTTCTTTTCACTAAATTCATGATTAAATGGACAATCTGCTCCCTGAAAAAAAATGTGTAGATTGTTATATAAAACTATTTCGTCATTTCATTAAATTTAATGTTACAATAGCAAAATTTACTATCATCATCAGATTACACATTACAGGTAACACAAACATTCCTGTAAACTTTGATGTCACAAGAGAAAATGTCGGACTTCATTAAAGAAACGTTTTATTGTTTGAGATTCATAGTTCAAGTGTTGCAATTTTCAAAACAGCAATAAGGTCTATTCAAACATTCTTTTATATATTGTATGAGGTGAAAGTATCATTGATTGATAAGCGGATCGATCAGGGTTCATACTACTGTGGGACTGTGGCAAAGAAGTTGCTATCCCCTCCATCTCTTTGCATTTCCACACTGGGAATAGTCACATATACTTTTAACAGGGTTAAACTAGTTTACACAACACCCTGCCCCTTTCTTATCTAGAGTGTCAGTTTCCCCCATTACCATTAAATTTGTGTGTAGAAACCCCTAAATTTCCATGGAAAATTTTATTACATTTTGAGGCAAAAGAAATAAAATGTCGCCCTGGTATTCAAACAGTGGCTAAAGTTGATGAAAAAGCAATTTTTCATTAATAAGTGAAGAAATCTAAAGACATAGAGAATTTATTTCTTAAGAAACAAAGTAAAGCATTAATTTTGTTAATTGATTGTGAAATATATCAATATTGTAATAAAATGCTCCGCTGGGGCGCAGCTTGATACGACCGCAGAGGTCGAACCCTGAACAGTTGGGGCAAGTATGGACACAACATTCAAGCTTGATACAGCACTGAATTTGGATTGTGATTAAATATTTGACACAGCATAGGTTTCTGACACAGAATGAATGTGGTCTAAGAACTTATAATTTTTTAATTTACCTATTCATACATGTGATGGACTGTGAAACTCAGATCAGGAGATTGGGAAATTTTGGTCAGGAGATTAGGACTCAGATCAGGAGGTTTTTAATCGACATAAATTTTGTCGTAAATGTAACCATGTGCTGTAAAAATGGTCTTTTAAAGTGTGTTTTCTTCAACTTTCCATCCAATTTATTATGTTTATAGTACCCTTGTACTTATAAAGTTTCTCCATCTTTATATTCTACATGTTCAATCTAACCTTTTTTTTTTTCAGTATGTTCTTTAAATTTTTTACTTCATATTCTATAAAACAATCATTGCAACCAGAACATTTGTTTAACTATCTGCAAATAGCTTTTGTTTGCATACTCAGAAAATCATTCTAACTGTTTAACAGGGGTCATAGTTATTATATAAATTTCAATTTAAGCCTTGAAAGGAAGTATAGAATCCTCAAATAATTTTCAAATTATTATTTTCTTATTTGTCCTAAGACATTTAAAATCATTTATTTACCATCCTTTTATGATTATTTGTTCAATTTATATTTTATTTATATTCTTTTAAAAAATTTCATTATTAAAAGGAAAGTAACTTAAAACAGGATAAATCAAGGGAAGTAACCCAATAAATACACAGTTTTTGTTACACAACGGCAGTTAGCCTGAGGTAAAAAATCGTTGATTACCAGTATGTTTGACACCCAAGCTGACAAGTGAAGCCATATAATTATGCATGTTAATTGATTTACAGGTAAAATATAACTTCAGGTAATGTGAGTTACACCAGATGCCTGAGATGATATGTTGGGCATATTTCCTCTTCAACGGGAGGTCGGGAGGAGACTCCTGAAAACGGGATTATTGTACTCCTGTCGGGAGGTTCACATGTATGCTATTCAAACCATATCATTATTATTTGCTTTTATATATAAATCAGAAATAACCAATTTAAAATGGAAAATTTTAAAGAAAAAAAAGGAAAAAAAAATCCCCCCCAAATTTTTTGAACCCCCTTATGATTCATCACCCCCACACTCAATCCCAGCTTTCCCTTTGTGGAATGGTACCTTGCAGTACAATTTTAGAGAGATCCATTCACTTGAACACAAGTTATTGTCTGGAAACTAGAAAAATGCTTGTTTTTTGGTCCCTTTTTGGCCCCTAATTCCTAAACGTTTAGGGCAATTACCCCCAAACTCTAACCCTGCTTTCCCTTTGTGATATGGAACCTTGCAGTACAATTTCATAAAGATCCATACACTTACACACAAGTTATTGTCATGAAACTAGAAAAATGCTTGTTTTTTTGCCCTTTTATAGCCCCTAATTACTAAAATTTTGAGGGAATTACCCCCAAAATTAATCCCAGCCTTCCCTTTGTGGTATGGTATCTTGCAGTACAATTTCAGAGAGATCCATACACTTGAACACAAGATATTGTCTGGAAACTAGAAAAATGCTTATTTTTTCCCCCTTTTTGGCCCTTTATTCCTAAACTTTTTGGGAAATTACCCCCAAACTCAATTCCAGCTTTCCTTTTGTGATATAGAACCTTGTAGTACAATTTCATAAAGATCCATACACTTACAAACAAGTTATTGTCATGAAACTAGAAAAATGCTTGTTTTTGCCCCTTTTTGGCCCCTAATTCCAAAAATTTGGAGGAAATTACCCCCAAAAATCAATCCCAGTATTCCCTTTGTGATATGGAACCTTGTGATACAATATCAGAGAGATCCATACACTTACACACAAGTAATTGTCATGAAACTAAAAAAATGCTTGTTTTTTGCCCCTTTTTGGCCCCTAATTCCTAAAATTTGGAGGCAATTACCCCCAAAATCAATCCCAGCATTCCCTTTGTGATATGGAACCTTGTGGTACAATGTCAGAGAGATCCATATACTTACACACAAGTTATGTCTGGAAGTTACAAAAATGCTTATTTTTGGCCCCTTTTTGGCCCCTAATTCCTTAACTGTTAGTACCATAACCCCCAAAATCAATCCCCACCTTCCTTTTGTGGTATTGAACCTTATGGTAAAATTTCATTGAGATCCATTCACTTAAACTAAAGTTAGAGTGCGAAAACTAATGTGTATTCGGACGACGACGACGACGACGACGCCGACGCCAACGTCATACCAATATACGACCACAAAAATTTTTTTGCGGTCGTATAAAAACCACCATTGTATCACTAGAGAGCTCAATACTTCCCTTGAAGTTTCACCCCTTCTACGCACCATTTCAGAAAAAGAAGTCTGTTTTCTCTAGGATTCTAAAGAAGTGTGAGCCCAAGTGATTGGTTTAAGCTTTAAAATGAATTAACCTAGTGAATATAAACCTTTGGGACAGTAACTAAGCAATCTATCTCCATTTTTACATTAATAGCTGATTGTGTAAAATATATATAAGTTTTGAAAATGCAATATTCAATGCAATTTATCTGACAACTTTCATGTTTTTTTTCTTAGAAATTCAATTATATAATAAATTCCTTATCGTCTTATCATTTGGAAGAAAAATTATTGACTGATCCCATTTTTGCTTTGACAATAACCATACATAAAGTTGAATTCTTTTCCAAATATACAAATTAAAAGTTATTTCATAGTTATAATCTCTTACCTTATGACACTTTCCCTCCTTGTAAAACCTACAAACAGGTCTCTCATCCATTGGTGTGTCTAGCAATGGCTTTTTCTTTGGTGGTTGTTCTGAATGTTGACGATCAAATTTTCTTTTGTTGTTCTGGTAATTCTTTTGTTTTTGTTTCTTTCCTCCATCTCTCTTTTTGTACAAGTTCTAATTAAAATGCAAAGAAGTTACAAATACACATTTTGTATTATTCAATTGTACATGAATATTAATTATGTCTTATTTTTAATTTACAAAAAATTAAATTTTGGAAACTGTGATGAATTGTTAGAAGAATGTGATTCCAACATTTTACAAATAATAATTCTGCTGTTAATGAACTAAACAGAGTTTTACAGTGGAAATTTTAAGATCTTTGGATTTTCTCTTGAAATGTGTTCCAATAAAGGATCATTTAAAAAAATCTCGTCAGACTTTTGCCAGTGTCCCATAGATCTTAGAAATATTTAAAATGTGATGTAACTAATTTAATTCAAAACACAAAATTCACTTATTCTTATTCTGAAAATATTAAATGAGGATGAGGCATTGGGGAAATCTCATCTTTTAAGGCCTTGCCTCTTCCATGTATTACAATGAAAATGGTTTTTGGATATGTAATTGTAGCTTTTGGCTTCATTTTTGTACAAAACTTTTTTCTGAACAAAGATATTTAATATGTAGTCAATGATGAAATGTCAATGGAAGGTTGTCTCCCTTATAACAGAAAATCAACAATTACCTCCCCTTCTTCAATAGCCACATTGGCATCCAAATATTCATCTCCCTGCATTAGACTCATCATGCTCTTTTTCTTCTTTTGTTTCCTTTTATCTTTATAATCATCATATCCTTCATCTTGGTATCTACAAAAAATAGTTAACAAATTTTTATAAGATTGAAGATGTTGAAACTAATCAAATTTAAAACCTAAAGAAAATCCAATCCCTTTACCTTGAAAATAAGACTTTTGAACTTTCCATAATCTTTTTTCAAACAAAACTAATATCTATCATCAAAATGAAGGAACAAACTACTTACTCTTCTTGAGAATCCTCATCATAGGAGGGACTATCATAAGGTCCTGGAGGACTGTCATAAGGACTGTCGTATGGACCTGGAGGACTATGGTATCGATTTCTTCTTCTATCTCTGTCTCTGTCTCTCTTTCCGTGATTACCATGACTTGCATGTTTACTATCTTGTCTCTGAGCACCTTTAGGTGACTGTTTTTTACTTCCTCCTGGCCAGGCCTGTTGCATTTCTTCATCATTAACTTTGTCGTGGTCAACATAATCAGGTCTTCTTTTTTTCTTCTAAAATCAAAGAATAAATTGTTAACATAGAGATAGGACAAACTTGTAACATAATCACAAACTTTATGAATTGTGAACCCTGACATTTTAAATCCTTGAGGAAGTTTTCGGAGGGACAAAAACTGCATATTATTCATATCATAAAGCATTGGGCTAAGGCTTAAAAGTTTTATTTGTTAGACTGAAACATGTTGAAAAAATTTCATTTACTTCTAGTATCTTTTGCAGAGTGATGAAAAATTCTAAATGAATTAAGGATGAAAATGAATGTAGAACTTTTGATCAGTCTATAGGTAACTATTTAAATAACCTTATGATGATCATCCCTGGATTTCCTCCTTTTATCTCTTTCTTGCCTATGATCTATGTTTAAATAACTAGTCCTACCTTATGATGGTCATCCCTGGATTTCCTCCTTTTATCTCTTTCTTGCCTAGGATCTATGTTTAAATAACTAGTCCTACCTTATGATGGTCATCCCTGGACTTCCTCCTTTTATCTCTTTCTTGCCTAGGATCTATGTTTAAATAACTAGTCCTACCTTACGATGGTCATCCCTGGACTTCCTCCTTTTATCTCTTTCTTGCCTAGGATCTATGTTTAAATAACTAGTCCTACCTTATGATGGTCATCCCTGGATTTCCTCCTTTTATCTCTTTCTTGCCTAGGATCTATGTTTAAATAACTAGTCCTACCTTATGATGGTCATCCCTGGACTTCCTCCTTCTATCTCTTTCTTGCCTAGGATCTATGTTTAAATAACTAGTCCTACCTTATGATGGTCATCCCTGGACTTCCTCCTTTTATCTCTTTCTTGCCTAGGATCTATGTTTAAATAACTAGTCCTACCTTATGATGGTCATCCCTGGACTTCCTCCTTTTATCTCTTTCTTGCCTAGGATCTATGTTTAAATAACTAGTCCTACCTTATGATGGTCATCCCTGGACTTCCTCCTTTTATCTCTTTCTTGCCTAGGATCTATGTTTAAATAACAAGTCCTACCTTTTGATGGTCATCCCTGGATTTCCTCCTTTTATCTCTTTCTTGCCTATGATCTATGTTTAAATAACTAGTCCTACCTTATGATGATCATCCCTGGACTTCCTCCTTTTATCTCTTTCTTGCCTGTGGTCTATTTTTAAATAACTAGTCCTACCTTATGATGGTCATCCCTGGATTTCCTCCTTTTATCTCTTTCTTGCCTATGATCTATGTTTAAAATAACTAGTCCTACCTTATGATGGTCATCCCTGGATTTCCTCCTTTTATCTCTTTCTTGCCTATGATCTATGTTTAAATAACTAGTCTTACCTTATGATGGTCATCCCCGGACTTCCTCCTTTTATCTCTTTCTTGCCTAGGATCTATGTTTAAAAAACTAGTCCTACCTTATGATGGTCATCCCTGGATTTCCTCCTTTTATCTCTTTCTTGCCTAGGATCTATGTTTAAATAACTAGTCCTACCTTTTGATGGTCATCCCTGGATTTCCTCCTTTTATCTCTTTCTTGCCTAGGATCTATGTTTAAATAACTAGTCCTACCTTATGATGGTCATCCCTGGATTTCCTCCTTTTATCTCTATTATCCCTATGATCTCTATGTTTCCTTCTTTTGTCATGATGTTTATCCCTTTTTCTATCCTCTGAATTATCAACCTCCTCTTCATCTTCAACTTCTCCTCCACTGTCTTCATTTTCAAAACTGGCATCAGTTTTTTCTGGAAAAAAAATAATTAGCTATGGATCAAGTCAGTTTGTTGAATAGTAGTACTCTTTATACTCTGTTACTTTTTGCAAAATGACTTCCTCAAATTGATAGGATGCTAAAAGGTGTTGTTATTTAACCTCCTAAGAAATATCAATCCCAGTACAGAAAGTTTGGAAAGATAGTTTCTAACTAATGAACTACACGTTTGTTACCAAATGTCTGATGTCTCTCTTGTGTGTTTATAAGACACTGTTCATGTGTTTTATACTGTGCAAGCACGGAAGTCTAAAGATTGCATTTATTTTACAGTTGGAACTAAAAATTAAACATTACCTTGTATTAAGCATTGAAAGGCAATACTATGAATTGGAGTCCATAATTGTAATTGGTTCAACTAAAATTATGGACAAAGGAAGATTACTCAAGTTGTTAATATTCAATGGGCATCATGAACAGATAATAGATTCATGCACTATGCACAATTTACGTAATTTGCTTGACAAGTATGTTTATACACATGCCTGAGAAGGAGGTATTACACTTGCAAACTTATGTATATAAATATATGTGTGTGTGTAGTTCATACATGTTCAAACTGCTTTTTTACCTGTGTGTATACTAGATTATTGTTGTTTAAAATAATGTCTTATATTGTAATATGCTTTGTGAGCCCAACTAATGGAAATAAAACATCTTCTACTTCATACACATCATTTTATAACTTGTTTTTTGAGAATATATTTCATTGATAACTTTCTTGAAATGTTCATGGATAGGATGTATAGAATGTTGTGCTCAATCCATGATGGTTTTTTTATCTCATAAGTAGTGATAAAGTCTGGATGATTGACAAATATCAATTTAGCCAGATAAGGGTTTTGATTACATAAATGTAATCACCGACCCAAGTACTATTATGCAAACAAAGATAAAGGTTAAATACCACTAATTTCTCTTTCTAGTTTTTTAGAATCTGAGGTCTCCTGTTTTTTTGAGCTGGTTTCTTCTCCATCCTCAATTTCGCCATCTTCTAAAATTTCTCCATCTTCAGCTTCAATTTTCCTGAGTTTTTCTTTTAGTTTTCTTTGTTTAGATTTCAAGTACCTATCTTCATCATCATGTTTTCTACTGGATTTTTTATGAGATTCATCATCTGATAATTCATCAGACTTTCTGCGATGATGGTGATCATTTGAATCTCCGCTTGATCTACGACTGTAATCTTTAGAGCCATACCCATCATCGTCATGAGCTCTACTAGGCTTATCACCAGAGTTTCTACGTGGGGATCGGTGTTGGGAATCTTTATTATTGCCAGAATGTCTTTCTTTCCATCTCTTCTTTGGTGAATGAGATTTTAGATCCTTTGGCTCATCTTGTAAATCCCCATACATTTCATCGTTTTCATTTTTCTCATTTTCTTCATTATTGTTTTCACCAAAATAATCCTCCTCTTGTTCCATTATATTACAGTCTATTGGTTATTTTTTCATTATATAAGTAGCTTTGCCTAAAACAATATAATACAATTTTTGTAGAAACAAAATACACAATACACAATAATGGCAAGACAAATAAACTTGATAAATAAATTGCAACATTTTTCTTTATCAAAACATTATATTGTATTATTATTTATAAATTTTGCAAAAATAGCAAGCTCATTGCTCAAATCTTATGCTGATATGTAATAAACACAGCTAGCTTCTCTGTCATTTGGTTCTGGTTGTCTCATTGGCAATCATACTTCATGTTCTTATTTTTATACAGAAATTACTTTGATGGAATGATATCTTTTAAAGAAAACAAGTATTTGAATTATGATGTAGTGTAATATTTTTTTTCATTTAGAAGCATCATTAAAGAGCTCAAGAGACATCCTATCATGAAAATCTGTTGTCAAACTTTTTACCATATACTACATGTACTATAGATATCACAAAAGAGCTAATAGAAATTTAAGGAAAAGGATATATTTTTAAAGTAGGAATTGAAACGATTTGAATTATAATTTCAATTACTAAGGGATATACATGTTGTCAATGTCTAGACTTGGAGCATGAACTCAATGAAACACTTGTCAGATCAGTTAAAAGTTTTTGACCAAATGTTTTGGGAATATTCAAAAAAAAATCTTAATATGATGGCAATACTCCCACTATTGACAAAGGTGCAGGATGGGTCAGTAGACAATTACTATTTACTAGTTCAAACAAAATTTCACTAGCCAATTACAAATAATTACCCGATATGATTAGAAGTGATCAGAATTTCATGAGAGAAAGGTCTAGTTAAGTCAGGTGAAGAGGAACTGAAGGGAGTCTATACAGGCAATCATCAATAGACATGACCATGTATAAGTGGAAGCAGCTGTACTGTTAATTCAATTACAGTATAAAATCTTAATAACCTAGCTATGTGTTATTAATTTTTAAAATAGTGGGGGAAAAAAGGGGGGGGGCATTAACAAGGCAAGGTTAGGAGTGGGACTTGTAAAAAGTATATGTATTAACCATTAACCATATCTGTAGCTCAATAAGGGCCCCCTCATTCTGACTCCGAGGGCCACTCGTAACTAATAATTACTTAAAGACTTCGCCCAACTCTCAACCTTAAAATGATTTTGTCATAAAAAGATGGGATATTTGAACAGTAAAATTAAAAAAAATAATTTTTCAAATAGACCCTTTCAATAATAGATCTGAAATCAAGTCTAGTAACCACTTAAATTTGGCAAATGTTATATTCTTAATAAACACTACTATAAATAAAAAATACTTCAATTGGGCATCCTTTTGAATTATCATGAGCGGTTCTTTGGGTTCTTATATCAAACTTTAGACAGATTTTATAAAGTTATGGAATGGTTTTACCCAATTCATTTTTTATTCTTAACCTACCAGATTAGAAAGTTAATCAACTATTTAACAACCCTTTCTTACTAAGATGTTTTTCACATTGTGATCATTAATTCAGCTTTGATGCAGTTCAAACTTAGCTCTGAACCAACTTACAAGAGGTTTTAATAAAGGTAATTTATTTCAGCTATGAATATGGGGACAATATGAGAGTTAGTATTTATCATAGATATACTGAATCTATGAGTAAGATACACATGTATTAATGATACATCTTCCTTTGAATTAAAAAAAACTTCCTTGTCAAATAAATTTTACATGTACAACTAATGACTTCCTTCTTAACAGGATTTTGAAAGTATGGTATTAAGATAAATTTTAGTCTTTAAAATAAATATAAATTTCAGTTTTTTTTAAATAGATGCACATTCATTAAGGAATTCTGATGTCAATGTACATGATTACTGACCGATTACTAAGACATAAAAAGAATTATATTTGCATAAAAAAGTTCTCATCTCATTATTACAACTTTCTTATAGTCAAAAAGGGGTATTTTAAATCAGTGATGCAATATTTAGTCCAAAAAAATAAATCAAATGTTTTCATGTAATTCAATTATATGCCTGAAAAATCCTTAATCTTTGCATTTTATTAAAATGAGCAAGCAACATATTTTATATTTTCATAAATAATTTTTAAAAAGGGACAAAACCATGGCATTATTAACTTCATGAAGATGTCTTATTTTAATTAATATACTTCACTAGTAGGAAATCAAAATGACTTTATAATCCAAAAAACAAAACATTCAAGTTTTTTATTTCATATAAAAGATTAATATACAAATTTTACATTTGCCATTTTTCACCCATATGTATGATGATAAATTTAAATTACATTATCTCCCCCTTTTTCTGTGTCTTTGAGGGGGGCTTCAATTAATTTATATAGTCCAGCTTTATTTGTAATTGAATAAAGAACAGTTGGTCAAATGATAATAATTTCTATATTGAACAGGTTGGGGAGGATTTTTTTATGAATGGTATCAATTTACAGTGATAGATTGAATTTTGCATTTCATAATAATGCCATTACAGCAAATATCCTGAAATCCAGAGTTCAATTTTGAAACACTGTGAATCTATACCCGATTCTATGTTTGGTACCCATCAATGGTGATAATACCCAATTATGATGATCTTCCCTAACCTGTTGAACAAAAATCCTGAAAGTTTCCTTTGCTATTCATAAAGGCATTGACAAATGTAAATATTGTTTGGCAAATAGCCAAGTTTTAACTACAACATAATTGACCAAAAAAGCCAGGACCAAAGGAAATTGTACATAGGAGAAATGGAATATGATGGGAAAATCATGGACTCTGCTTTTTTAATCACTTGCAAACATTTTCCTTTTAAATTCATGCAACATGAGATACTCATAACTTAAGGGTAAAGTAGGTAAAAGCATTCTCAATACTTAAATGGGATAAAGGTACTGATAAGGGACGTAGGAAGTTAGTAGGAACTTTGTTTCTTTTGTTTTCTTTTATTCTTCAGTGTGTTGTGAAATCCAGTGAATCTATATTTAGAAACACATTATGTCACAGGTGCCCGCTGTTTACCTTGACAACTAATCACAACAATGGCGGTGAGTCATGTGATCTACACATAGCTTTCCGGAAGTATTATTATATCGGATTGAAGTGATATAAGCCCAATCTGAAGCCATCCGTCCCCCCAAAATACATTTAACTACAAAAAATCTGCATTTATCTTTAAAATATTCTTTTCATGCAAAATAATAAAGTTTATTAACTTTTTGATGCAACTTTTATGATGAACAAAGAGCCACGTCACCATGTTTTGGGAAACGGGCCTTCGACAAAAAAACACAACATTGAAATAATAACCCGGCGTTAATTATTAAAAAGAAAGAATTACTTGAAATATTAGAGGCACTTGAAAATTTATTGGTGCCTTTAAGTTACATTCCATCCTTTTGGTTACAACACAAAATTTTAGTTCCAAGATGGCTCAGCTAATTTGCATAATTTATGCATAGTTTCTTACAATACCTTGCCAGTGCGAGTTCATTTTCCTTTGATTTAACTTTTTTCTAAACGTTGCGTTTAGAAATTTATATATATTTCGTTGTATTGACGAATTATCCCATATATTCCTCGTCTGTCCAGGTTGCTCTTGAGCTTGTGGCCAAACACCTTATATATTTGTGCAGGAGAAAGGCCACAGGAGAAAGACTTTTTGTGAACTAATATTACGAGTTATTGGGAAAGATACCGTTTTAAATCTTTAAACACTGAAGTCTTTCGGCTAGTGCATTAAACAAGACGGATTGTGTAAGGAAAACAGGTCCGAATATCTCCAGATTTTGAATGTATTTCCATAGTAGTTTGATCACTACGATTCCCTTACATCGACCAAAATGGCGACGTAATAACCTTGCGGGAACCACGTGATCTCATTCATAATCAAACAGTCTGTGCATTAATCTGCCCACGTAGCTAAGATATTATATGTTGTGTCAAGGTCTAATAAATTACCAGTACGTTCTTGTCATGATGATTAACAACCGTGGAATGCAGATTAATTCATGTTTGAAACAAGAGGTACACATGTGAAAATCGATATTGAAAGTCAGTGTGCAAAAATGTTATAAATTTAATCAGAGACATCGGTATATACACGTCTCTGAGTGATTTAATATTACTTTGTATATTCCTATTAATGTCCTTCTTAATTAATGCTGAGACATTATACAGTATTATCAGATTAATGACAAAAGTCAACAAGGATATATTATATATATGATAACTCATTTTTTTACTTTGGGAGATTCAGAAAAAAGGGGGGGCATCTGTGTCACCACAAGAAGCGGCGTCGATAGGCCTACATGCTTTTTAGTGCAGTTACTAGTTTTGTTCATTACATATGCAAACAATCCCGAAGATCTCCAGCAGATCATTTCCTTCCTCTCTCAGTCCTTCCGTTATATGAGCATCCGGCCTTTCTATCGGATGCCAAGTGCGGCCACGGTGACGAATCCGGCGTTCAGCAAACTAACTGATAGCGGTATTGTATATCCAGATCAAGAAATATTTTGAGCGGATGATTTATCGAGGGACAGTCAAGATTGTAGTTAAAGGCAATATTATTCATCGTGTACTGAAAAAAACAACCAACAACACTGAACATAAAAGCACATCAATATAATAAATAAAACAATACACTAACAGCCAGACTGGTCGGTCATGGTTTGCATAGCACTATTGTATATTTTATACAGATAAACAAAACTCCACTTGATATATATTTTTAACAATACCTGCATATATCTGATATGATCTAGACGATTTTTCTCTGTAAACTATCCTGATTTTATTCAAATGCATAGCCCTCTTAACTCACTCTTGCTTATTCCTTCGTTAGTATAGTGACAAATGGTCAATTTTAACCTTTTTCACGATAATCTTAATCATACCAAAATTATGATAACTGGGACGTTTTTTACTTCTAATGAAGAACATTTCTCATTCGGTTGACGTTCGAGATGTGCGTGTTTGCAATGACTTCTCATAGTTCAATAAACGTTATATTTCGGGGAGAGGGGAAAGTAGGGATCGGTAGCTACCCTTTTGTGGACTAGGGATAAAATTGAGAATGGAAATGGAGAATGTGTTAAAGAGACAACATCCCGACCAAAGAGCAGAAAACAGCTGAAGGCCACCAATGGGTCTTCAATACAACGAGAAAATGGATGACTGTCTGACATAATTTTTTTATAATCTATTGTTTTAAGCAATACTAAAATGTTCCGTTTATAGAAATAAGGAGATGTAGTATGATGGACAATTGGACATATATCCACCAAAAACCAACGGACAAAGATGTGAACAACTACAGGCCACCATACAATCATATAGTGAACAAGGCATATGCCGTACTGTAAGCTTTATAATTTAAAAGGACTCGTCTCGGATGCCGGACAAAATGTGAAACAATTCAAAAGAGAGGATCAACGGCCTGTGTTGACCTGCAGAATGACCTCTTAAGGTCGCTATATTTCATAAAGTGTACATATATCATATACAGTAACGTCATAAAAGGTAAAATCTACACCAACGCATCACGTTAAAAGTCAAAGTATCCGCAATTGGGTGGCATTTTTATACGACCGCAAAAAAAATTTGCGGTCGTATATTGGTATGACGTTGGCGTCGTCGTCGTCGTCCGAAGACACATTGGTTTTCGCCCTCTAACTTTAGTTTCAGTGAATGGATCTCTATGAAATTTTACCATAAGGTTCAATACCACAAAAGGAAGGTTGGGATTGATTTTGGGGGTTATGGTACCAACAGTTAAGGAATTAGGGGCCAAAAAGGGGCCAAAAATATACATTTTTGTAACTTCAAGATATAACTTGTGTGTTAGTGTATAGATCTCTCTGACATTGTACCACAAGGTTCCATATCACAAAGGGAATTGATTTTGGGGGTAATTGCCTCAAAATTTTAGGAATTAGGGGCCAAAAAAGAAGCTTTTTTTTCTAGTTTCATGACAATAACTTGTGTGTAAGTCTATGGCTCTTTCTGTAATTGTACTACAAGGTTCCATATTACAAAGGGCAAGATGGAATTGAGTTTGGGGGTAATTGCACAAAACGTTTAGGAAAAAGGGGCCAAAAAATAAGCATTTGTCTAGTTTCCAGACAATAACTTGTGTTCAAGTGTATGGATCTCTCTGAAATTGTACTGCAAGATACCATACCGCAAAGGGAAGGCTGGGATTGAGTTTGGGGATTTTCTTTCCCTTTTTTTTTTCTTTAAAATTTTCCATTTTAAATTGGTTATTTCTGATTTATATATAAAAGCAAATAATAATGATATGGTTTGAATAGGTAAAATTTGTGTCAAATATTTAATCACAATCCAAATTCAGTGCTGTATCAAGCTTGAATGTTGTGTCCATACTTGCTCCAACTTTTCAGGGTTCGACCTCTGCGGTCGTATCAAGCTGCGCCCAGCTGAGCATTTTATTGTTTTTGGTTTTTTCTTGTGAAAATTTTAATGATGATGATATTGAATTGATGTTTAAGGTCAAGTGGCACATACTACATGCATATTAGGACGAGAATACGCTATGGTGATGTGAATATAAATCCAGCTTTGTACAAGACCGACTCACACAGCCTGAAGTTTTTAATGCGCTACTTTACGTCCACAGGAAGACGTAGCACCCTACTCGGACTGCACGCCTACAGATCTTACACTTAAATGCCACCTGCTTAGCGAAGAAGCAGAAAATACCAATTTTAAATTAAGTATTCGGACGCAAAATACCGCTCAACAGCTGCGTATACCAAGCCTTAAAAGTGCAAATAACCGAATTAAAATTTAAAAACTTTATAATACTTTATTGATAATAATATTGCGTTATATTAAAAAACATTGTGATTACATGTATATGTATAGCATATGTTACAGTTACAATATTCATTGATTGATTTATGTCGACGGGGGCATCGTTGGATTTGGACCGCTTAAAGACCCCGGTCATTTTTAATGTGAGAAAGAATCATAAGGGAATGAAAAAAAGATTAGAAGGGGCAAACAAATATCACAATTTAGATTTGTATTTTGAATGTATTACATGCAAACCCCTCCTGTAAATGTACAGCATCTGTTACACTTACGTAATGCGGTTGGAAAAATAATTGTTTGATATATTACCGACGGGGGCATTAAAATGAAAGGAATCACGACAGATTATAAACAAATTATAAATAATCTGTTAGAATAAATACTCCTGCCCCATCTCCGAATATCAAAATAATCGTCCCCTTTTATGTAAATATACCACATCTGTTATAATTACAATGACGTTATGTAGTTCAAATATTCATTGATTGATTTATACCGACGAATTATACTGAATTGTTCATGACTTACGATTAATCTTAGTCGTAAGTTTTTTTGTGAAATCGACTCCTGAAGAGCACTGAAAGACCTCGACCATTAATGTGAAATTGAATAGGGAATATAAAAAAAATAGAACTTGGAAGATAAGAAGGGGCAATCAAAAATCGCAATTCATAAGACAAAAATTGACAATGGCCGAAAGGGGAAAATTCTTTACGTGACTTGCCTGGGAAGGCTTTTTTTCTCAAATCAATATCCATATGCGATGTAACAAATGTTCATGCCGTTAGTGGTCCATTCTTCACTTATTATATAATGGCCAATTCAAGGAAAAATTTCCTCATGGAACAATTGGAAATAATCAGGCATGTACCTGATCAATTTATGGGAGCTAATTATGATCAATTAAAAACCGAATAATACAATATTTTTTAGTATTTTATGTTTGGAAAAATATGAAAACAGTTGCAACTGTACAGGGTAGTTGTGATACTATCAAAACTTATTATAATTGTTGATATCATTATTATTATTTGATAGGCATTTCAATTTATTTCCAATATCGCAAACTCGTCGTCAATCGTTTCCTTGTTTGTATATTTGTCTTTATCTATACACATGAACCGAGAAGTCCATTACTATAGCTCCCCTAGTAATAGACTTCTGATATGAATAAAAGGACACGTGGTTGTATACGTCATCGAGACAGTTTTCAATCGTTATAAATTTTTTTTAAAGTATGAAAAAAACACGTTATAAATGTCATGAGTCCGAAGCGATTTTCTGGATTTACCTTCACCAGGAACACTCAAAGCCAAATATTTGGAAGGCCAAGGATGTATTAGAACCGAAACAGTTGAAGAGCTATACGACTAAAAGTACCTAAAATAGCCAAATGCATCTACGGTCAACTTTGCCTGAGAGAGTTGAAACCTTATAGTTTCTTAATAATTTCAAAATTTATAAACGGACAATTTTAGAAAGATTTGTTATAAATCATGTCAGTACCGAAGTAGTGACTACTGAGCTGATGATACCCTCGGGGACTGATAGCCCACCAGCAGAGGTATCGACCCAGTGATGTAAAAAATGAAAACAACACGTTATAAGTTTCATGCGTCCGGAGCGCTTTTCTGGATTTACCTTCATGATGAGTTTATCAGGAACGCTCAAAGCCAAATATTTGAAAGCCAAGGATGTATAAGAACCGAAACAGTTGATGAGTTATACAACGAAAATTGACATAAAAAAGCCAAATCCGTCTAAAGTCGACTTGATTCGTTCATTGTTGAAGACCCTACATCAACTGTCAAGATGAAGAACAGGAGTAAAAGCCCTGTTCGTTGATAATTTTCTATGTTTTCTATGTATTGTGTGTGCGATTTTGTCCCATGTACATTTACTCCATATCCTTTCATTTTCTTTTGCCTGAAGGAGTTGAAACCTTAGTTTCTTATTAAGATATACTTTTGTCAACAATAAGACATGTATATTTACTATATTATTATAAATGCCGTGCTATACTATTATAAATGCTGTGTAAATGATCTTAAATGATTTAAAAATGCGTCTTGTATTTCCTTAGCTTATAAGCAAACATACAAAAAAATGAGGTAAACACTAACCAATACCTCGGACTTCAAATATCAGACGCGTCACGCCCTAAAATGAAGAACACATATAGCAAACACCATGCAGCAGAGAAGCAAGTTCTTCCCTTGGATTCCTCAGACGGAACTTACAACACTGTCCAAAAGAATGTAGAAAAAACGCATGCATATCCCTAGAAAGATCAATTGTGGAATATGGAGCCATTATATGGGACCATACACAAGGAAAGATATAGACCAACTGGAAAGGATACAAAGAAGGGCCGTGCGTTTCATCAATAAAGAGTACACATCATGAGATGATGGATGCATCACAAAAATGATCCAAGATCTAGAAAATCACCACTAGAAGACAGACTAAAACAATAGAGGTTAATATTTCTCTACAGGGTGGTTGAGGGTCAGGTACCAGCGATGCCGTCTTCTTACTACAAAATCCCAAACCAAGGAAGACGCCAAACTCAAACCCCAAAAATTCAAGACCATATTTCACCAAACATTGTGGAAAAACAATCCTACAAAAATGCAAAAACAGTTAAGATCCAGTATTATCAACCGACCAATTTAAAATTAAACTCATTTTTCGTCAGAACTGCTGTCGACTGGAACAACCTTGAAGACAGCATAGTGACAGCAAAGACCAGGCGCGGATCCAGCGGACCATTTATAAAAGGGGGTACCAACACATACAAGTCATATAAAAGGGGGGGGTCCAACCATATGTCCCAATACAAAAGCATTAGTTGTCAAACAATAATGGGGGTTCCCCCTCTCCTGGATCCACACCTGAAGACAACCGAAGGCTTCAAAGCGGCACTATATAGCCACAATCGGGACTAATTGCGTTCTCTGTCCTGTTGTAATAAAGCCCAGTTGGGATTCTACAACGTACCTATACAGATACAGTGAATACCTGGAAGAAGAATCAGAATAATTGTTTACAAACAAAATATATATATAGAAAACAAAACAAAGTAATGTAAAGTCTGAAAACACCCTTGTAGCCAAAATTTTCTGGCAACTAAAAAAATAACACCTTAACAGAGCAGGAACATAAAGGAACTTTCTTCTGTTCTAAAAAAATCTTTGATTTTCAAGCCTATTTTTTATTTATAGAAATAAGAAGATGTGGTATGAGTGCCAATGAGACAACTCTCCATCCAAGTCACAATGTGTAAAAAGTAAACAATTATAGCTCAAAGTACGGCCTTCAACACGAAGCCTTGGCTCACACCGAACAGCAAACTATAAAGGGCCACAAAATGACTAGTGTAAAACAATTCAAACAGGAAAACCAACGATCTAATCTATATAAAAAGCGAGAAACGAGAAACACTTAAGAACCACATCAACAAACGACAACCACTGTTCAAAACAGGTTCCGGACTTAGGACAGGTGCAAGCAAACAAATGCAGCTTGTTTAAACGTTTTAACGGGTGCCAACCTTCACCCTAACCTGAAATAGTGTAACATTACAACATAGAAAGACACACTATAAAATATCAATTGAAATGGCTTAACTTTTGTTGATAACAGGAACGTACGTTCACGATATATCACCATATTAAGTTCTATCCTGTTACCCATTTTGTCTATCCTGTTACCGCTAGCAGTATTGCATTTGTATATGCTGAATTGCGAAAGTTAAGACGTTGTAACCTATAAATGAGTTTAAAAAAACAACATTTTATTATGTGTAAAACTATATGTAATTATAAACTTTTTAAAGACGTTTCTGTCAAATATTGTCTATCCTGTTACTGTAACCATAGTAACAGGACAGACATAACAGGATAGACATATTTCTTCATTTAAGAGTTGAATGCTTCTTTTTGTAATTTTATTGGGGTATTAAAGTGATGACCGAAGCACATTTTGTATGAAGCGCGGAAGCGCTTTATTCTAGAAATGTGCGCACGATCAACACTTTTACAACCCTATAAAATTGCATTTTTATGCTAGGGTCATGAAAAATCGATTTCTATCATTTATTTCTTTAATTGACCTGTACACTTTATTGTGATGGCACCTGTCATCACGAATATTACACTTCATTGGGATATGAAGGTTAATTTTAGTATGACGCGCAAGCGTTGTTATCCAATCAAAATAACGGACTCTGGTTTCCAACACGTAATTGCACTTTTTACAAGTGTAATATATAAATATGTTGGAACATAAACAGCATAGACATGACAAAAGGGTACCCACTATTTTTTTCACCAAATATCTTGAATTTTCTTTTCTCTACACTGTTATGCAAGAAACGTGCTGCGTTAAAATGTTTTATGATGCTTTGTGCTTTTGAAATACTCACTGAATAGATCCATATTCATAAGGAAGGGTGGGGGGGGGGGGGGGCAAATTAACGGTTTATATAGTAGCGGTAACAGGATGGACATGCACTTCATTTCGTTTGTAGAAAAAATGTTACAAAGAATAATAAAGAAGCTGATATTTTTCGTTAGAGTTATTATCAACGTTCTAAAATAATTCCTTTTGCAGGTAGCAAGGCAATCAGAAAATAGGAAAACAATCATTTGAAAATTTTTACCCTGACACTCACGGTAAACAGTACGCAAAAATCGGACTTAAAGATATTTTATTCTTATCAAAATTGATCTAAATCGTGTTTGTTATAGATCCCACACACTTTCATTTAAACACTCACAACTGCAATTTCCTTTAAACATTTTTTTTAGCATAGGTGTACTGAAAATTCGACAGATGCATAAACATCCGGATTTTTTTCTACCGACATTGTTTCGAAAGTAAACAACTTCCGGCATTTTCAGCCGCCACACTTCACACAGGTAGAAAAAAACTGCGTTTTCCCTTTTGATTGAGTGTTACAGAACAAAAAAATATCATTTATTAAAAATATTACCATTTCCTTTGTATTTTAGTTAAAAAGAGAATGTTTCGGTGAAGTTTAAAGCAGTTATAGCTATCTGAATTGAGCGATCAATGAACAGACTGGGCAGCTTTGTGTTTATGTACTATAAGTCTGTTCATAGATTTTTCATTCAATTGTAAGTGTAAATTTGATAGCTTAAGTCCATATGACAGAGCAAGTAAAAATGCATTGTTCACTACGTTTAAAGGAACTGTTGAATATAAATGTCTTGTTATGGTTACTTTAACCAGGCTGGTTGGAACCCTAATTGAGGTAATGCCTATACCTCAGTAACCAGTATTTTCCAATTGATGTATTAAATACATCTCATCTTTTTTTGCCTTACATCACAGAAATATCTGATTATCCTCGTCCTTTGATACATCATAGATTTATAAACCTATAGATAAAGCTCTAAGAATATGCCCTACTGAACGCCCTGTAGTTCCCATTTAAGTTTCAAAAACATGACACTGATCATAGCAGTGTACTGTGATGTGGATGATAATAATGGACGACCCCCTGAACGAACAGATTACATGTACTTTTCATAATTATTTGTATATTATCTGGGACTTGTCTTGTCAGCTGAAAAGTAATATGCACTTCTGCCATTCTAGTGGCCCAGGTGTTCACAATTGTCACTTTCATCATCTGCAATTTTCCATTTTTACCAAGTCGATGAAACAGCAATTTTTTATTTATAAGTAAAAAAATTCAAAGACTTAAACGCTTTATTCCATTAGAAAAGAGGTGAAAACATTGACTTTACAGATTGGAACCACGGATCAGAGATGGTATTCATCAGCTGTGACCAAAATCCGTATTCTTACGTTTATAACTACAGATGCACTAATGGCACAGCTGACAGAATAATAATGATCCCAAATGGAAAAATTACGCATTCCACAAGCATTAATAGACTTTTGTTAGATCTCCTTGCTACATTAAATGAATATATTTCCATGTAAATGCATTGTCTCAATTAAGTTGCTCAATTTTGTTAAATGTACATATCTTTTTAATGAGAAACAATGAATTTCATAAACATGATAAACAGAATAGTTTTTAAAGGCAGTGCTTTAATGCCTTTCTGGTTGCCGGGTTAATCTTTCTTTCCGCGATATCCAACTTATCTACGTGGGGGGTCATTAGGCTCCAAGTAGATCCGGAAATGTTGAATTCTCTCCTCTTCTTATTGTGATATAAAATGTTTTTTGCTTCATTTCATTTACATTGGGAAATAGAGAAACGATCATTGTGTTCTGTTAGTTTTAAAAACTTTTGATATATTTGTATTTTGCATTATAAGCAGTCAACCGATTGACAAACTAGAATTATTTGAATTCCTTGTGGAAAGAGGTCGGGTTAATTTCGAGTGTTATCTGCAATCTAGATGTTTATAAATCATTTCAGTCGTTGATATAATAATTAAAGGTCGACTGAACATGAATTATATTATACAATTAAAAGCGCATTTCTGTTTATGCACATGAACTCGTCTAACGTTATTGTTATATCGCAGTTTTATAAAGTAGCAAATTATCGTTCCTGAATAGGTGGCGCCGTGGTAGCCAATCCTGTTCCTCAACTTCCGGTTTCTGCACTGTGCATTTTTAATTAACGATGCCAAGTAGTAGTACTTGTTGTTGTGAACCTGGATGTCATTTAAGAGGAGGACATGCATTTCCAAATGACTTAAAAAGAAGGAAAAGTTGGATCAACGCCATGGCCCATACGCAGATTGGACGAGAACACGATGAAATCGTGGAGTCCATCTCAATCAGCTGTTGTTTGCAAGGCACATTTTACTGAAAAAGACTACGTGCAGGAAACTATTCATGGTAAAACTCTATTTTCTTTTTGAAATATATAGTTATATATGTAATCGCCATGCGAATAAACCAAAGTCTGTTTACAACCGCAATTATCATTTTAGAATAAAACTTTTAAAAGGGGGTGGTTAATTCAAGACGTCATAATTTTTTGGATTACGATTCAATGTGATCTGTTTGAGATTTTTTGGTGATTGCTACAATTATAATGATTTCTTACAAGAGGTATATCATACTGAGAATTATTTTAGCAGTAATTATGCTAATGTAGTAATGGCAGGAATGCATAAGCTATGCCTCATAGACTTTCTTGAAAAATATCAATGACAATGTTAACAGGAACAAAACAATGACATGCTCTCATCTATATTATAGTTATTTAGGTACAAACAATGTACGTTTGTTGCATAAGTCTCTCATTGTTTGTCCTTTGGATTTACATAACATACATTGAATCAGGCAAACATAGTTTTATCCAGATTGTAATGAATAAATCTAGTTAATATTTTGCCAGGTAGTACAAAGTATACATTGCTAATGGAAGTTCATTTAATTATCAAAAAACTAATGTTTTATAACCTTTTTCAGGGCGCAAACCTACCATACAGAGACTTAAGTCTACTGCCATTCCCAGCCTATTTTCCTGGACCAAGCAAGAGACTGAATCGTCCGCAAAAAGAAAAAATCAGGGCAGTTTCCTGTGAAAACAAAAGAACTAAACTTGATGAATATTGTAGTAGAAATCTAGAGGAAAGTTTTGATTGTAAAGTTGGTTTTCCTGAAGAAGTCATTCATACTGCAGAAAGGATAATCCGATTTATGACTGTCCACCACCAACTGCTGAGCTAATGTTGAGCTTCACAGATGGAATTACGCAAACACCATCAATGCCTTAAGTTTTCAGCAGAGAATTTTGAAATGAAGACATGTGACACAGCCATGCTTTTTTATACCGGTTTAGAGTTGTATACTAAATTTTTATTTGTTTTGACCACACTTGGTCCAGTAGCACATTGTTTGAGATACATATATTTTCAAATTGATAGGGTGTCAGTTGAAAATCAGTTTTTTTATAACTTTGATGAAATTGAGGCATTATACAACCAACTTTGAACTGTCTAGATTCTAGATTGAATCTAGTGTTAAGAATATTGTGTATACATGGATTGTTTTTATGTCTAAACAGTGGTGTGAGGCTAACACTTGGCCATCTAGTGGTTTAGTCAGGTATTTTTCGCCATCCAACTTCAAATTGAAGTTTCCTACAACTTGGATTATTATTGACAGCACAGAATATCCCTTGATAAAACCTAAAGCTCCTAGAGCTCAGGCAACCTTTTCATCATATAAAAACAGAAACACTGAAAATACTTGTATGTTCGACACCTGGTGGTTTAGTCAACTATGTCTCTAATGCATATATGTAGGTTGTACCAGTGACTGTGAAATAGTTGAAAGATGTAGAATAGTTCAATTATGTGATCCAGGTGACAGTGTGATGGCAGACAAAGGTTTAAATGTGCAAGATTCTTTTGCTAACTTATTTCAAAAAAAGAAACAGAATTAGTTCCAAAACTCTTATGCGGGATAGAAAAGTCTCCAATTAACACATGCACATAGAGCAAATTGTTGGACTTGGCAAAACATACAAAATTCTAATAAATCCTATGAATGGAACTGAAACAAAACTTTCAACTGAAATAACATTTAGTTGTTTTATGTTGTGTAATTTTAGAACTTGTATTGTGCCAAAAGATGCATAAATAAAAGTAACGCAATGAATTTTGTTCTGATATATATATATTTACAATTACATGCACATGTAAATTGTAATGCATATAAAAATAAGGAGATGTGGTATGATATTCAGTGAGTTAATCGAACCAAAGTGCATAAGAAATGGGTTTAAGCAGTTACAGGTGTTACTGTCACCGTACAATCTCCAACAATGAGAAAAACTCGTACCGTGTAAAAAATTTCAGAGATCTTACAACTAAGTTTTGTTGTCTCACCTTGACTTTGGTGAATTGTTTATATCTGTTGATGTAAATATAAAAAAGAAGATGTGGTATGATTGCCAATGAGACAACTCTCCACAAGAGACCAAATGACACAGAAATTAACAGCTACATGTATAGGTCACAGTACGGCCTTCAACAATGAGCAAAGCCCATACCGCACAGTCAGCTATAAAAGGCCTCAAAATGACAATGTAAAACAATTCAAACAAGAAAACTAACGGCCTAATTTATGTACAAAAAATGAATGAATAACAAATATGCAACACATAAACAAACGACAACCACTGAATTACAGGCTCCTGACTTGGGACAGGCACATACATGTACATACAGAATGTGGCGGGGTTAAACATGTTAGCGGGATCCCAACCCTCCCCCTAACCTGGGACAGTGGTGTAACAGTACAATATAAGAACAAACTATAAAAATCAGTTGAAAGAGGCTTAACTCATCAGATGGATAAATACAAATACAAGTGGACGTGGCCGGGTAGTTGTACATCCAAACAACAAAAAGACACTAAGTACTGATCTGAGAAAAATCTTGCATCTAAGACTAAATTATCAGTCCGTCTAAGACTAAATTATCAATCCGTAAGCTCCCTTTAGAATTTAATAAATTTTAGATTTTACATTTCTGAGTCATGAGGTTTTATTCATTAAAAAAGGAGGGATTTTCCAGTTTTTGGACAACAACTCAAAAATGCTTTAAGCAGTTCGCATGAAACTTTGGTAAATTATTTATAGCTATTGATGTAATCTCCCAATTGATTTTCATAAATTTCAAATACGACATTGAGAAGAAATTGAACTTTATTTGTTTATAGTCTGGCAACAGATTTATTAAGTATTGCGCAACAGAACAGTGTATTGCTCAACAGCAAGAAATCTTTAATTGAATATAAATTCAATTCATATAACCGATTTCAAGTTCTTTGACTACATTTATTCAGAAACTATAATATGTCAAATATTTAATTACAATCCAAATACAGACCTGTATCATGCTTGAATATTGTGTCCATTTTTGCCCCAACTGTTCAGGGTTGGACCTCTGCGGGTGTATCCAGCTGCGCTCAGCGAATCAGTATATTTCTTAATGAAGAACTCCTTTTTTCATTCATAAATTACTTTATACTTGGAAATATAATTTTGCTTGGAGTTATAGTTTCTAAAAAAAGTATTGTCATTGAAAGAGTTGACATATTGCAATGTACATTTATTCTACATAGTTCTATGGTACCAAATCAAAAGTTTATATGAAAGAAAGAAGTCAAAGGTTTCCCATCATAGTTTAGTTACATACATTTTTTTTGTACCTGAGGTCGTTGAATATAGATCATTATATAAATAAGGAGATGTGTTATGATTGCCAATGAAACAACTATCATCCATACTTACCAGTAACAAACCACATTTGCAAAGTTGAATAAAATACAGTTGATAACATTTACTTATTACTAAAAAGAAAATGCCTAACTATTTTAAACAGTATTTGACTATAAACATAGATAAAAAAGGTACAAACTGGACATAATGCACTAGTTCTTAAACAAGTGAGAACAATCGCCTTCATATAGTACTCAGAATATGACATTCATAAAACTTGTTCAATATCATTAGAGAACTCTAAATCTTAAATACTGAAAGCCACCTCTGATAAGTACACTGTACTATGCAAGATAATGATATAACTGGACTAAAATACACACAACCTGTAATTAACTGCCTTTACAGCGCTTTCGCGCTTTGATTTAATTGATATAATTATGATACTTTCTTTTCCTTTTTGATATAAAAAAAGTTCTTTTTAGTGCTAGATATTTAAATGGTAGTTTCTGACGAGGAAAAATATAATTGTGCAACTGTAAGTGATTATTAAAATATAAACTGTAACAACTGTTACTTTATAAAAATAAGGAGATGTGGTATGATTGCCAATGAGACAACTATCCACCAAAGTTCAAATGAAGTGGATGTAAGCAATTAAAGGCAACCGTAAAGCCTTTTACAATGAAAAAACCCATATCGTATAGTCGGCTATAAAAGGCCCTGACATTAAAAATATGAAACAATTCAATTTAAAAAACTAACGGCCTAATTTATGACAAACAATTTACGAAAAACAATTATGACAGACATGAACCAACTTTAATCACTGAACTACAGGCTCCTGGCATGGAACAGGATTGTCTGGTATAAAAAATAAATAGCCTTTATATTAATGTAAAACCCAAACATTGTACCATCACTAGCAAACAAGCACTTATCTTTTAAGTCTCGTCACTTCTACCTATCAGTTTTAAAAAGAGAAGTCACTTCTCCTCCCTGTATTTGGTGTATAGAATGATTTGAGGCTGTGATTATTAAAATATAAACTGTAACAACTGTTACTTTATAAAAATAAGGAGATGTGGTATGATTGCCAATGAGACAACTATCCACCAAAGTTCAAATGAAGTGGATGTAAGCAATTAAAGGCAACCGTAAAGCCTACAGTGACCTATAGACATAATAGTTGCTAACTTTTACAACATTTTGTCCAATGAAAAGTAATCTCATTGGCAATCATACAACATTTTCTTATTCTTATATACATATATATGTCAGTCTGGCAGGGTTTATCAGACTTGACTTATTTTCATGGTTTATTGGTCAACAATATGTTTTCAAGGTTAGGACCGCTTCTCAGGTACTTTAAACAATAGGTCAACTATATTTTTTGTATGGAATGATTGTAAGGTAAACACTTTGCCTGGTAGGGTTCATTTGACCTTGACCTTTTTTCATTGATTATTGATCATGTTATTTAATTTTTAAAATGAAACTCAGTAGTAAAACTTTGATTTTAAAGAAATGATCAATAAAGCAGGCAAGACACTCTTGTTATATACATGTAGAAGTGAATCCATCATAACTTAAGGCTGACATATTAAAACAGTTGATGAGTCTTAAATAAGAAATAAGGTCATTGTTTCAACATAAACCATTTGAATTAAAAAGAAGATGTTGGATATCAGTGCTCCAGCTAGAAATCAAAAGGGGCAGGGTGCCAGTGGAGGGCAGGGCACTTTTTTATGAAAGGAAAAGGCACTACTCATTTCTTTTGTCTACGTTTCTATGTGTATCACGAGTTCACATTCTTTTTTTTACTGTATATGTTGTTAATAAAGATGCATAAGTTGTTGTTTTGATTATTTATTCTATAAAATTTGTATTAGAAAATGTAATTCATACGACATGTTCATAAAACATGTCAATACACATTCATACATCACATCACTATAAAACAATAGAGGCAAATTAACTTACTATTCTTCCCTCCCCCCCCCCCCCCCTTTTCCAAAAAATACCAAAATAAACTAAACATCTCATAGTTTAGCATACATGTGACAGAGTTGTCTTATTTCAAAATTTTCAGCTAGAGTTTGGCCCTCAAAACTTTTTTTCATTGTTTGTGTTAAGGAACTATTTAGTAAAGCTTCATCAAGTTGATGTCATGATAGTTTAACTTCACACTACCCATTTATGTAGGACTGCAGCTTACCATCAATTGAACTTATAAATTTCTTAATTGACAATGCATAGAACATGGATTGCTAAAAGTATGATTATCAAAAATAAATTGCAATATATTTTTTTTGATATGTTCAAAGACAGTTAATATCCTTAAGGTAACATTCTTATATAATTTTGTATTCAATTGGTAATTTATTCCTATTTTTAATACTAGATAATATTTTGGGAGCACAAATTTGTAATAAGCTAAAACAGGGGAATTAACTCCAAAATTAATTTCTAACACGTTTACTGTTTGCTTGTCGCTCACAAGTTGAGATGGACGGCGTTTCTGTGAAGGCATAGTTGTATTTTGATGACTTAAATTCTATTCTAAAGTCATGAAAGTCTTCATTTATACACTCTTCTTGGAGATCGAAAATGCTGACCCAAGCTAAAAACACTCGCTGTAATGACATGATTAACCTGGGGGCAATCACCTGGTGTCATATATGTAATTTAACTTTGTGATAAGAAATCGATGAAACAAAAGGCAATTTTACCAAAACGGCACAAGGGTTTTTGGGAAAAAGGGGTCAGGGCAGAAGGGCGCGGATGAAGGCACCCAGGGCGTGGCTGAGGGCACCCAGGGCGCGGCGCCCTTCTATTTTGGGCTAACGAGACCACTGGATATACATTAATGAGACAAAAAAAGATATTTTGAGGTCAATACATGTATACAAATATACTATATCCTAGTTCTGTACATATGCTATCCTAATTTTAGAAGAGACCATGACACACTTTTTCACATAAACATTTTAACTAGATGAATTGGAGAAAAGTTTTTAAATTTATTCCTTTCATCAGAAACAATTACATTTTTGTAGCACCTCTCAATTTTCATGACTTTTTTCAGTAGAACTCATCATGTCAAAGGAGTTTGTGTCAAACCGTATTTATTAAATTTTTTGTTTACCTTTCAGAAATAATAATGTCAGATAGTGAAGAAGAAGGTAGTGTGTATTCAGGCTCTGCTCCAGGTAGTCCTGCTGGTAGTGGTAGTCCTCCTGGGAGTCCTGCCGGAAGTGAAAGTGGTCCAGGGAGTCCAGCAGGAAGTGGAGCAGAAGAATTAAGTGGAGTAAGTATCCCAGTCCTAAAGGAGGTCAAAAGAATTCATAACAATTACAAATAACCAAATGAATTGTAGTTGATGGGTGAAAAACTAATGTCCCTTCTTTATTTGTTCATTTATTTTATCACACTGTTGTTTTCCAGATAATTTGTTTGTGTTTTGTTCTCTTTATAAAGTCTTGAACAGAATTAATATATTAGTAATATATTTAGGTCGATTTATGTTATAAGATTCATGGAATTTGAAATCAAGCTGATTGAAATATGGAGCCAATGTCCACACTGACAATTTTCTGTTCTACTTTCTGTTTTTTAGGATCAACAGGTTTCAAAAATTGTGGGTGGGGGGGGGGGGGAAATTTCATTGGTCGTAATAGTTATATCAGAACAGAAAATAGAATGTCAGATCCTTTGAAGCAAAACACATATATTTGGATAAGTTCTCTACACAAGTTATTATTGTTTAAGGACTATTCCTTAAAAACATACATGGGACCAGGGAAGGCATTTCAAATTCTCAACTATTCATATATGGAATGGGGTCAAATACAATGAAAATGTAAATGAATTACAATTTGCCTCTATAGATGGTTACCTCATTTTGAAAATGCCTTCTCAGGGTAGTGTTATAAAACAGCTCTCAGAAATTTCTGTGTGTTTTAGGCAGAGGAAGATTTACCTCAGAAGAGAGTAAGAAAACAACGAGTGGTCAGTGATGATGAAGAGGATGAGGATGAATATGATTCTGAAGAAGATGAGGTAGTATATGACAAAGATAATGAGTTAATGTTAAGTCCACAGATAAAATAAATGTTTTTGGTGTTGTGATAAAAAACTCACCAAAAATAAAACAAACACAAAAAATTTAAATAGTTATTTAAAAAATGTATGTAGTCTTCGGCTGCTGTCTTTCGTTATTGTTTTATCATTAATCATGTCATTGGTTTTCTCTTTTGAATTGTTTTACACTTTGTCAGAAACTTTTATGACTTACTATGTGGTATGGAGTTTTGCTCATAGTTGAAGGCAGTACAATGACCTATAGCTATAGTTGCTTATTTTTTTTCATTTGTCTGTGATGGAAAATGGTCTCATTGACAATCATACCACATCTCCTTTGTTTTATTTATTTTGATTTAATATTATACAAGTATTTTGAAAAAAACAAATAATAATTTTAAGAATATTGCCTCAGCTGAAAATTCATCATGTTCATTACTTCCATGAAATTTGTTACTTTAGACAATCACTTTAATGTTGCTTCTGGTCAGATGATGGTAACAAATTGTTTTAAACCTATTTATATAACATGATATTGATTGTTTTTATTGATCCTTTCTGTCATCCTATTTCATTCATTAGATTCTTTTAACAAATGATTGTCTCTACGCTGTCTACTGAGGTGTAGCTATGGGTATATATTTATGATCGTCTCTACGCTGTCTACTGAGGTGTAGCTATGGGTATATATTTATGATCGTCTCTACGCTGTCTACTGAGGTGTAGCTATGGGTATATATTTATGATCGTCTCTACGCTGTCTACTGAGGTGTAGCTATGGGTATATATTTATGATCGTCTCTACGCTGTCTACTGAGGTGTAGCTATGGGTATATATTTATGATCGTCTCTACGCTGTCTACTGAGGTGTAGCTATGGGTATATATTTATGATCGTCTCTACGCTGTCTACTGAGGTGTAGCTATGGGTATATATTTATGATCGTCTCTACGCTGTCTACTGAGGTGTAGCTATGGGTATATATTTATGATCGCCTCTACGCTGTCTACTGAGGTGTAGCTATGGGTATATATTTATGATTGTCTCTACGCTGTCTACTGAGGTGTAGCTATGGGTATATATTTATGATCGTCTCTACGCTGTCTACTGAGGTGTAGCTATGGGTATATATTTATGATCGCCTCTACGCTGTCTACTGAGGTGTAGCTATGGGTATATATTTATGATCGTCTCTACGCTGTCTACTGAGGTGTAGCTATGGGTATATATTTATGATTGTCTCCACGCTGTCTACTGAGGTGTAGCTATGGGTATATATTTATGATAGTCTCTATGTTGTCTACTGAGGTGTAGCTATGGGTATGTTCTGGACCATATGACTATATGGACCATATGCGTAAGGTCATGATTAAATGGGTATACTCATATGGTCTGACCATACACGTATGATCGGACCATATGAGTATGATACTCGTTATGTTATGAACGGTCTGGACCATATGAGTATTTAGACCATATAGGTAATTATCAAATAAATTCTTATTTCCTTCGCAGGAACACGTAGTTCATTCTCCAAATCCAAAACAGCTTATATCTTCCATCTTTTACATCTTTTCTCAACCTTACTGTATATGTTGTCCTGTCGGCTTTTCCATCTGTGAGTGAAATCACAGGCGTTTGGGGCATAGACTATTGTTTTCTTTTTTTCGTAATGTTTAAAATCATTATTTCAGAAACAAAATGATTATACTGTTAGTAAAATTCACTATATTTTATTAATTATGTAACAATGATTACGGCCGTGTAAAATCAAAATTTTATTTTTAGAAACTCTTATTTTATGGGACATCTTTTCAATGTTTATCCTGTTAATTAACCGGACCATACGCGTATGGTTGGACCATATGAGTATATATGCATATGGTCATGACCATACACGTATGGTCCAAATACTCAGATGGTCTGGAACAGGTATATATTTATGTTTGTATACTTATTCCTTCAATGCTTCAGCTACACTAAAATATAACAGTGAAAAAAAAGTAAGAAGTTGATAAAAGAACAATAAAAAAAACCATGGTGTATGCCACCTGCAATTTACCTTATAAAATTTTATTTTGTTTGACTGTATGCATTCTTATTTTTAAAAATTTGTATTTTGACATTTGCATATTTAGATTTATGAAAAAAAATTTCTGTATCATTTTGCATTTTTTCTGAAAGGATTATGCAGTAGATCGTCATGCTAGTAAAAGAAAAAAGAAAAAGCCTAGAGCTGGTGGTTTCATCATTGAAGAAGCTGGTAAGAGTTGTCTTTTCTTAGTTTTTATACAACCGCAATATTGTTATCATGTTGTCGATGAAGACATTTGGTTTCCAGACAATAACTTTAGTATAAGTGAATGGATCTCTATGAAATTTAAGCACAAGGTTCAATAGCACAAAAGGAAGGTTGGGATAGATTTTGGGGGTTATGGTCCCAACTGTTTAGGAATTAGGGGTCAAAAAGGGGCAAAAAAAGGCATTTTTCTAGTTTCCGGACAATAATTTGTGTATAAGTGTATGGATCTCTATGAAATTGTACCCTAAGGTTCCATACCACACAGAAGGTTGGGGTCGATTTTGTGGGTTGTGGCTTTAATCGTTAAGAAACTAGAGGCCAAATAGGGGCCAAAAACAAGACTTTTCTAATATTTGCTAAGCTGGTTCTGACATAAATTATTTCTGATCTATATAAAGAAACAACAAATATTGAGATGGCAGGAGATATACACCAAACAGGGTGTGTAAATTATTATATTTAGTTTGTAAACAGATTTACTAAGTATTGGGCAACAGCAAAGTATTGCACAACAGTAAGAAATCTTCAATTAAAAATAAATACAAATCTTTTAACCAATTTCAATGAGGATTAATTTAAAGTCTTGAATTGTTTGAGGTTTTTACCATGTATTACTATATTGGATATTTGGACATTTTTAAATAGGTCTCCATTGAGGTCCATAGGGTCCAAAATTAGACTTTGTTTGATTTCATCAAAAAACTGAATTCTTGTGGTTCTATGATATGGTAAATCTAACTGTGCATTCAGATTTTTAATTTTGGGCCTGTTTTCAAATTAGTCCATATTAAGGTCCAAAGGGTCCAAAATTAAACTTTGTTTGAATTCATGTTTTTTTTTTTATATGCTGAATCTAACCATGAAATTAGATTTTGGATATTGGACCATTAAGTAGATTAAATGTCCCATTTCAAATTTTTAAGTTATCTGACCACATTTATTCTGTGTCAGAAATCTATAATGTGTCAAATATTTAATCACTATCCAAATTCAGAGCTGTATCAAGCTTGAATATTGTGTCCATACTTGCTCCAACTGTTCAGAGTTCGACCTCTGCTGTCATATCCAGCTGCTCCAGGTGGAGCGTATTTTTGGTCATACCATAAGTCTTACATGGTATTTCATTTACCTAAACTCTTTGATCTTTCAGTTCATTCAGAAGATTAGATAAACCACATGTGGTAATATGCTATGGCAGAATAACAAATACAAATATGCATAACAACCAAAATTCACTGTATGGTGACAGATCTTTGTATATATGGACACAAAAATAATAAAAACTGCAAAAATGCTTTAAATGTTAGAAAAATTAAAAACCCTTAAATGTTAAAAAATGCTTAACTTTGAACTTACAGTGTGACTCATTTTCGAAAAATGTGAATGATATTATCAGTAAAGGTACAATGGTACAAAGGGATCCTATATAATCATGATAAAAATTACTTTGGATATTCTATAAAATTTTGATAACATTTGATAGATGTTGATGATGAGGGTGACGAAGATGATGATGAGGAATGGGAAGATGGTGTGGATCAAACAATGATCGACAGACAATCCACATATGGACCATCAGCTAGAGAAATTGATGAAAATCGTAGATATGAACAAATGATCAGGTAGGTTTTGTTGAAATATTCAACTAATAGATATAAGAAGATGGGGTATGAGTGCCAATGAGACAACTCTCCATCCAAGTCAAAATTTAAAAAAGTAAACCATTATAGGTCAAAGTACGGTCTTCAACACTGAGCCTTGGCTCACACCGAACAGTAAGCTATAAAGGGCCCCAAAAATTACTAGTGTAAGTTTTCTAAAATGAAAAAAAAAAATCTATAACAAAACAGTTTTCTGGCATAAAAAATGTCTATTCAAAAATATTTCAAAATAGTTATCTGACAAAAAAAATAAATGTTTATTACAAAATAGTTTTCTATTCAAAAATATTTTAACTGACATAAAAAGAGCCTATTTTTAAACAGTTTTCTGATATTAAAAAAATTCTATTACAAAATAGACATAAAAAAAAAGATCTATTACAAACAAAAATTTTAAGATCAGATTTAAACACCTCATAAATGTTACAATTGAGAAGTAGAAAATATTAGTTTTTTCAGGGCATTGGAAAAAGTTTGGTCATACAAAGGGTGGTTCTTATTTGTGATCATATTTGTGAATACCTGACCTATGCATATTATCTCTTACATTGACATTTTAAGTAAAAAAAAATTTAAAAAGCAGTATCAGAAAATGTATAGAAATATCATAAAAACTGAAATATATTAATTTGATGTCTTCTTTACAGTACTCAGCGAGAGGATGAGATTGAGGAATATTACAGACAAAAGTATGGTGAGGGTTCAGCTAGCGCTAGATATGGAGAAGGAGAAGAAATGTCTGATGAAATTACGCAGCAAGGATTGTTACCTGGTGTCAAGTAAGTTCACCACCAACATACACAGCCCAGGAGGTTTAATCAAACATTATTTTACCATGTATAATTATGTAAATATCTTTTAAAATTCTGTACTATTATTGACCTTCTGATCACTGAATAGATACCAGTTTCAAACTTGGACCAAGATTTAGGTAAAATTCGGGCATTTAGAATGAAGGCCATAATTTGTATATGCCATAGAACGTCTCTTTATGCCCATACCATATTACCTCTGTGTGAGTTCGTGGTCTAGTGGTTAAGACCGATGGCTACAGTGCTGAAGGTCCCAAGTTCAATCCTCCTCGAGGTGCTAAAAAAGAAATATCAGTACATCAGAAGGGTGATTTTCAACCTCTCAAACACATCTCTGGTACCCAGATCGGAGTTTAAACTAGAATGGGTACTGATGGGGGCCTCAGTTGGTCAAAGTTGCTCCCGACTTTGACCTGGAGATCAATCTGCTAATAGCTCTTCGGTTTGTCTGTTCTTGCCGAGCAGCCCGGTGGATCTCTCCGAGTACTTCGGCTTCCTCCACCATTATAACAGATTCTGCCCGGTGTCCTAACACTCCCTGATGTTGGGGTGGGGATTGTCCTTGTAAATATTGAACAATGTAAATACGTTAGTGACACATCTCCATTAATTCCGATAGGGAGTGTACATGGATTCAACTGTACCCTCGCAGCTCTGGAGGGGTGCTCCGTAAAGGGAGGGATCTACGTACATACATACAATAGCTAACTTGGCAGTTGAAAGTACCAGGATTTATGTTTAAATTTGTACCAAGATTTCAACATACTTGATATCCTTTCAAAATTCAGAAATAGGATACAGTTATTATATTTCAATAGATTGCAATATAAGATGACAAGAATTTTTATGCCCCACCTACAATAGTGGAGGGGCGTAATGTTTTCTGGGTCTGGGCTTCCGTCAAACTTAGTACACATGTTCATTGTGAGGTAAACTTTTAAAATTATAGGACAGATTATGATTTTGACTCTGATTTCATGGTTCACTGAACATGGATATAGGATAGTGGGAGGGGAGAATGTTATCCTATAGACACAGATTCTTGTTATTGGTTAAAATCCAAACTATTATTGTTACTAAACAAACATGGAACCACTATATCTTTATAAGCTACTGCATAATATATATTTCATTGATGTTAATTATTATATATATATATACTTATTTTACCATAATCTTAAATATGGTCTGGATACCTTTAGCAAAATATTTTTAAAACTTTAAAGTTGAAATAATTATGTTTCATTGACCCCTGTTAGACAGACTATAAAAGAGAACTAATTTAAAACTTTCAGATGTAAATTAGACAAAAGTTTCAAAGTCAATAGACCATGACTGAGAGTGATATGTTCAGTTTAATTGTAGTTCAGGAGCAAAACACAACAGTTTTGTTGAGATCATCATCTGATAGAATGATTGGAATGTGTAAAAAATTCATCAAGGTAGCTAAATTTCTGAATTTCCCGCAAACTCAGATTTTTTCAAAGTTTCATACTATTGTATACTGTAATTGATTTTATAAATCTTTTGATAGAGATCCTAATTTATGGTTAGTAAAATGTAGAATTGGTGAAGAAAGAACTACAGCCATACAAGTTATGAGAAAGTATATTGCTTATCAGTTTGAAGATGAGGTAAGACATTTGTAAGAGGAGATAAATCTTGTTTGTTATGTATATTAATAATTCATAATGAGACTTTATAAAAGATGATAATTTTATACTTCAGGTATTTAAACAAAAAGATGAAATTTTTTACACATCATATTGTATAAAAATGGAACTGTTTTATCAATGCAGTATGCATTGCTTTGTTTTTTCCTTTTATTCATTTCCATTGAGAACTATAGCAAATTATCACAGGGCTAAATGAAATAACATTAGTCCTGGAACTAATCAGAACAACAAACTAACAGTTTTAAATACTTTTGGTATAATTTATTGACTTTGTATTCAACAATCCCATAAGTATGTTTTTCATGAAAATATCTGAACTATTAACCATCCAGGGGGACATATTGTTCTTTTATTTTTACAAAGTTTGTAATACATGTATTAATCATTTTGATAACTCAAATCTCTATGCAATCATTTCATAATTTGTCATTCTCAGAATGCTTAGTTTGTTTATAGGAAATGACATTAGCACTTACATAGATATCTCAGGGTATGACCATCTTCTGAAAAATAACACATTTATTAAATTGACCTACAATCACATAAAAAAAATATTTATTTGCAATAAGAATATTTTCAAGGAAAGTTGAACATACTCTGTCTGCTTGTTATAGACTGTGTATTCCATCTGTCTGCTTGTTAAAGACTGTGTATTCCATCTGTCTGCTTGTTAAAGACTGTGTATTCCATCTGTCTGCTTGTTAAAGACTGTGTATTCCATCTGTCTGCTTGTTAAAGACTGTGTATTCCATCTGTCTGCTTGTTAAAGACTGTGTATTCCATCTGTCTGCTTGTTAAAGACTGTGTATTCCATCTGTCTGCTTGTTAAAGACTGTGTATTCCATTTTAATATTGTAGTGCTAATGTCTACCAAGACAACACATTTTTATACACTTAGTTCTTAACTTATAATGTTATCTTTTTATAGTAGTGTTAAGAAAGTATGCACTAATGAACAAAATGTTTTAATTGGAAAATGCTGTCGAAAGTATTGAAAATTGAAATTGATGTATCTTTAACTCCATTGTTGTACAAGGAATGAATCTACTTTTAATTTTTCTGATTCTAAAATGAAAAATTTCTTCAAATAAACTTCAAACAATAGAGAAAATTAATCTCTCTGAATTTTTTGAGAGTATTTAATCATTTTGTTTTCATTTTGTTTACAGCCACTTCAGATAAAGGCTGTGATATCAAAGGAGAGTTTGAAAGGTTATATCTATGTTGAGGCTTACAAACAGACCCATGTTAAACAAGCTATCGAAGGAATTGGTAATCTTAGGATGGGAATTTGGGCACAGCAGGTAACTTATAACTTAATGCACATCTATCAATATTTGAAAATTCAGTTACATTTGATTCTGAATTAAAAAAAATAAAGAGGAGTGATTTGTTTTACATTTAATCTTAATCAATTGCTGTTATTATAATAAAGTATTTTTTGGCAATGAGTCTTTTTTCCGATGTTTAATTTTAATTTGTAGGATGTAAGAATGTGTTATGTTTTTTAAATGTTCTGTTATGAGTCCTCTGAATTTAATATTTCCATTTTTCATTTGTAATGATGCTAATAACCACTATACAAAAAGGGTTTCAGATTTCTATTCTAAGCCTTTTAGTATTTTTCCTCAATAAATTATGTAAAATTGAAAATTATTTGTAAAAGATTTTATTAACGTTTACCTTTGAGTAGATGGTTCCCATCAAAGAAATGACAGATGTTATGAAGATTGTTAAAGAGTCAGCGCAACTTAAACCAAGGTCATGGGTCAGATTGAAAAGAGGTGTGTTCAAAGATGACTTAGGTCAGGTAAGTTATTTTAACTTAAACCAAGGTCATGGGTCAGATTGAAAAGAGGTGTGTTCAAAGATGACTTAGGTCAGGTAAGTTATTTTAACTTAAACCAAGTTAAATTAGATATTTGGGATTTGGTGGGGAATTTTAGTAAACTTTGCCAGAAATTATGTATAGACATGATAGACATATACCAAAAAGTTTTTAATAAAACAAAAGTATTCGTATAAATTGGCTGGATGATAGATATATTCAGTACATATTTATATATACAAATTTACCACAGTGGATTAATATTGTTTAATTCGATTGAAGATATATTTATTTTGTATTTGATATATAATTGAGAACTCTGAGGAAACAGAATATTTGCTCATAATTAATATAAACTCAAACCAATTGCTATTCTATTAATTTTGGAAAACCGTAACCGTCGCAAGTTACACTATTCAATCATATGCTCAACTGCATGAAAAAGAAGAACCAAGCTATTTAAATGGATTATTATACCCTATCTAGCCTAACAAAGCAGGCCATATAATAATTACCGTATATTTTACATTCTTACAGTAACAGGGAATCAAAGTCTTGTATTCATCTAAACCTAGTGACAAAATACATAGTTTAATTTAATTTCTTTTCTGTTTTTTACAAATGTTGATTTTTGGTAAAAGTTTAGAATAGTTTTATGCGCATCGAATGTTATTACATGTACTTAAGTAAAAATTGTTTTACAGGTTGACTTTGTAGAGCCAGCACAGAATTACGTTCATCTGAAACTGATACCCAGGATAGACTACACAAAACCAAGAGGATTTGCTAAAACTAAAGATAATGTAAGTAATAAAGATATTTTCAAAAAGATAAGGAACCTTACCATTGAAGCAATTATAGGACTTTTACTGGGCCAAATAGAAGATTTTAATTACCAACCTGTAGATGTGGTTTCATAGTGCCTTTTATAGTTATCCTTATAAGAGCATACTACAGCCTCCAGGTTTCTTTGACCTATATTAAATGCTTCATTGACTTGAGTAAATTTTAAAGTCCTTGTTCATTTCTCTGGTAAATAATATATATTTTTATCTCTTTCATATGTAGGTTTAATTTTACATCCATAATTGTTTTTATTAGGTTTACAAAGCTAATTAGGTAACTAGAGAACTATGTCATTGTAGATTGATTGATTGATTGTTGGTTGCTTAACGTCCAGTGGCATGTCATTGTAGATAAAATTTATTTAATGTATTTCTAGAAGTCAATCTCATTCATGATATTTTTGTCAATTGACAAATTTGTTTTGGAAACTACAGAGCTTACTGTTTCTAAAGGCATTAATTATTTCATGTTTTAAATTATACAGCAAGCTGAGAAAAGAAAAAAGAAGAGAAGACCAGCACAAAAACTGTTTGATCCTGATGCTATCAGGTAAAAGTTTACATATTTCATGGTTTTTTGTTCATCTGTAAGAATTTGTTTATTTTATGATAGGGAAATTATTATATACAAAATTTTTAAATGACTAGTATATCCCTAATCACAGAACATCCCAGGAGATTGAATAAGTTGGAAAGTCATGATAATATTACATGACATTGCATTTTTGATGAATTTTTTCAATGTTGATTGTGAAATATAGGATGGTTAATGAAAGTCATCAATGACAAAAATTATAGAAGTATTCGGTAACTAACTTCTTATAAATAGGATTTGATGATAAAAGATTGATGAAAATTGCAGTTGAATTACAGCGAAAATACATGTTTTGTGTACATCTGCGTTATGCACGTATTTAATGTTAAATTACAGGGGTATTGGAGGGGAGATAACTCAAGATGGAGACTTTCTGGTGTTTGAAAATAACAGATACAGCAGAAAAGGATTCCTCTTCAAAAACTTTATTATGTCTGCAATCGTAAGTTTTATTTATGTCTGCTATAAAATCTAGCACAAAAAAGTCTGTAGCAAAGAAAAACTGTTTTTTATAATAAAACTATGATAAGTCTGAAAAGCAATTAATGTATGCTACTTGAAGAAATTACAAATATAGTTTAGGTAGTATTTTTTGCCCTGTGATTTCATAGATTAAATGTTACCATGAGAGCATTTTGTACGCTTTTGATGCACCTAATCTACTAATATGTTGATTACGGTTTCAATAAAGTTTTCAAACTATTAAAAAAAATTAGTAAATAATGAAAATTATAGTAAAATATTCCCAGCTATTTGTACATGATAGGGGAAGGTGTGTTAAAGTAAGACTTTTTGCTTGTTATCAGCTTAATGCACTTATTGAATTTCAAAAATCCTTATATCTACTTTTGAAAATCATTATAACTGATGTTTACAAATTATAATGTTTTCACAACACTGTTAAGTTAATTAAAACAAATTACTATTCACTTACAGATTGCAGAGGGTGTGAAGCCAACACTTGCTGAACTAGAAAAGTTTGAGGACCAACCTGATGGTGTTGATGTAGAATGTATCCTTTCAACAAATTACAAGTCCTTGATAATGCTATTATTATAAGGGAAGAAATAGATATATGCTAACTTGTATGGCTTTTGATTTCAGCAATGAAAAGTCAGTTTAGTTTTCAGAGAATTTCATTTTCAGTGTTAATATTGTTTTGCAACTTTTTAAAGCCCAAAAAAACAATAGTAGCGCATTTTGTTTTCTGGTCTGTGCATTATTCAATCTGCTGGTCCTGTGTCAAGTTGAGGTTTTTAATTAATTTACTGTAATTAGATCTGTATTATATCTAATTAGTTAATTGTTTTTTTGTGCTTCATGGTATTGCCTCCAAAAGTAGCACATTTTGTTTTCTGGTCTGTGCATCAATTCAGTCAATCTCTCCGTCTTGTATGAAGTTGAAGTTCTTGGATCAATACTTTATGTCTTTTGTCTTTATGTTTGTTGTTTTTGTGATTCTTGCTATTGCAGTATCCAATCAAAAATTGTAAAATTTGATTTACGAGATGTCATTTTGTTTAATGCAATTAACTTGAAGGCAACTTGTCAAGCTTCGCAAGTAACCAGATTTTATTTTACATTAGATGAAGAGAAAATGGTTGCATAAGAAAGTTTTGCAAATAACTAAATAATCGATTAAGCGTTGTGCGATGAAGTTGAGAAGTTAATATTTTAGATTCAAAGAAGGAACAAGAGCATTCAAATCTGTGGCTGGATTACTATGTGATTGGTTCATTTGACATTTCTTCTTCTTTTCTAGCTACAAAATTTAAAAATATGAATTTATATATTTAAAAATTTTATATGAGATAAAAATCTAAAATTTCCGTCAATAATTGACTATATCCATAAGTCACGGTAACTGGTCTTGGTATCCATAAAGCATTTTGCTGAAAAATTGCCACAATTGTAACTGTTTTTTGTTTCTGATAAGAGGATTTAATGTCTTGAGTCTATGATGTTAAACCTAACTTTTGGTAATCCTTCATATGTTACCATATAATTTGCAAACCAAGTTTCTATTATTCAATATTCAAGAATAACTATGAATTTCTGGCGTTAACGTGAAATGAACGTTACTAAACAAGTAGAGTTGACATGTGTGAAGGATACTTAATACTGTTCTCAGTTATATTTAAATAAGTGCATTGCATATTGAAACTGCATACATCATGTAAATTAATAATGGACCTTAACTTGTAAAAAGTGATACAAGAAAAGCCAGCAGGGGAGGTAACCCATAATTTCATACCTGGTGATGTAGTGGAAGTGAGTGAAGGTGAATTGGTCCACCTACAGGGAAAGATCATCAGTATTGATGGTAATAAGATTACTATGTTACCAAAACATGAAGATCTGAAGGATCCACTAGAGTTCCAGGCTAGTGAACTGAAGAAACATTTTAAGATGGGTGATCATGTCAAAGTAATACAAGGACGATTTGAAGGAGACACAGGATTAATCGTCAGAGTAGAGGATAATATGGTTGTCTTGTTTTCAGATCTGACCATGCATGAGGTATAGTATTTTTGAAGGGAGTATCATTTGTAAATATTAAACTTAACAATATCTAATAAACTAAGTTCCATAGCATTCTAACACCTGTTGATTTCAGTTTCATCTTTGTCTTGCCTTGTTGATGGCAAGATTTAGGCAAGATGTTTCTGGTGGTGGACAGCCATCAACAATTTGATAAAGGTTGTGATTAGGTCAGTTTAAAAGGAACTATTAATGATAATTTAGTGATATTTGGTATGCAGTTATATATGGATTCACATGTCTCATTTCTGTGAAGATTATTTGACCCTCCCCCTCATCATGGTTTATTGACATTTCTTTTCCACAGAGTTTATTTTGCCCTGCACAATCAGTCATGGTTCATTTACTTTGAATGTTTTGCATAGTTTGCATGTTCAAATATTGTCATTTTAATTTCGACAATTGCATTATGCTACTAGAATCACATAAAGGTGAGACATATCTCTGTGTCGACAGTTTATTGGTCTTAATGCCACTTTAAGCACTTTTAGCTATTTCATACTGGCCAGATTTTATTGGTGGAATAAGTCCAAGTGCCTGCAGAAATCAACCAAACTGTCACAGGAAAACTTGAAATCCTAGTCAATTAAGATCAGAGTCAATTAACCTTGACATGAGCGTCTCTGATGAAGAACAAAATCATGAAACGTAATAGATGACTAATGATTTTTGTCATCCAGGGGCATTTGATTTCTTACTTCACAGCATGGGATTTTCTCATTGTTTTGAAGAATGTATTGCTACACTCACCTGTTAATTCTTCACATCTATGTCCTTTTGTCTTAATGGATAGCTGTCTCTTAGGCAATCCTACCACATCTGCTTGTTTTGTATTATGAATTATAAAATCAGCTATTCACTTATTTATTATGACATTTTACAGCTGAAGGTATTACCTAAAGATTTACAGCTTTGTGCTGACATGGCAACTGGTGTTGATTCTTTAGGACAGTTCCAGTTTGGTGATTTAGTCATGCTCGAGTGAGTATACTTTCTATAGTCATGACAACAGGGATTGATTCTATGGGATAGTTTCAAATTTACAAAGAGAGCCAATTCTATGAGAACGGATTCTGTTTATGTCTTGTAGACTAATTCTATAGAACATCTCATAAAAATCCTACGATTAAATTTTATTGTTAGTTATACTGAAATGCTAGCGACTTTCAAGTATTTTCACACACAAAAAGGCATGGCTGGTCTTATTTGGCTAATTTGCTTATGCATATCAAAGTATTAAAATATGTATTTGCATGGTAAAAGATGTTTTCATTAGAAAGTATTAATTAAATATGTCTGTTATGCTGAAATAAATAATATTAAAGAATACTTTGAAAATGAAAATTGACTGTTTTTTGGGGTTTTTTTTTCAGTCCACAGACAGTTGGTTGTATTGTAAGATTGGAGAAAGAGAATTTCCAGGTTCTAAACATGCACAATAAGGTATGCAGTGAAGCAAGTCTCTTTAACCTTAATACAATCTGTAAATATTATTCTCTCAATCTATTCCTACATTCAAAAGAAACATATTGGAGAAAAAAATTGCTTTTGTTTTATTCATACATACATACATATTGATTAAACAATTTATATGTCTTTGTTGTTGCCTTGTCATGTAATAGAAATTCTATATAATATTACTTTTAAATTGAAGACATATATTGAAATATTATTTCCACTGAATGAAATATTACAGTATTTGTAAATGGAATAAAGAATATAGAATAAATGTTCCAACTGGAACAGATATTTTATCATTGATATTACAAAGTTTCCATGGGTACTTCTGTTAGGAGGAACATATGTTTGAAGACTGAACTATTAAGCTCAGAAGCATTAACTTGGAATTGCCTGAACTAGCTAGCTCAGGAGCAGTGTGCAAACTCACACACTGAGTCAAGATATCAATGCTGATTTACACCAAGTAATATAAAAAATGTTATGTGTAAATGCTTTGAGCACATAAAAGAATTAAGGTAAATCTTATACAGCTCTGACCATGAGAACTTTTCTAAAGGCTTCAACTTAGCACTCTACAGAAATTTTCTTTATACTTTATTCCCATACCCATGTTGATGTATGAGTTAACTTTGTTTGATTTGACGAAATTTTACAATTGTCTAGGTTACATGTCATTGACTAATGCTTAAGTATGAGACTGCTATTTTTTGCAGTTCAGTATATAGTGGGTTTTGTGTTGAATTACACATACTCTGAAACTGCTTTCCACAATTGGATAAACACAAAAAAAGAATTGCATGTTGGTGGGTTTTGCGTTAAATTGTAATAAGAAATACCATTTTACACATACTCTATAAAATGCTTTCCGCAAAAAAACCTTACAGAGTGCACCGTTTCCAAATTTGTTATTTAGCTTACAAACATGTTTCTATTTCAGGTGGTCAATGTTAAGCCAGCTTCTATAACACGTAAGAAGGACACAAAGCATGCTGTAGCCCTCGATTCAGAGAACAACAATGTACAAGTCAAAGATATAGTTAAAGTTATTGATGGACCACATTCAGTATGTTGTTTAAAATAGTTTTTATATGGTGACACATGAATGTTTATCAAAGACATAACACAATATTATGACACAACATAATGAATCTGGTGGATAGCAATCTCATTAGTGATCAAACTACTGAACATCCACAGAAACATTACAAACCCAACCAGAACAATTAAAAGACTAATGATGAGATATAGAATGTAGAGGCACTTAAAATTATGGAATTAACTCATTTTATGGATATGTTTTATGTTTTATTGTGTGTGTATAATCTTATAGTCTAATTAATTTAAGGTTATACACACAATAAAACACAACACAAATACTGACTACAGTAAAGGAAACCATATTAGGGATAATTCAAAAACAGTCCTGAAACTTTCCGTTAGCTCCAAGCTGGATGAAAATTCAAACATGTTTATATGACATGTGTTACTTTCTCACAAACCTTTCAGAATTAACATGAAACATAAATGTTTTTGTTACTGTTTTTAATTTTTATTTGAGACTTGATGACTGTATTCTTATCAACTGATTGAAAATTGACAAAAGTTATTCAAAAGATTAATTAATTACTTGTGGCAAAAGATAAAACATCCATAACTAAAACTTGGAAACAAAAACTGATCCAAACACAGAAAAGTTATTTTAGTACCATCCTCATCAAATTACATAGGTGACGACACGTTTTGAACAATGAATATATTTATCAATTTATTTTCAAATAACTTGATGTAACATCTGGTTTCAAATTGTTTACATGGTTCACCTTTTTACTTGTAGGGTAGATCAGGAGAAATTAAACATTTATATAGAAGCTTCGCTTTTCTGCTGTCAAGGATGATGACAGAAAATGGAGGCTATTTTGTCTGTAGGACAAGACATCTTGTTTTGGCAGGTGGTTCCAAGGTAATTCTTTTAACAGAACTTATTGTTGTCAAAAATAACAAAAATGTAATTTTTAGTATGTTTTTTAAATAATATAATAAGAAGTAGAATTATGCAATCTTATATGTAGCCATGAGACTCTTTTTTTTTATTTTAGTTTTTGCACCTTGACTTGATAATGTAAGAAAAATAATAACTTTGTTAAATATTGTTTATTACACGTAATTACACCTTATGTAAGAATCCTGGGTTTTGATTGGTTGATAGCCAGTGTATTTTTCACCAATTTACTGTTATCAAATGAATATCGTTCATTTTTTAACACCGCCGGGGTATATGCAAAAAGGATATGCCTTTTTTACCCTCTCTGCCATGGTATTTGCCAAAAAATACTCTATCCGACTGGACGCTTGTAACGTCACGATCATCAATGCGTTTTTGAACGTTAACATTCGGTGTAATTAAACAGATATAGCATGTTCTTGAGGGGTATTTGCGAAAAATACCAGTCTTGAGAATGAATTTCCCTCGCCTTACGGGTCGCGAAATTTAACATTCTCTCGACTGGTATTTTTCGCAAATACCCCTCCTTAACATGATATATCTGTTCAATATTACTTTATATCAAGTAATGGTGGATAAATTCAAAACTGAAATGTATCAGGTTTATGGCAGCTTTGGGATAAGAAATAACATTAAAGATATGATGACTGAATTATTTATCAAATTGGATAATTTGCAATTCAGAATTATTGTGGCAGTTTCTCTATTTTTCTTCCCATTTTCTTCAGACAAACACATCAGGATTAAGTGTTACAGGATTCTCGCCAATGTCACCCCGTTTATCCAGTCCTGCCCACCCAGACAGTGGTGGAGGTGGTGCCCCAAGTATGGGTAGAGGAGGTGGAGGAGGAGCAGGCAGAGGTGGTTTGACAAAGAGGGACAAAGAACTGATAGGACAGACCGTTAGAATTATACAGGGACCATTCAAAGGTAGACATACATTTAGTCTTTCCTATGTATTTTGTTAGGATTATACAGGGACCATTCAAAGGTAGATTATACACTTAGTCTTTCCTATGTATTTTGTTAGGATTATACAGGGACCATTCAAAGGTAGATTATACACTTAGTCTTTCGTATGTATTTTGTTAGGATTATACAGGAACCATTCAAAGGTAGATTACACACTTAGTCTTTCCTATGTATTTTGTTAGGATTATACAGGGACCATTCAAAGGTAGATTATACACTTAGTCTTTCGTATGTATTTTGTTAGGATTATACAGGGACCATTCAAAGGTAGACATACATTTAGTCTTTCCTATGTATTTTGTTAGGATTATACAGGGACCATTCAAAGGTAGATTACACACTTAGTCTTTCCTATGTATTTTGTTAGGATTATACAGGGACCATTCAAAGGTAGATTATACACTTAGTCTTTCCTATGTATTTTGTTAGGATTATACAGGGACCATTCAAAGGTAGATTATACACTTAGTCTTTCCTATGTATTTTGTTAGGATTATACAGGGACCATTCAAAGGTAGACATACATTTAGTCTTTCCTATATATTTTTATAATTGATTTATTGTTGCTTTCTTATTCTCTGGTTGATAATATTCTGCATATTCTGGATGAGAACAAATGATACAATAGGTTTCTGTAAGATAAATTGATAGGGATGAAGGGTTGGAAATTTCAACGGAAATGAGGTTTGGTTGCATAGGGCAGACATTTTGCCTTGCAACTGGCCACCTAAGGACTCCTCAAAGAGTTGTAAGAGTTCTTAAAAGTTCTTTAAATGAAAGGGTTGTTTCAGGAATGGATAGAGGTGGATGAAATAGAAGACTAAGAGTGTCAAGGAATTGATAGACTGACCATAAGAACATACTAGACTATTTAAAGTTTATACATCTGTTTAGTGCAGTTGTCTTTTAAGGATGGAATTAAAGCCTTAATGCAATGTCCAATAAAGATGGAATTAAAGCCTTAATGCATTTATTTAAACTTAACTGTCTTTCAAGAACTTGTTTGTATTAGTCCAAGATTTCAAACATTTGGTTTGTAAAGCTCTAATGGAATCCTGTACAATTCTTTAAAAAAATTATTTATGAAAATGTGAAATGAAGAAAATTAAAAGATTGTGTATTGTATTTTTAGGTTATATTGGTATTGTTAAGGATGCCACAGAGTCCACAGCTAGAGTGGAGCTACATTCCAGTTGTAAAACAATATCTGTGGATAAAAATCGTCTGGCATCACTCACGTATGTAACACTGTTAATAGTAAACATTTCCTTTTGAAAAATGTGTCTGGCATCTGTCACAAATGCTACAGAAATCAGCATTAAGCCATGTTAGTATAATATAATTGACAGAAAAATGTGAGATTTCATACAGTCATCAAAGTAAGTGAACAAAAATCCTCTTAGCTTCTTTAGATTTTATGTACACGGGACAAAAATTTAATGGCATCTGTTTCGGTTGTAACATATCTAGATAGAAATTCTTAGTTTTGTCATTCTGGTATGGAAATGTTTTAAACTGGACAATATTTATTTTATTTACCTTCTTTCAAATTTTGAATTTCTTATTTAATTTTGTCTAGTTGTTGAAATCTTTAAAGTTGCTGTCAGTTTGTAACAGACAAATATTTAAGATACTAGACTAATCTAAAATAATGTATAAGCTTAGATGAAGGTGGAATATTTGAAAACTTACATTTTATTGAATTTTTCTATTTCTTTGCAGAGGAGGCAGACCAAAAGATGGTTCCACGTCTGCATATGGCAGGACACCTGTGTATGGTGGACAGACACCAATGTATGGATCTCGTACTCCCATGTATGGCTCACAGACACCATTACACGATGGATCACGCACACCTCATTATGGTAGTCAGACACCATCTCATGAACCAGGAAATCGTACTCCAGGACAAAGTGCTTGGGATCCAGCTAACCCCAACACACCAGCCAGGTAAACAAAAAAAGTTTAAATGAGTTTGAAATTGCATTGTTTCTCATCTATATTACAGCAGTTATAAGATAACATAAAAATATAATCGAAAATACATTCAATCTCTTTGACACATTCCCCGTTTCCATTCTCAATTTTATGAATAAAAAATGCTTTATCAACATTTTGTAATACAGGGATTCTACCTGACCATATCGGGTATTTATTCAAATCTTAACAGGAAGTTATGATAATATTAAAAATCCGACAGGGATAAAAAACATAAACAGTGTCAAAATGTTCAGGCTTTAGTTAAATCTTTATTTGGGTAAAATGATACAAGCATACATTCTGTATTGTGTCTATTATACTGTTAGAGGCAAATGATGTTTAACAACTATATTAATATTAATGTGTAAACACATTAATTATGAGCTATGAAAGTCAAGAAGTTCATGTATTTTTCTGAGTAGGTTTAAAAAAATTTCAAACAAATTTACTTTACTGTGGGTTAGCATTCGTAAGCTGTCACTATCCTATAGATTAACAACTGTTGGTTATATTGATAATTTAGAATCTTCATAGAAGCTGGAGCATGAATGTTATGTTAATTAATTCTTTGATGTGTCATTTGTATGCACAAGTGACATCCCTTCGTACTATGTTTCAATTCCAACATGTCTACCGAGTCAATGCGTTTATTGTCTCCCTTGAACAGGTTCATAATTTTATCTTTGTGTATAGTTATTTGATTTAATTTTAAATCATTACAAAATTTATAAATTTAATAGGTTTTAGTATTTATTATTGGTTTATTAAAGACATATATGTATATCTATAATTTTATTAATTTGTCTTGAATGAAACAAGTGTTCATCTTTTTCAGAGTGAATGATTTTGACTACAATTTTGAATCACCGTCACCTGGGAATTACGACACACCTAACCCGGCCACTCCAGGTTACCCAGCTGACACACCCAGTCCAATAGGAGGACCCTTTACACCACAGACACCAGGAACAAGTTATTCTCCCTATGGTGGACAGTCATCAGCCTCTCCTGGAAGCTACCATTGTAAGTACTCAGTCATCTTTAGCTGTTTAGAAGGTTGATAAACAAACAATCCTCCATGCATACAGCAGACTTCATTAAACCAAGCTATTTGTTTCAAGTTTTCTCTGAAAACCTGTCTTTAAAGGAATGGTAATTCAATTGTAATTCAGCAGTTAATAATTTCAAATATTGGAAATTCTGTATATTTTTATTTTTAGTATTATTTTAGATTGATAACTCTACAGTGTTGAATAGTTTATGATCTTCAATAATTGGTTTCGAACAACCATTCAAGATTAGTAAATTTTTTTAAATAAGCTAATTGTTTATCAAATTGACACAGGAGGATCTTGTAATTAGTAACAGATTGTACTTGAGATACTGTAAACCAACTTATTTTCGCGGATACTTTATTTCGCGTTTTACCCTATTGAGTCAACTTCGCGGCTATTTAAATTCACGATTTTCAAATTTACTTGTTGTAGTTAAATAAGGAATGATCCAAGTTTTACATATTCGCGACGATTTATATTCGTGTTATTTTTCTACTCTTGAAAATCGCGAAAAAATAAATCGCTCGCGAAAATAAGTTGGTTTACAGTATGAATGAAAGGAGATGTGGGGTATACATCAATGAAACAGCAACCCATCTACACAAATTAGCAAGATACATCTAGAGATTAACATAGAGCCTTCAACAAAAGACGTGTCTATGCAATATGTCAACTCTAAATCATCCTGAGTCTGAATAAGTTGTGAATAAATTTATAACAAACAAAGATCAGTCAGTGTTCTACATATTGCACCCCCACTTAATATTGGGATGTGTTCTGCATTGAGAAATTAATTAGAAAAGGGTTCATACCTTGTTTACTTTGATATGTTAACTATTCAGATTGAGTCATTCTTGAAAAATAATGGCTGCTATGTGTTTGTGTAAAATTTTTTACAACTAAAATTTATTGAATGTTTTGTATTTTATTTATAATAACATGCATATGATATTATAGCACCTAGTCCTGCTGGTGGAGGTTTTGGTGGTAGTTCACCTAGTCCATTAGGGTACCAGACATCACCATCCCCAGGCTTCAATGCAGGAACCCCCTCACCAATGGGGTACAGTCCTATGACACCAGGTGCACCTTATACACCACAGACACCTGGAATGTTTATGGATCATGGTATGTCAGACTGGCACACCACCGAGATAGAAGTTAAGATCAAGGAAACGCACGATGATACAAATCTTATATTCCAGAAAGGACAAATCAGAAGTGTTTCGGTAAGTCATATTCTAAAAAGGACAAATCAATAATGTACCCATAAATCTTTTATAATCTTTTTAGATCATGTTCTTAAATCACTTTTTACTGAAATGTTCTTCGCATTGAAAATTCTATGTACCCAAATTGTCTTGTTGAAAAGAGTCATTATCATAAATTTTATTTTGCAGGGAGGGATGTGTTCAGTATATGTGACAGAGCAGGATAAAGTCATTAATATAGCATCAGAACATTTAGAGCCAATACCACCAGAAGTTGGAGATAAGGTATAGTACTTCCTGGTTAAAACATTTGCATACATTATTCCTTACACCAAAATACTTAGATACTGCTTCAAGAAGAATCACTACATATTCAGTAAGCCTTTCAGTCTACATAGGTGGATAAAAACTAATGCCAGAATATAGATATGTTGTCCTCTACATGTCTTTTGGTTTTTTATGCCCCTGCCATAGTGGAGGGGGCATTAAATTTAATCCTCGTCTGTTTACGTCCGTACATCCCGAAATTGGTTTCCGTTTTCTAACTTTAGTTAACATCAACCAAATGTTATGAAACTTATACGAGATGATTATTACCACAAACACAGATCAAGTTTGAATTTGGGTGGCATCACTTTTACCTTTCTAGAGTTATGCCCCTTTACAAATGGAAAAATTGCTGAATTTTTCGTTTCCATTCCCTACCTTAAGTTTGCCTCAACCAAATGTTATAAATCTTATACACAATGCTTATTACCACAAAACACAGATCAATTTTGTATTTTGATGGCATCATTTTTACTGTTCTTGAATTATGTCCCTTTATAAGGTTATATGCAAGCGGGGGCATCATCTGTGTCCCATGGACACATTCCCCTTTTATTTAATCATTGGGTTGCCATTGGTTGCATTGACCTATACCCTACATCTCCTTTAATATATCCACCTTCTCAAATGCCTTTATCTTATATCCACCTTCTCAAATGCCTTTATCTTATATCCACCTTCTCAAATGTCTTTATCTTATATCCACCTTCTCAAATGTCTTTATCTTGTATCCACCTTCTCAAATGCCTTTATCTTGTATCCACCTTCTCAAATGCCTTTATCTTATATCCACCTTCTCAAATGCCTTTATCTTATATCCACCTTCTCAAATGCCTTTATCTTATATCCACCTTCTCAAATGCCTTTATCTTATATCCACCTTCTCAAATGTCTTTATCTTATATCCACCTTCTCAAATGTCTTTATCTTATATCCACCTTCTCAAATGTCTTTATCTTATATCCACCTTCTCAAATGCCTTTATCTTATATCCACCTTCTCAAATGCCTTTATCTTATATGCACCTTCTCAAATGCCTTTATCTTATATCCACCTTCTCAAATGTCTTTATCTTATATCCACCTTCTCAAATGCCTTTATCTTATATCCACCTTCTCAAATGTCTTTATCTTATATCCACCTTCTCAAATGTCTTTATCTTATATCCACCTTCTCAAATGTCTTTATCTTATATCCACCTTCTCAAATGCCTTTATCTTATATCCACCTTCTCAAATGCCTTTATCTTATATGCACCTTCTCAAATGCCTTTATCTTATATCCACCTTCTCAAATGTCTTTATCTTATATCCACCTTCTCAAATAATGGCTTTATCTTATATCCACCTTCTCAAATGCCTTTATCTTATATCCACCTTCTCAAATGTCTTCAATGGCCTCAGTGACTGAATGGTCTAAGTAGTTCATCTACTCTTTCAGTAGCCTGTCAAAACTGATGTTGCAAGTTAGAACCCCCCATGTGGCAGGTGGGTTTGACTCCAATCTTAATTGACTAGGATTGGAAATTTCCTGCTGAATGTCCTGGTTCTATCTGGGCACTCCGGCTTCCGTAACCAATAAAACCTAACCGCCATAATAAAGCCATTAGTGCTGAAAGAGGCGTTAAACACCAACAATCAATCAATCAAATGTCTTCAACCCTACAAAAACATAGTCCATTATCCACAGTAACTACTTCAAAGAAATTGGTTTGTATTATAGGTGTCTTCCTATACCTTCACAAAGATATCCACAGGGTGTTTTATAGGTGCCTTCCTATACCTTCTCAAAGATAACCACAGGGTGTTTTATAGGTGTCTTCCTATACCTTCTCAAAGATAACCACAGGGTGTTTTATAGGTGTCTTCCTATACTTTCACAAAGATAACCACAGGGTGTTTTATAGGTGTCTTCTTATACTTTCACAAAGATAACCACTGGGTGTTTTATAGGTACCTTCTTATACTTTCACAAAGATATCCACAGGGTGTTTTATAGGTGCCTTCTTATACTTTCACAAAGATATCCACAGGGTGTTTTATAGGTGTCTTTGTATACCTTCACTAAGGTTTCTTCCTATGCCTTCACAAAGATAACCACATGGTGTTTTATAGGTGTCTACCTATACTTTCACAAAGATATCCACAGGGTGTTTTATAGGTGCCTTCTTATACCTTCACACACATAACCACAGGGTGTTTTATAGGTGTCTTCCTATGCATTCACAAAGGTAACCACAGGGCGTTTTATAGGTGTCTTCCTATACCTTCACAAAGATAACCACAAGGTGTTTTATGTGTCTTCCTATACCTTCACAAAGATAACCACAGGGTGTTTTATAGGTGTCTTCCTATACCTTCACAAAGATAACCACAGGGTGTTTTATAGGTGTCTTCCTATACCTTCACAAAGATAACCACAGGGTGTTTTATAGGTGTCTTCCTATACCTTCACAAAGATAACCACAGGGTGTTTTATAGGTGTCTTTATATACCTTCACAAAGGTGTCTCCCTATGTCTTCACAAAGATAACCACAGGGTGTTTTATAGGTGTCTTCCTATACCTTCACAAAGATAACCACAGGGTGTTTTATAGGTGTCTTCCTATACCTTCACAAAGATAACCACAGGGTGTTTTATAGGTGTCTTCCTATACCTTCACAAAGGTGTCTTCCTATGTCTTCACAAAGATAACCACAATTAATACAATGCTTAGTAAAAGATAGGTAGAAAAATTACAGCACTAGAATTACAATTTAGAGAAATGAACAGATCCAGAAAACTATATGTATATGAGACATTCATCACACTGTTTGCATGCCATGATTGTTTCTAGAAAATTTGAGAAGGTGATACTTAAGATTTAAAATGTGTATTTGATCCATATGTCAATTTGAAGAATAAAATATGATTTACCTATGCAGGTGATGATTTAAGAATCACTCAGGAGGAGGTTTCTTGTATGATAGATTACACTGATTTATTTCAGCAAACTTTAGCATGTGTTATTATATATTTATTACAGGCTAAAGTGATAACTGGGGACGAGAGAGAAACAGTAGGAACTTTGCTCAGCATTGACAGTGGAGAAGGTGTACTGAAAACAGAGGACTCACAGATCAAAATGTTACCCTTACGATATCTATGTAAAGCTTCTGGTCATTGAGGATCATTACCGTAACAATATATGTGTAAAGCTTCTGGTCATTGAGGAACACAGGAATTATGTACAGTGAAATAACATAAATTATTCATATGAATATTTGTAATATAAGGAATTACTGAAGTTTAAAGATTTTAATGTGGTTTACATTTAACCATTTGAACATCTGACTCTGCTCCTGTATGTGCTAAGTATTAGATAAGCAAGTATTATTTCCTTGGACAGAAAGATTATTAGTAAACATACTGTAATAAATATTTCACATTAGAAATTCAGTTTGTAAAACGCCATCCTTGAAGGTCATTAAAATGATGTCATAATCATTTACTTGAATTGCATGTTTTGGGGGATAGAAATCATCATATATACAACACAATTGACAATAATGTGTAAAAGAAAATGTTTTGGTATGGTTTTTACAGGTCTGTACTATGCTATCTCATTTCACTTTTTTTATGGCAGCAGTTATATCTGATGTGTTGACACAGAGAAGGGTCAAGTTTCAGCAGAAGGTGAACTATATAAAGCTATTTACTTACATCTTTTTTATTAAGTCTTCCAAACGAAGTTTGGGAAGACTTATTGTTTTTGCTCAGTTCTTATTATTATTATTATTCTTCTTCCTCTTCCTCTTCCTCTTCCGCCGCTTTTAAATTTGAACTTGTCCGCACCCGTTCTCCAAAACCGCTTGTCAGATTAACTTAGGGTTTCACAATATGTTAGACTAACATGTCTAGTGGTGCAATCAGGGTTTTGTTTGTGCAATGGGGTTTATAAAGGGGTACTTTGAGGGGCAAAAAGAAAAGAGGGTTTTTCTATAGAACCCTATGGGATTTTATTTTTTTAAATTTTCAAATGATTATAAATTGAAAACCGTTTGTGATAGACACAATCTTTTTAATTGAAAATGTTCTAAATGATAAAACCCATTAAATGAAATACAGGGTTAGTCCCCAGGGGTCATCCCCACCCCCTGCCATTTAAGAAAGTTCTAATACCTTGTAAGTGGTCAAGATCCCCACCCCTAAACCATATATATTCTGGTTTGTCATGCTAAGATGGTTTGAATGATATACAGGGTTAGTCCCCAGGGGTCATCCCGACCCCCTGCCATTTGAGAAAGTTCTAATATCTTGTAAATGGTCGAGATCCCCACCCCTAAACCATATATATTCTGGTTTGTCATGATAAAGCACATGAAATGAAATACAGGGTTAGTCCCCAGGGGTCACCCCCACCCCATGCCATTTAAGAAAGTTCTAATATCTTGTAAGTGGTTAAGATCCCCACCCCTAAACCATATATATTCTGGTTTGTCATGCTAAGATGGTTTGAATGATATACAGGGTTAGTCCCCAGGGGTCATCCCGACCCCCTGCCATTTGAGAAAGTTCAAATATCTTGTAAATGGTCGAGATCCCCACCCCTAAACCATATATATTCTGGTTTGTCATGCTAAGATGGTTTGATGATATACAGGGTTAGTCCCCAGGGGTCATCCCGACCCCCTGCCATTTGAGAAAGTTCTAATATCTTGTAAATGGTCGAGATCCCCACCCCTGAACCATATATATTCTGGTTTGTCATGCTAAGATGGTTTGAATGATATACAGGGTTAGTCCTTAGGGGTCATCCCGACCCCCTGCCATTTGAGAAAGTTCAAATATCTTGTAAATGGTCGAGATCCCCACACCTAAACCATATATATTCTGGTTTGTCATGCTAAGATGGTTTGAATGATATACAGGGTTAGTCCCCAGGGGTCATCCTGACCCCCTGCCATTTGAGAAAGTTATAATATCTTGTAAATGGTCGAGATCCCCACCCCTAAACCATATATATTCTGGTTTGTCATGATAAAGCACATCAAATGAAATACAGGGTTAGTCCCCAGGGGTCACCCCCCACCCCATGCCATTTAAGAAAGTTCTAATATCTTGTAAGTGGTCAAGATCCCCACCCCTAAACCATATATATTCTGGTTTGTCATGCTAAGATGGTTTGAATGATATGCAGGGTTAGTCCCCAGGGGTCATCCCGACCCCCTGCCATTTGAGAAAGTTCTAATATCTTGTAAATGGTCGAGATCCCCACCCCTAAACCATATATATTCTGGTTTGTCATGATAAAGCACATCAAATGAAATACAGGGTTAGTCCTCAGGGGTCACCCCCACCCCCAGCCATTCAAGAAAGTTCTAATGTAAGTGGTTAAGATCCCCACCCCTAAACCATATATATTCTGGTTTGTCATGCTATGATGGTTTGAATGATATACAGGGTTAGTCCCCAGGGGTCATCCCGACCCCCTGCCATTTGAGAAAGTTCTAATATCTTGTAAATGGTCGAGATCCCCACCCCTTAACCATATATATTCTGGTTTGTCATGATAAAGCACATTAAATGAAATACAGGGTTAGTCCCCAGGGGTCACCCCCGACCCCTGCCATTTAAGAAAGTTCTAATATCTTGTAAGTGGTCAAGATCCCCACCCCTAAACCATATATATTCTGGTTTGTCATGATAAAGCACATGAAATGAAATACAGGGTTATTCCCCAGGGGTCACCCCCAGCCCCTTCTATTTAAGAAAGTTCTAATATCTTGTAAGTGGTCAAGATCCCCACCCCTAAACCATATATATTCTGGTTTGTCATACCAAGATGGTTTGAATGATATACAGGGTTAGTCCCCAGGGGTCACCCCACCCCCTGCTATTTAAGAAAGTTCTAATATCTTGTAAGTGGTCAAGATCCCCACCCCTAAACCATATATATTCTGGTTTGTCATACCAAGATGGTTTGAATGATATACAGGGTTAGTCCCCAGGGGTCATCCCGACCTCCTGCCATTTGAGAAAGTTCTAATATCTTGTAAATGGTCGAGATCCCCACCCCTAAACCATATATATTCCTGTTCATCATGTCTCGAACATTTGAATGACGTATACGGTCAGTCCCCACTGAGTTCCCCCCACCCCCAATGTTCTAGTATCTTGTAAATGGTCGAGATCCCCACCCCTAAACCATATATATTCTGGTTTGTCATGCCAAGATGATTTGAATGATATACAGGGGTAGTCCCCAGGCATCACTAATGCATTAACTTTACTGGACCAAACCAATTTTCACTGGACTTTGTCCAATGTCAGGCGACACTGGGAATTACGAATTATGGGAGCTTCGTTTGGGAGACTTCGTAACAGCATCCTGTTACAATCATTTCTTGTTGGTCATGTAAGTTTCAAAAAAAATGACAGAGGTGGTCTGCAGCCATCAATCAATCAGTCATGAATAATTTGATTAGTTCCCTAAATAAATGTTTATATAAGATCTTTAAAAATCAGCTTAATGTTTTAATCACATTCTACTAGTTGAGAGAAATCAAGCTTCTCAACGATCAAAATTAGTGTTCTTCAAAATTTTATATTTCCAATGAAATAATTCCTGTAAATTGTGAGGTTCAAATTTCTTGAAATTTTTATATTTTTGTCAACAGGTCGTTAAATTTTTTTGTTCAAAATTTTATGAAAATAAAACTAGCCAAATATATTTTAGTCAAAATGTAGGATACCCCTTAAGGACATGGAAATTGAATTTTGAAATGAGGTATGCATCATATATCATCTTGTTTTGTGACCGTTTTACATTAGTATGTTGTCAAGGACATGGAAAATTGCAATTGTTTCATACTTTGTAAATAGAACATCTTATTTTACCAAAATGTTTGAAAATATGTATTTGTTTTGTTGGAAGTGCTTATTATGTAAGTTATGTCTTGGAAATAAAAGATTATTTCCAGTTTGCTTGTTACTTTTTTTTTCTTTGTAAATATAATAAGAGTGCACAAGCTGAAAAGTCTTGCCTGATTTACTGACGATTGAAAGTCTAAAAGATAAAGGTTTTACTACAAGTATCGCATAAAATTGTCATTAGAAATGATCTATGACTATGAGGTCAAGTCCAGATAAACCCTGCCAGACTGACATGTACGCTTTACAATCATTCCATACACCAAATAAAGTTGACCTATTCTTTACAATATCAAAGAAACATACCAAACCATGAAAATTTAATGTTGACCAGGACACCTGAAAATGAGGTCACAGTCAAATGATACATGCCAGACAGACATGTACACCTTACATCATTACATACACCAAATATAGTTGACCTACTGCTTATAGTATTTGAAAAACAGACCAAAACTCAAAACTTACCATTGACAAATGAACCATGAAAATGAGGTCAAAGTCAGATGAAACTTGCCAGACTGACATGTACCCATTACAATCATTCCATATATTGCATATAGTTGACCTACTGCTTATAGTATCTGATAAATGGACCAAATGACGTAACTTAAATATTGGTCACTGATCCTTAAAATTAGGTCAGGCGAACCCTGTCTGATGGATATTTAGACCTTGCAAGGAATCCATATACCAATTATAGTTATCCTATTATTCATAATAAGTGAAAAATTCCAATGACAAAAAAATACTGGTATACATTTTTTTAAGCAGTCGCTGAACCATGAAAACTGGGTAAAGTACAATGGACATATAATAGAAGGAAACTTGGTAACATTAGGCATCTGAATACAAGGTATGAAGCATCCAGGTCTTCTGTCCTCTGAAATATAAAGCTTTATACAAATAGTTTATGCTGCTGCCTGATTGTAATACCTATTGTCTTGCATTTTGAGACTTTCGTTTTAGGCAAAGATAAGAAGATGTGGTATGCTTGCCAATTACGTAATTATCTACCATAAACCAAATTATGTGGATGAAAGCAACTATAGGTCACAGTAGGGCATTGAAGTATAGTAGGCTTTCACCCTAGGACAATTATTTATTTATATATGTAGTTATGTGTGTATTTACATCAGCTGATTCACCCTATCAACCTTCAGGCATAAAAGCCAATAAATGGACTTCAATTAACCCTTGGTAAAACTTAAATTCAACTGTGTTGCTCACCTATACGCATCTTATCTACGACAATGGCCACTCTTGACTAAAATCAATGTGGGAATCAACTTAGATATATTAATACACATTTTGACCTAAATTCCATTGAACAGTATCTTGCACATGCATAAGATACTAATATAATACTTTCAAAATTCTTATCAACTGATTCAATTGTACAAATACTTTTTTAAAATTTATTCATAAATAGTAAATCATTATAAATTTTGATTTACAAAGGAACTATATACAAGTGTATATTTAAAATAAAAGGGTTGTTCGACCAAACTTTTCTTATATTAAGGGCAAATAACATGTCAAAAGTTGGCAGTTGATGATTAAAATGGTGTAAAAAATTCCTGCAAGTCATAAAAACACATAATTAGTTTCATGATATGTCTTCAACTTAGTATTCTGCACCATCTCTAAAACCAGAGTGATCGCATAGATCCAGCATGGCTGAATCAAAAATAGGAGAAAAATGATCATTTACAGGCAATAACTCACATAAAAAGTCAAACAACAGTGTCGGCCATGTTGACATATTTGAAGATCTTGTCTTGCTGGTTATTTTTTTCTTGAAAGTTTGTCTTTTTTATAGTTTTCAAGATAATAGACAAAAATGAAAAAAATTGGTAAAATTCGTCATTAGCAACAATTATTTTAAGAAGCTATGACGATGTAAATGGAGAGTAGGTAGAATTCAACATTTTGAACATTTATGCCCGTCAGATTTTCTCCACCTATAGGATAGCATTTTACCCCTCCGTTCATTTTTTAGCCTTGTCAACCATATTAACAGGCGGGATTATCTGACACATTTTTAAAACTAGATACTCCTGTGATGATTTCGGCCTAGATTGGTTTTTATTGGTCCAATAATATCAGAGAACTTTTTTAAAAAGTTAACGAACCACAATGGATGCCAAGTGATGAGAATAGCTCACTTGATTCTTTTGGTCAGGTGAGCTAAAATGTGGTGAACATGTTGTTTCATTTTAAGAACACAGTTGCATTTAACCAGACGAAGACTCTATGTGCAAGTACCTGTTATACCCATTTATTTCCATACAACAATATCATAGAAGATAAATTTGTAAGTATAACAAACACATTTAATTCCAAGATATCCTATCTCAACCATTTCTTTTGGTAAAGTGCTTCCCCTATCAGGCATGTGAGGAGATGATGAACCTTATTTGATATTAGGATAGAGCAATGGCCAAGGTTAAATGCTCCGTCACATTAAATTTATTCACTTTTACCTTATTAATAGAAAACTGTAACCTTTTAACGAATGAACATTTTTTAATTACTTGAAAAAAATTCATAATGGGTCTACCATTTGGAGATAGATACACTGCAAAATAACAATATAATTGAAAAATCTCTTTTTCAAACATTTATTTTTAAAGATTTAATAAACTTAATGGACTATACTTAAGAATTGAATGCTTCTTTTTATTATGTTATTGTTGTGTAAAAGTGTTGACCATGCACATTTTGTATAAAGCGATTCATACTTAAATGTACACATGGTCAATTATGAACAGAAGCATTAAATTCTTATACATGTAATTACATTTTTATGCTAAAACCATGAAATCAAGTTCTTCAAGCTTTTAATTTGTTTTTTCTATGCATTTTTTTGTACCTTGTCAATTCATAGCTGTTGTATTCTATACAGAAATACAATATGATATTGGAGTGCCTCACCAGTGTTGTATTCTATACAGAAATATAATTTGATATTGGAGTGCCTCACCAGTGTTGTATTCTATACAGAAATATAATTTGATATTGGAGTGCCTCACCAGTGTTGTATTCTATACAGAAATACAATATGATATTGGAGTGCCTCACCAGTGTTGTATTCTATACAGAAATATAATTTGATATTGGAGTGCCTCACCAGTGTTGTATTCTATACAGAAATATAATTTGATATTGGAGTGTCTCACCAGTGTTATCAGCCAATCATAGCTGTTGTATTCTATACAGAAATATAATTTGATATTGGAGTGCTTCACCAGTGTTATCAGCCAATCATAGCTGTTGTATTCTATACAGAAATACAATTTGATATTGGAGTGCCTCACCAGTGTTGTCAGCAAATCAGCATTACAGATTCCAATGATTCATACATGTAATGTAAGTATTATGATTATATTTAACATCAAGACGAGGGATGGTAATATACTTTACCTTGACCTTTTGTTCACTGTTTTGTAATTTTTATGCTACAGGAGTTTAAAGGTGGGTAAAGTTTAAAATACTTTTTCAATATTTGAAATTTGAAAAAAAAATAATATTTGAAGAATAATTCTTTTTAATTTCTGAAATCTGAAATGAGAAAAAATTGACCCTTCACAATTTCTTTTTACCCCCCCCCCCCCTTTTTTCCCCCCCAAAATTCTTTCCCTAAAGATATGGTCATGATCTCAATTCAAATTTCCAATGGAGTTTGAAACCATAATTACCCATTTAAATTTACCATAGTGCTAACTTAATCTATTTTATAATAGAATTTAAAATATAGTGTCAAATCTTTCATATGGATTTTTTTGTAAAAAAAAAAGATGCAACATTTGCAGATATTTTTACTGGTCTTCCTTTATAAATATGCATTTCTTTAAACATAATTTAAAAGCAGTGTAAGGGAAGTAACCAAAACATATTTGGATTACCTCCCTTACACTGTTTTAAATTATCTTAATTATTCATTAACCATTACTTTATACATAATTCAAAAGCAGTGTAAGGGAGATAATTTCAATGATGTTTTTGATTTATCTCCCTTACACTGCTTTAAATTAAGTTTTGTACTAAAATATTTGTCCATTAACCAGGACAACCTTGTTTTTCCCCCTTTTTTGCCCCTAATTCCTAAACGGTTTGAGCCATAACCCCCCCAAAGCAAATTCTAACCATCCCTTTGTGGTATGGAAACTTGTAGTATAATTTCAGAGAGATCCATACACCGTTCCACAGTTATTGTCTAGACACTAGAAAATGCTTATTTTTGGCCCCTAATTCCTTAACTGTTGGTACCATAACCCCCAAAATCAATCCCCACCTTCCTTTTGTGGTATTGAACCTTATGGTAAAATTTCAAAGAGATCCATTCACTTAAACTAAAGTTAGAGTGCGAAAACCAATGTGTCTTCGGACGACGATGTTGCCAACGTCATACCAATATACGACCGCAAAAAAGTTGTATAAAATTTGCTGAATTTTTCGTTTCCGTTCCTTTACTTAAGTTTGCCTCAACCAAATGTTATGAAACTTATACACAATACTTATTACCACAAAACTCAGATCAAGTACAAATTTGGGTAGTGTCACTTTTACTGTTCTAGAGTGACCTGTTTACAAACGGAAAAATTGCTGGATTTTTCGTTTCCGTTCTCTTACTTAAATTTGCCTCAACCAAATGTTATGAAACTTATACACAATACTTACTACCACAAAACTCAGATTAAGTACAAATTTGGGTAGCATCACTTTTACAGTTCCTCAGTTATATGCCTTTATAACTTTATATGATATGCAAGCAGGGGAATCATCTGTGTCCCATGGACACATTCCCCATTTATTTACAAATCTCTTGAATAACCCTGATTGACCTTGATGGCTATAGAAATAATGAACTATTCGTATTACATATATTTATTTGATCAGCACATGATTTACTCTGTGAAATGTTAACAACTATAGATATAACACTGTGATGGCCATTAAACTATGAAGGTGGATTACGGATCATTTTATATATGATTCTTTTTATCAAAATATATCTCATCTTGATCTACAAGACATTAACATTTATGACATAAAAAAAATATTACTACTGCAAAATGTATAAAAGTCTACCTGAAATGTACGTACAACTTCATCAAATTCTATCCAATCAAATTTTGAGAAACTGCCAGGTTTGTGTTCAAAACTGACTGATTCTGAAATCCCAAATTCTATCCTTATAAATTATTACTGGCTTGTTGCAAATACATTTTTATATGAATTCATTAGAAGTGTTTGGATTAGGGTAAAAACTTTATCAGAGTCATCATACCTTTCTGAAAGTCCCTCCCCCTTTCCTATGTATAAATTTACACTGAAGACTGACTCGAAGGAAATAGATTGCCAAAAAAAAACTTATCACCAAGTAATTTCTGAATTAGTCCATATTGAAGTAATAACAATTATAGCCATTAATACTTTTTCTTTCACAAATCACATCACAATAGTGGTAGCTTCCACTATATACAACATAAACAAAACATAAACAAAACATGACTCCATTATTTTTGCTTCAGCACGAAAATGAGAAGGTTCATAGATTCTTCAAATCTTTTTTTATATTAATTTTGGACAAAAGGACACAAATATCCAAAAGACATGTACAGGATAAGCCTAGATAAAATCCATTTTATAAAATTGTCATTTTGAACAACCACAAAAAATAACAACACATACAAGAATTGAAAAACTGAAATGTCTCACTTGCCGCACAATCTGAATTATTTTTAGGTCAATGAACTCTGTAAATGTGGTCAAGGCTAAAATGAAACAAGTGGGATGTAGTTCTTCTTATAACGAATTCACATATAAAATATTGTTAACCTGACCTGACCATTGTCACTGACAAATATATCTTTTCCAGAAAACCTGACCGTGTCATTGGTGGTGAATTTCTAAATAAAACATGCTAGGCAAATTTAAAATTTTAGTTGGAGTTATCTTCCTTTGTTCATCATTTTTATAACAGATTCATACATGTAATTTTTAATAAAATAAAGGTTCTTGACAAGTATGGTATTTAAAATACACATCATATTGTAACCTAAATATCAAAGTATAACATATCAATAAATTGCATGACTGGCTAGGAGTAGGATCTAAATAATGGACACTGTACTGTACTCTTTTGTTTTAACAATCGAAGGTAGTGATAAACTTTGGAAGATATAGATATCGAATCAGTACTATAAGGTTTTGATTGCATTTTATGCAATCTTTACCCAAAAATGAGGTCAATTTCACATCACAAAGGTCAGGTAAATAATCTGAAATCCACATATTGTTTATCTGTCAATCATATTTACCTGCCTGCCTTTAAAAGTCAGAGTATAAACAGCCTCCATAAAATTAAAATAAGGTAAACATGAGATTTAGATGTAATAATAACTGTAAATACCATTATCAGAAAAGTAATATTAAAGTCACCTTCAGCAACAGGTCAGACAAAAACTTCTACAGTAGTTTAAAAAAGTACCATGGAAATGTCTAGCTTATTACAAACCATCAAGTCTGAAATGTAAATACCTTCCCCATTATATTCTCCAAGCAAAAACCATGGTTCTTCATATTCATGTTGTAAAAAAATAGTAGTGAACAAAAGATATTTAACTTTTATCTCCTGTAATTCAAATAATACACAACAAATAAATGTTGATGGGATCATCCTACTTTTGATGTAATTTCACTCTTTTTCAGGGATTTTTTAACAGAGCTCTTTTTAACATACCGTTCAAGATATTTCAAAAGACAGGAAAGCAAAATGAACAGAAAATAAAACTCCAGAGACCCTTTTCACTAAAAATCTTACGTCAATAGAATACTCGCAAGTCATGAACATTTTAGTGAAAATAGCTTTTGCAGTATATAACTATCCATTAGAGAGTTTGTGTATACACATTTTTTCATCATGAAAGGCAACATAAAATAATATCTGATAAGATAAACAGCAACAAGTCATCTGTACATTAAAATTGTCTAACTGAATAAGACATCATATATAATCAACTTTTAACAAATAACAAGTGCCCTATTCTGAAAACAAAAACAGCCTGAAACTCTGAAATCATATCAACAAAACAAATATAAAACTGTAACATTTCCATTTTGTGAGTGAAGATAATCTTAAAAAAATTGACAAAATTGACAAAAATTTGCCTCTTACTCAACATAAAGCTGTAGCTAAGTTCCTACAGAACAATAAATCTGGCCAAATATTGCTGTACAAACATTCTAATCTGAACAACAATATAAAATCTGTCAGTAAAACTTTTATTCGTTAACATTGATTATGATATAAACTAACAAATTACTAATATCTCAATAAAACAACTTACATATAAAATTTCTGTGAATGCTTTTAACCGTCATGGTATACAAATTTATTTCCTGAGAATTTTCAGTCTTAATTATTATACGAATGGCTTAAAAATATTCATTTGGTATAGTAGCTAAGTCTGGTGGAACCAGATTAATTCCCTGCCTTTATTCTACCTAAATAGTTTGATAGAATCCTGTAACTTTTGAAAGACAATTCACCTAACTGTTAACAGGTGTGGGTACATAAAGTATTTATCAAATGTTCACTTATCTTATTTTCCAATCTATCCTTATTTTTTCAAACCTAACTTTCATCTTGACCATACTGCTATTCATGCATGGAAAGAGTGGACATAGAGAATAGATGGTCATTCCAATTTGATTTTACTATAAAGCTATAAAAAAAAATTTCATATATAATGATAAATGAACTGGTGTCAAAAATGCTTTCCGTCTTATATCTACATTCAATAATACATATGCTAAGTAGTACAACTTTATACTGGCCATTTATTACTGACTTTAATAATCAAACAAAATCATATGATCTATTTTACTGACGTTGAAAACAGAAGAATTCAAAAATATAACTTTAAGAGGTAAACTTTAACATCCCTGAATTTTTTAATGAAAACAGTTTAACAAGGCATTTAATGGCTAAGACTGAGAAGGGCTGAACACAATGAATTGATACATGCAATTCTACTGATTTATACTATGTTTTGGCTTATACTTGAACCAACCAAATTTACAAAGCCATATACTGTTAAATGAGAAATGTTCTCAGAATTTATTTTTTCTATTTTGCAATTCAATATCGCGAAATTGTGGAAATATCCTTAACTATTCTCAAGGCTGCAAATAAAAAGGGGTGACAGAGGTCCTTCATTTTTAACTCCATAATGCATAAAAAGATATGAGAATTTAAAGAGTGTTGTAGAACAGGGATCTTACCCTTTTAACCTCAATTCAAACTTTAACTTAATTGTATTCCAAGGATCCAAAGAAAATTCTGTGGACTAGCACTAACCACAATTGTCAACATACATTTACTATTTTATAGAATAATGCTGTATCTACGGTAAAATTGTTAAAAAATCAACATAGTTATACAACATGTCTACATAAAAGTGTATAAAGCAATGTACAGAACTATTCATAGCACTATTGTCTGTCAAATAAACCCATAAGATACTTTTATAAAGAACTGAAATGCAGGAGTCTTTTATGACTGAAATCCAACCACAAAGTAACAAATTAAAGTTATTTTTTCTTAAATTGTAAATCGATTCTTCTAATGACATTTGAACCTGGAAGTGATTATTTAAATGAATGCTGTGGTCTCTTTCTTACAAATGTAGTTTGCTCTGATAAGCAGTTTCTTACTGTACTTAGTAACACTATGAATAAATGTAGATATAAACACAAACTTGTAAGATTTCAGTCCATCAAGCCTCAGATTTCAGTCTGTTTTCAAGGTTAAGTTTCAGTTCCTTTCAGAAACACATGTATAAGGGTAAGTTTCAGTTCCTTTCAGAAACACATGTATAAGGGAACAGAGATACTAACCAATAACAATATATAAAACTTGATGATACATTACAATGAAAACACAAAATGAGGTTAATGTATACAGGAAAACTATTGCTTTGTTAATTTCACACTTAGTAACATAGAATGCAATTTGTACTGCATGGCAAATATCATTTGTAACATTGAAATTAGTGTAAAATAATGAATGTAAAATTTAAAATAAGATAAAAATGAGCCAAATTAATTTGTTCTGTGTTTGGGGTATAGAATTTCATTAGCAAACCTTAAAAAGATTTCTTTAGTCTTTAAAAATCACTCTCTTTTTGAATAGAATTTCCATATTTAACATACATGCTTATGTTGCATGGAATGGAATAAAACTTTGGAAGAACTATTTCTCTAGGTTTCCACAAGTGTCTCAATGAAGTTTTAGACTGGTTTTACTCTATTTTACTGGTTTACAAATGAATGATTATTTTATGTAACAAATTGTAATCCTAATGAGAATTCTGGTAATTTTTAAACAGTTGAAACAACTGAAAAATCAAGTAATTTTCTCATTTAGATATAATTATATATATTTTCAGCATTTTTAATGAATTACCGGTATGTGAGAAAAACTTTATAAATAACCCACCAGGTTTGTTATATTTTGGAATATATTTGTAAAAAGTCACCGGAAATTGCACTGGATTTTTTATCAGCTGAGATTAAGATAAAATTACACATTAACAATATAGCTACTATTATTTCATTCATCCTCATGCTTTTGTATGTCATAAATCTCAGCAAACAAGAGGGGTAACTTGACTTTCTCCCAATGTGATCTGTACCATTCTAATATTTCATTGTGTTGTATACCAACAGTTCGTAGATGTGGCAATTTAACTATTGTATTTCCAAAAAGATTTTCCTCCGTTGAATGATTCCGACTAATTTGTAGTTTTAAAGCTTCTAATAATTTGTCTTGTATACTTTCAACATATTTTGGTCCTTGTAATCCTCTACGATCTGAAATTAAAAAAAATTCTTAACATTTACTCAGTGGCCCTTAAAGGACCGCGGGCCCACTATGTATAATTTTTGACTGTGGTGGTATCAGTCTTACAGCGATGTTTAATTTTTTACCGTGGTGCTAAAATTTTCAGTTAAAAAAATTGTAAATCGGTAAAATTTTAAGCAATTTTCCGTGCGGTATAAAAGTCCAGGTGAAATTTGACCAGTTCAAACCAGTTTACCCAGATTGTTGACACCACGTGATCGATTTACCTTATGAGGTTAACCTTGTTGATTGGATTTAATCGATGTAATTAACACTTGTTACATTATTCTTTTGTGTGTTAATTAGGAGTTCATAACTTTATGATCACTGATAACTATTTTATGGCTCCACTCACAACCCAAGCGCTGACCTGTGACAAGTCTGCAAATACTTTGTACACAAACAGTGTGAACCCGATAGTTACACACATGCCTATACATTTTTTGTACATAATAAAGTTGGCTCATTAGTATAGTATAATATGTCTGATTAAACCATGGCCAAAATTTTCTTTAATTATGACATAGTTAGTGCATGATATCGGGTTTAAAACTATAGTATCTGTGAAGGGGACGGACATATGTACATATCACATGACCCAGTTAGTTCACGTAGAATATTAAAGTTAATTTGCAATATTTGCAATCTATTCTATTTAATAGATAAAATGTATGACTGTACCTTCAAATTGGATATCTATATCCACAATTAATGAATAACAGAAGTAATCTTGCAAATTTTAGCCATAAGCACATGTTAAATCTATTTATATCTACTTCCTGTCATTTAGGCAGGAAAAATAGGGAGACTTTGTTGTTGACATTGAATATAGTTACTTATAGACCTAAGATAAATTTATGGATTTAGGAATTCTTTTTAAATGGATCATGACAAATAAAGATTTAGATTTCAGTGCAGTATTAAGTCTGTATCAATGTTTGATTATCACCAAAGACAAGAAAGGTTAATATTTACAAGAAATCTATGGCAAAATGTTTTAAAATTTATGAAAAATTTCTCTTTTTTTTCAAATTTAAGATAGAAACTGGTTCAAACAATAAATCAATATTTGTTCTTGTTATTTTATATCTCCTTATGACAAGAATCCTTTCACATACAACAACTTTCTTTCTAGAAACTATAAAGTTTTTTTCTAAATTGAACATTTTTGGTCTCCTTTGAATGATATTTTATTTTTATTGATCATGGATTTTATAAAAGATTTGATAACTTTAAATTTAGATGAATATTTTGTAATGAATCATGTTTTATTTATTAAAAAAAAATATTAAAGTATACAAACTGTTTGTTTATTGATTTACTTCTTTTTTTACCAATAATTTTCTGACTCAATGTCTACATTGTAGCTTATTTAATATTGAGTAAAGGACCAATTACTTAACAAAGGATATATGTTAAATAGACTGACTACTTAGTCTGACATATATCTTTGATGTTAAATTCTATTCCCAATGCTGTATGTACTTTGGTGTTAAATTCTATTCCCAATGCTGTATGTACTTTGGTGTTAAATTCTATTCCCAATGCTGTATGTACTTTGGTGTTAAATTCTATTCCCAATGCTGTATGTACTTTGGTGTTAAATTCTATTCCCAATGCTGTATGTACTTTGGTGTTAAATTATATTCCCAATGCTGTATGTACTTTGGTGTTAAATTATATTCCCAATGCTGTATGTACTTTGATGTTAAATTCTATTTTCAAGCTGTATGTACTTTGATGTTAAATTCTATTCCCAATGCTGTATGTACTTTGATCCTACTTTATAATGCTGCATGTTAAGTGGGAAAGCAGCAAATACCAATTTCAGTCTTTAATTTGACCCAGTCATGTATAAAATCCCATGACCTCCTACTTCTGAAGTAAACAAGATCACCAAGGTGTTTTATGTTAGGAAAGATATATATTTTTCTATCTTACTGAGTAATTTTTTTTAAATTTGGTAATTTTCTGTGATTTAGAATTACAAGTATACTTCATTGCTGAAAAATATTCTTATAAAAAAAAATCAGAAATTTGTGCATGCATTCATTATTGCTATTGTTGAACCCTGGATACACATTAGAGAATAGTTACTTTGATTTCATGAAATGTTTTCAAGAAATAAATAATGCTATAAAAAGTTAAAATATAAGTTTTTGTTACAACCTATCCCGTTACAAATTTAGCAATAATAAAAAACTGCTTCGCTGAGCGCAGCTGGATACGCCCGCAGAGGTCCAACCATGAACAGTTAGGGCAAAAATGGACACAATATTCAAGCTTGATACAGGTCAGAATTTGGATTGTAATTAAATATTTGACATATTATAGGTTTCTGAATAAATGTAGTCAAAGAACTTGAAATTGGTTATATGAATTGAATTTATATTCAATTAAAGATTGCATGCTATTGTGCGTGCAATACACTATGCTGTTGCGCAAATCTGTTGTCAGACTATAAACAAATAAAATTTATAAAATTCTAAAGGGAGCTTACATCAATAGATATAACCAATTCACTAAAGTTTCATAAGAATTGCTGAAAGCATTTTTGAGTCATTGTCCGAAAACTGGAAAATCCCCCCTTTTTTAATGAATAAAACCCCATAACTCAGAAATGTAAAATCTTAAATTTATAAAATTCTAAAGGGAGCTTACATCAATAGATATCAACAATTCATCAAAGTGTCATGAGAACTGCTGAAAGCATTTTTGAGTAATTGTCCGAAAACTGGAAAATCCCCCCTTTTTTAATGAATAAAACCCCATAATTCGGAAATGTAAAATCTAAAATTTATAAAATTCTAAAGGGAGCTTACATCAATAGATATCAACAATTCATCAAAGTTTCATGAGAACTGCTGAAAGCATTTTTGAGTTATTGTCCGAAAACTGGAAAATCCCACTTTTTTGTTATGAATAAAACCCCGTAACTTGGAAACGTAAAATCTAAAATTTTTAAAAATCAAAAGGGAGCTCATGTCAATAGATATAAACAATTAACCAAAATTTCTTGCAAGTTGGTGAAAGCAAGCTTGAGTTATTGTCCGAAAACTGGAAAATCCCCCTTTTTTTAATGAATAAAACCCCATAACTGGGAAACATAAAATCTAAAATTTATAAAAAACGAAAGGGAGCTCACGTCAATAGATATTAACAATTCACCAAAGTTTTATGCAAATTGGTTAAAGCGTTTTTGAGTTAATGTCCGACATGTTGACGACGGACGGACAGACAGACGGACGGATGGACGGACAGACAACGGTATACCATAATACGTCCCGTAAACGGGCGTATAAAAACAACGTAACATTTCTAAATTAGCAGTAACTAGTGTTAGCAATACAATTTCTTGAAAACTTGATATGGTGAACCTACACCGTTGTGTTTACTTCTGATAGAGTCTCCTGAAGTGGATACCTTAGTATGCAGGATAGTCAATTATTGCAAGTTAACTTCTGATAGAGTCTCTTGAAGTGGATACCTTAGTATGCAGGATTGTCAATTATTTCAAGTTTACTTCTGATAGAGTCTCCTGAAGTTGATACCTTAGTATGCAGGATTGTCAATTATTTCAAGTTTACTTCTGATAGAGTCTCCTGAAGTGGATACCTTAGTATGCAGGATTGTCAATTATTGCAAGTTTACTTCTGATAGAGTCTCCTGAAGTGGATACCTTAGTTTGCAGGATTGTCAATTATTTCAAGTTTACTTCTGATAGAGTTGCCTGAAGTGGATACCTTAGTATGCAGGATTGTCAATTATTGCAAACTATTGCAAAACTATTATAATTAAATTCTTATTTCACAATGTGTGTTGCTCTGGGTGAAAGAAATAATGAAAAGTGAAAGTAGAGTTATAAATAGATCAGATAAATATATAGATGTACCAAGCTTTGTACTTCAGTACTTATTTCTGTACGTAAATTGTCATAATGGCAGGCGCAACATGTTAAACAAGTTTAAATAAAATGCTCCGCAGGGCGCAGCTTGATACGACCGCAGAGGTCGAACCCTGAACAGTTGGGTCAAGTATGGACACAACATTCAAGCTTGATACAGCTCTGAATTTGGATTGTGATTAAATATTTGACACAGCATAGGTTTCTGACACAGAATAAATGTGGTCTAAGAACTTAAAAATTTTAAATTGGACATTCACCTATTATGGTCCAATATCCAAAATCTAAATACATGGTTAGATTCAGCATATCAAAGAACCCCAAGAATTCAATTTTTGATGAAATCAAACAAAGTTTAATTTTGGACCCTTTTGACCTCAATGTGGACAAAGTTGATAATGGGGCCCACAAATCAAAAATCTAAATACATGGTTAGATTCAGCATATCAAAGAACCCCATATATTCAATTTTTGTTGAAATCAAACAAAGTTTAATTTTGGACCCCGATTTGGACCAACTTAAAAACTGGGCCCATAATCAAAAATCTAAATACATGTTTAGATTCAGCATATCAAAGAACCCTAAGAATTCAATTTTTGTTAAAATCAAACTTAGTTTAATTTTGGACCCTTTGGACCTTAATGTAGACCAATTTGAAAACGGAACTAAAAATTAAGAATCTAAATACACGGTTAGATTCGGCATATCAAAGAACCCCAATAATTCAATTTTTGATGAAATCAAACAAAGTTTAATTTTGGACCCTTTGGACCTCAATGTGGACCAATTTAAAAACGGGGCCCAAAATCCAAAAACTTAATACACGGTTAGATTCAGCATATTAAAGAACCCCAAGAATTCAAAAATAAAACCCCATTGAAATTGGTCAAGAAATAAGCAATTTATACGAAGTATCTTCTTTTGCACAATACTGTGCAATTAAATATTTCTTGCTATTGCACAATACTGTACAATTGACAATTTCTTGCTATTGCGCAATATTGTGCTATTGGATATTTCTTGCTATTGCGCAATACTGTGCAATTGAAGATTTCTTGCTATTGCGCAATACTGTGCAATTGAAGATTTCTTGCTATTGTGCAATACTGTGCAATTGAAAATTTCTTGCTATTGCACAATACTTATTATATAATAATTTACACATCCTGTTTGGTGTGTATCTCCTACCATATCATTATTATTTGCTTTTAAATATAAATCAGAAATAACCAACTTAAAAAGGAAAATTTTAAAAGAAAAAAAAAAGAAAAAAGGATAAAAAAAGGAAAAAAAATAAAAATCCCCCCCCCCAAATTTTTTGAACCCCCTTATGATTCATCACCCCCAAACTCAATCCCAGCCTTCCCTTTGTGGTATGGTACCTTGCAGTACAATTTCAGAGAGATCCATACACTTGACCACAAGTTATTGTCTGGAAACTAGAAAAATGCTTATTTTTGGCCCCTTATTCCTAAACGTTTAAGGCAATTACCCCCAAACTCAATTCCAGCTTCTCCTTTGTGATACGGAACCTTGTAGTACAATTTCAGAAAGATTCATACACTTTCACACAAGTTATTGTCATGAAACTAGAAAAATGCTTGTTTTTTGCCCCTTTTTTTGCCCCTAATTCCTAATATTTTGAGGCAATTACCCCCAAAATCAATCCCAGCATTCCCTTTGTGATATGGAACCTTGTGGTACAATGTCAGAGAGATCCATACACTAACACACAAGTTATGTCTGGAAGTTACAAAAATGCTTATTTTTGGCCCCTTTTTGGCCCCTAATTCCTTAACTGTTGGTACCATAACCCCCAAAATCAATCCCAACCTTCCTTTTGTGGTATTGAACCTTATGGTAAAATTTCATAGAGATCCATTCACTTAAACTAAAGTTAGAGTGGAAAACCAATGTGTCTTCGGACGACGCCAACGTCATACCAATATACGACCTCAAAAATTTTTGCGGTCGTATAAAAATTGCAGGCTCTTTGAAATCTTTAAATTTCTGGAAAAGTAACATGTATGTCTCACTTAGTCATTTATCACAGGCAAGGCAAACCAAAGTAGTGGTGTTTAATGTTGAATATGATGTTTAATCAATAGTATAACCTTACCATGAGTAGTAAGAACAATGGCTGTAAAGATACCAATCTCTGTGTCATTTAATTTTAACTGGTGTATACTGGCTGCCAGATCAAACATGCTGTTTACAAACTCAGGCTAAAAACAACAATAAAACAGAGTTGTACAATAACTCAGGCTAAAAATAAAAAGGTTTATTTTTGTAATTTTAATTTGGAATTAAAAAAAAAGTGGTAACTAGTGCCAGGTTGAAAATGAAATTGTATCCATCTGATTATTAAACACATGGTAAGAATTAAATAATATAGAATTTTACTATATATCTCCTAGTGAAATTATTAGTCAGCTGTGTATCAAACCTCAACACTAAACTGACATTGGCTTGTTGAACCTCATGGATCTACCACAGAAATGACCTTATACAAATAGCTATTTTATATTTAACATGCCACCCATATAAGTTTACTAAAAAATATATATCTTCAACTTTTGGCTACACATAGTCAATTAAACATATATCTGTTGATTCACAATTATTTTGTGAGGTATATGGCAGAAGATTTTCAAATAGCAGTAAAGTCTATTGAAAATACTTTTGAACTCTGAAAATATCCCATATTTGAGGGATAGTTACATTGTTGTAAAAGTGTTCACTATTTGGTGGGTTGTGTCCAACCTGCTCAACACTGATTGTCTTTTCAGGCTTGTTTTGTTTTCACATTGCTATTCGAAGAATACAATTTTTATGGACTTCATAGGTATAGACAAACCACAAATTTAAAGTTCACAGAAGCATCTATTTTCTATAGGCTTGTATACAGACTTTGGCAAATCACAAAATCAAATATCCACTAAAATACAATATTTTCTCAATCCACAAAAATCGGTACCCATGAAAATGAGTGAATCCACATTACTTAAACATATTTAATTTTCCATATTAAAACAGAATCAACTAATTCTCAGCAGCCCATTAAGTTTAAGTCTTGAGGGTTTAATCATCAAAATCCAAAAGAAGAGATTGAGAACTTGTTGCAATGTCCACATACACAACCCTAAAATGAAGATAGTACTTAACTGTTTAAAGATTTGAGCTTAGTCTTACATATTTTAAAGTTATTTGAAGTTCTCATCAGTAACTAGTGGATCATAAAATATAAATCATAAACAAACTGCTCAAATGATTCACTCTTTTTCTGCTGATGAGCTTTGTAGAATTATACAAAATTTCTATAAAACAACTATTAGCAATTTTTCTTACAGTGAACACAACAGACAGTTCATCTCGCTGTATCATACTTCCATCTTCAAATGTCAGCATCCCATCAAATTTACTAAACATTCCCGCCATACGTGTTAACCAGATCTCAAAGAATCCACCTTTTATTAATAATAACTGATCATCTTGTGTTAATTCTGTAAAACCTGAAACAAAACAAAAATATTCCGGTACCACATGCAACTTGGTCAGATCACTGGAATATGTCTTTACTTTAAGCAATGAAGATAACTTATGATCTTTAACACCATCTTTTTAAATGATGCAACCTAAAAATCTTGTTTAAAATCCTTTTAACCCCATGTCTGCTATTTCTGTGAGTAAGTTAAGTTTTTCTATCTAATCTTGATACCAATTTAACCAAACTTTACTTTATCTGACAGCTTTCAATAAAATCTCGCTGCGATATAGCCTTTTTGTGCTGATGCGGCGTAAAGCAATCACCAATCAATCAATCAATCAATCAATAAAACCATCAATTCAATTGACATTATATTTTTAAAGATTATTAAACTAAACTATTTTTCTGTATGCAGTTTGTCACACTGTGAGAGTGTTCTTGTCAGTAGTGTGTGTCCTGAAATCTGTATGTTAGTACCAGAAGTTTACTTACTTGGAACTCTTTTAGCGAATTCTACGACTCTGTTTACAGCAGGTGTAATTGAATGGGCGAGACAGGACCACATGGACAGTTTCTGTGTTTCCAGCTGCTCGTCTGTAAAGTTTACCTGAGAGGACGGTATTGATATTCTCTGCATCTGTAACATCAATGATTTTAAAACTATTCATTTGACTTCAAATCATAACCCCTCTGTTTCCTCATTATACCCCTCCAAACTCTCCTGTCTCAATCATAAAGGGCAGTAACTCTATAAATAATATCATTTTATATGTTAAAACTTTTAAATGATATGAAGCGGTTCTCCATTTTGATCCATTGAAATCAGTTTAATGAAGCTGTATGAGATATTGCATTTGCAAACTTTCAAATATGTAAATAGAGTTCATGACAAATAACTAAATATTTAGATTAACACAAAATGTATCTGTCAATCCTTACATCTGTAGTATACCTAACACACATACAGAATAATTCTTATTTTGATAGTCATTTATATTCCTAACTGTTTCATGATAATCAACCTCAAATTCATGTCAATTTTTTAAATCTTTGATTGTCAATCCCACAAAGTATTTGAGATGAAAGAAATTGAAACTAGAGGCTCTAAAGAGCCTGTGTCGCTCACCTGACTCTACTTTGGTTTTAGAAATCATGTAAAGATAGATAAAAATCATAACAGATACCCAAATAATGATTGAGGCCAAATTTGGTTTAATATTGGTCCCATTATTTAATAAAATATCCTGGTGGCCATCTTGAACAGTAAATCGGCAACAAAGTAGCAACACTTGGTCAGCACCTCATAAGGAACATTCATGCCATGTTTGGTTTCATTCCATTCAGTGGTACCCTTAAAGAAGACATTTGTATGTATTTCCTATAGGGTCCTATGTTAAACTAAGCCCCCCCCCCCCTGGTGGCTATCTTGGATGATGGATCAGCAACAAAGTAGCAACACTTGGTCAGCTCCTCATAAGGAACATTCATGCCATGATTAGTTCCATTCCATTCAGTGGTTCTCTAAAAGAAGACATTTGTATGTATTTCCCATAGGGTCCTATGTTAAACTAACTCCCCCGCTGGCGGCCATTTTGGATGATGGATCGGCTGCAAAGTAACAACACTTGGTCAGCACCTCATAAGGAACATTCATGCCAAGTTTGGTTTCATTCCATTCAGCGGTTCTCTAAAAGAAGACATTTGTATGTATTTCCCATAGGGTTCTATGTTAAACTAAGTCACCCACTGACGGGCATCTTGTATGATGAACCAACTGCAAAGTAACAACATTTGGTCAGCACCTCATAAGGAACATTCAATCCATGTTTGGTTTCATTCCATTCAGGGGTTTTCTAAAAGAAGACATTTGTATGTATTTCCCATAGGGTCCTATGTTAAACTAAGTCACCCACTGGCGGCCATCTTGGAAGATGGATCGACTGCAAAGTAACAACACTTGGTCAGCACCTCATAAGGAACATTCATGCCATGTTTTGTTTCATTCGTTTCGGTGGTTCTCTAAAAGAAGACATTTGTATGTATTTCCCATAGGGTCCTATGTTAAACTAAGTCACCCGCTGGCGGCCATTTTGGATGATGGATCAGCTGCAAAGTAACAACACTTGGTCAGCACCTCATAAGGAACATTCATGCCATGTTTGGTTTCATTCCATTCAGTGGTACCCTTAAAGAAGACATTTGTATGTATTTCCTATAGGGTCCTATGTTAAACTAAGCCCCCCCCCCCTGGTGGCTATCTTGGATGATGGATCAGCAACAAAGTAGCAACACTTGGTCAGCTCCTCATAAGGAACATTCATGCCATGATTAGTTCCATTCCATTCAGTGGTTCTCTAAAAGAAGACATTTGTATGTATTTCCCATAGGGTCCTATGTTAAACTAACTCCCCCGCTGGCGGCCATTTTGGATGATGGATCGGCTGCAAAGTAACAACACTTGGTCAGCACCTCATAAGGAACATTCATGCCAAGTTTGGTTTCATTCCATTCAGCGGTTCTCTAAAAGAAGACATTTGTATGTATTTCCCATAGGGTTCTATGTTAAACTAAGTCACCCACTGACGGGCATCTTGTATGATGAACCAACTGCAAAGTAACAACATTTGGTCAGCACCTCATAAGGAACATTCAATCCATGTTTGGTTTCATTCCATTCAGGGGTTTTCTAAAAGAAGACATTTGTATGTATTTCCCATAGGGTCCTATGTTAAACTAAGTCACCCACTGGCGGCCATCTTGGAAGATGGATCGACTGCAAAGTAACAACACTTGGTCAGCACCTCATAAGGAACATTCATGCCATGTTTTGTTTCATTCGTTTCGGTGGTTCTCTAAAAGAAGACATTTGTATGTATTTCCCATAGGGTCCTATGTTAAACTAAGTCACCCGCTGGCGGCCATTTTGGATGATGGATCAGCTGCAAAGTAACAACACTTGGTCAGCACCTCATAAGGAACATTCAATCCATGTTTGGTTTCATTCCATTCAGGGGTTCTCTAAAAGAAGACATTTGCATGTATTTCCCATAGGGTCCTATGTTAAACTAAGTCACCTGCTGGCGGCCATTTTGGATGATGGATCGGTTGCAAAGTAACAACACTTGGTCAGCACCTCATAAGGAACATTCAATCCATGTTTGGTTTCATTCCATTCACTGGTTCTCTAAAAGGAGACATTTGTATGAATTTCCCATAGGGTCCTATGTTAAACTAAGTCCCCTGCTGTTGGCCATCTTGGATGATGGATCGGCTACAAAGTAACAACACTTGGTCAGCACCTCATAAGGAACATTCATGCCATGTTTGGTTTCATTCCATTCAGTGGTTCTCTAGAAGAAGTTCAAAATGTAAAAAGTTAACGACAACGCCGACGGACGACGGTCGCCAAGTGATGAGAAAAGCTCACTTAGGGCCAGGTGAGCTAATAAAAATGGAGATCGAGTCCCATGGACACAGATGATGCCCCCGCTTAAATTAAAGGGACATAACTCAAAAACAGTAAAAGTGATCATGACGCCACCCAAATTCAAACTTGATCTATGTTTTGTGGTAATAAGCATTGTGTATAAGTTTCATAACATTTGGTTGAACCAATTTGGGGACATACATACAGACAGATGGACATACAGACGGACAAGGGCAACACTTAATGCTCCCTCTGCTGCTAAATGATGTCCATTTACAACTGTATATGATTCCCCCCCCAGCTCCTAGAAACATTTTAGAATTACGAGGATATTTGATCAGATTTTTTGCCTTCTTATAATTATAGACCCCCCCCCCCCAGCTCCTAGAAACATTTTAGAATTATGAGGATATTTGATCAGATTTTTTGCCTTCTTATAATTATAGATTTACTATGGTTCTGAAAAAGATTTTTACTCCACTTGACTGAGAAAAACCTATCTCAATGGAGAAGCATGAGTGGAAAATGATTATACAGGAAGATAAATGGACAACTTAAGAAAATAGTGATAATAAAGATTCTATATCCATGATGACTATTCTTATTGTGTTTAAGACAGGAAAGTTTTTGTAAGTCATTTTTTGCTTGATTAAAGGAGTAGGCTCTGTAAGACCCCTTTTTGGCCCCTCAATACAGCATTTTAACAAATTTGTTAAAAATGTAAACTTTTAGCAATTTATTGGAAAGTACAATACTTTTGTTACATAAAAATGGGCTGTTTTTTACAATACAATGCACATGCAGCAGGTACTAGCATCATTAATTCATGCAAAAGTACTGAAATCTTCACAATTTTAGCATTTGTACTACTTTTCATACGGTTGTTGGCTAAAAGGAAGTGGCTGCACTTGTGTTCAGTCTAAATATTCAATTATATGTTGTATTTGATGATAATACATACATGTAACATATGTAAAGGTTGAGACTGAACATGAATGCTGCCACTTACATTTTAGACAAAAACATATATGAAAAGTGACGTTTCATGACATATTTGATAGATTTTTTTAATATTTAAGCTTGAATTTAAGCATCTTTAATGACCAAATCCATTTAAATCTTTTACATAAACAAGTGTTTAGAAAATATTAAAAATCCTTCATCAGATGTACTTCAAATTTTAGGCAAAAATAAACCCTTACAGGACCTTCTCCTTTGAATCATGAATCAGTATCATTTTACTTTAGGGCTATTCCATTAAAATGCATGTGGGAGGGTAGGAAGGGAAGTTTAATTATTGAATGTGGGTCATGGGTCTTTTTTCAGTATGAGTCTATTACCATTATGCAAAATTATCTAAAAAATGGTTCTTGGTTGTAGGGATATTTTGAAAGTCCCTTCCTACCCTCCCACATACATTTTAATGGAATAGCCCTTAACTTTATGTGACTATATAAGTCCCTTCCTACCCTCCCACATACATTTTAATGGAATAGCCCTTAACTTTATGTGACTATATAAGTCCCTTCCTACCCTCCCACATACATTTTAATGGAATAGCCCTTAACTTTATGTGACTATATACTGTATGTCAAAAAAGAAAGGTAATACTCCTACCAATGTAGAATGCTTTCGCTGCAGTAATTTTATTTTGTCCTCCGTAACAGCACAATGTGCATGATGTGCTTGAGAGATATTGAGGATGATGTCATATAATGCTAGATGGCGACTTTCTGCTGCAGAATCATCGGGATACAAGTCACTGGATCCTCCAAATGGATCATCCACACTTTTAGATCTTTTTGGTACTCTTCCATATCTCACAGCTAAAATAGAAAATTCTTTTACATCATTAACTTGTAGAGATTATTTTAAAATTTTGAAAATATACTTTTTGTTTTTATTCTTTTTTTCATGTTTTTTTTCAGGTAATAATTTTGTTTGACAGCTTCAGACATACACATGTACTTATTTTTTATCCTTTAAGACTGGACCAAACCACTACTTTACCTAAAAATTCATGCCCCAAATTTTTTTTACATATAATTCCATTCCCCTACTTACTATTTTATGCATAAAGTATTAAAAAATAATTTCGAAGGTGTATGAGAAAAATTTGCAAGTAATACACTGTCCACACTAGGGACTCTATTTGTATACAATGAAAATGAAAGGATGATGACTGTGTCCTCTGACCAGAGACCAAGTGATGTAGAAGTAAGCAACTAATAGAAAATGAAAGGATATGGAGTAAATGTACATGGGACAAAATCACACACAATACATAGAAAACATAGAAAATTATCAATGAACAGGGCTTTTATTCCTGTTCTTACTAAGGTAACTGTGCAGCCTTCAGCATTGAGGAAAACCCCTACAGTATAGTTATCAATAAAAGGCCTGGACATGAAATAAAAAGCTGCCCTATGAGCGCATGATATGCCCGTCCCGTTTTCAACGAATAAAGTTCCATAACTCCTCAATGTCATATCAGAAATTTATAAAAAAAACTAAAGGGAGCTTATTTCAATAGATATAAACCAGTCACCAAAGGCTCATGAAAACTGCTCAAAGCATTTATGAGTTATTGTCCGAAAACTGGAAAATCCCCCTTTTTATGAATAAAATCACATAACTCCGCACGTTATATCTAAACTTTAAAAAAAAAAAAAAAAAGGGAGCTGAAGTCAATAGTTCACCAAAGTTTCATAAAAATTGGTTGAAGCGTTTATGAGTTATTGTCCAACATGTAGAAGACGGATGGACGGACAGATAACGGTAACCATAATATGTCCCATAAATGGGCGTATAAAAATGTAAAAAAATTCAGTTCATTTTCACTCTTCTCTTTTCTAGAAATCAGACCTAAAAATCTGATAGATTTTTGTCATTTTTAATTATTACACATTAAATTCATTTTTTATAAATATAATTTTATGGAATTTTTCCTTTTGATTATGCTTTTCAATCATGATGGACAGATATTTGTAATTTTTATTATCACATTAAATTCTTTTTGTGAATTATAGATTATTGATGGTTTTTCAAACGAGAGAGTTGAACTCAGCTACAATCTCACCGAGGGCGACAGCCCTGAGATGAGATGTGGCTGAGAAACATCCTAGAGTATGAAAGACCTTTGTTAATCTGTTTATCCCTATTTTGCCTATGAGGTCGTTCATTTTTACATTGACGATGTCACGTGCCTCCTTAGTTTCTGACGATAATTTTCCATCTCAAGCGAGTAGCATGAAATATGATCACCAAAAAGATCAAAGGAAAAATGCACAAAATAGCAATAATATATTTTAAGGCATTTTTTTTTTATTATAATGTTTTTCTATCAGTTCTGATACTCACAATCTCTAGACATTCCTACAGCCAAACATTTTTTAAAGCGGCAGTACTGACATCTGTTTCTATTCAGTCGTATAACCATACACTTTCCATCCCTTAAACATCTGTACTCTATCTGTTTCTGAATGCTTCTCCTGAAGAATCCCTAAGATAAATAATTACATCACTATATAATATCTACTTCATTTCTATTCTGTTTAGATTAATTATAGCAATCTTAACTTCTAGTGACAATTCTTTCATACATGTCAGGTTTAACTATTCTTTATAAATTCATACTTCAAGTTTCTATCTTGCTCAAAGACACTATAATTAAATCATTGGATTCAATTTCTGGTATGATGAGTGAGTCACAAGTATTACAAATGAATCATGTTGTTGCAGGCCTCTACAATAACTTTTTTTTCAACTTGTCCAATAGGACAAGTACATACCAAAACTTACTTGTCCGAATGGAATTGTAACTTGTCCGAAAAAAATCCTAATATCAACCTTTTTTGCATTTTAATTTGATTCACCAAACAAAATGAATTAAAACAAAAGAACAGAATTTGATTTATATCTCTTGAAATCCTTTTCAAAAATATGAGTCAGGAACAACTGAATCCAGTCATGTCACGGGACTTAGGTTCTAGTTTTCATCAATGCCAAAGTCTCATCAGACTCAGCACATGAGGCACCGTCAGGTAGGCCTGTCAGTCTACACCGTCATTGTTTTGTCTACATATGATCAAATATGATTCTAAGAATTTTATGGTCAATAATTTAATAATTTCTTCATTTTTTTTTTAAAATATTTTTGTGAAAAAAAAATTATGGTACTTTAATATTATAAAGCAACAGAATAAGGTAGGGAAACGAGGTACTGGTTTGTCTTGGTCCCGAAATGTCTCCTATGGTGCCAAACTGTCTATTAAACATGTCTATTAAAAATGTCTCCTACATGCCAAACTATCTATTAAACATAGAGCCGAATCGTTTCCGTGCTGGTGCCGAACTGTCTTGTAAGGTTACCTTATCTACAAAGTGCAATCGCTGATTCCTATCAGTAAGACTGGTTTCCGAGAATAGTATGCGTTTTATCTGTTAAGAACTATCTAACAAAGAACCAGTTTTAAATTATCGACTGCAAGTAAACATGTCAAATTAATATTTGTTTTTATCTTCTTTTCTTGTTTTTTTGTTTATAATTACTTTGATCATCAAAGTTGGATTTAATTTATTTTCTGAAGAATAATTTTACTTGTCCCGTCGGACAAGCTTACTATGTTTTTTACTTGTCCGACCTTTTTTTCCTCTGGTACCGGACAATCGGACAAGCGTTATTGTCGAGCCCTGTGTTGTGTTATATTGTATTTGCTAAATGGTATCTTGTGGTATTCATATATTCTAGTTTTGTATCTGGTGACAATTTTTGTTCTTTCATCTGAAGGTGCTATTTCTAGTCATGCTACTAGGGTATTTGTTTTGGTTCCAATGTATGTAATGGTATTTCAATTTGATAATAGCATTAACAATAGCTATTGTACTGCACCAGATGCTCATTTCAATAAACTGCTTCACTGAGCGCAGCTGGATACGCCCGCAGAGGTCCAACCCTGAATAGTTGGGGCAAAAATGGACACAATATTCAAGCTTGATACAGGTCTAAATTTGGATTGTATTAAATATTTGACATATTATAGGTTTCTGAATAAATGAAGTCAAAGAACTTGAAATTGGTTATATGAATTGAATTTATATTCAATTAAAGATTTCTTGCTGTTGTGCAATACACTGTGCTGTTGCGCAATACTTAGTAAATCTGTTGTCAGACTATAAACAAATAAAGTTCAAATAATTCTCAATGTCATATTAGAAATTTATGAAAATGTAAAGGGAGCTAACATCAATAGATATAAACAATTCACCAAAGTTTCATGAGAATTGCTGACAGCATTTTTGAGTTATTGTCCGAAAACTGGAAAATCCCCCCTTTTTTAATGAATAAAACCCCATAACTCAGAAATGTAAAATGTAAAATTTATAAAATTCTAAACGGAGCTTACATCAATAGTATATAAACAATTCACCAAGGTTCCATAAGAACTGCTCAAAGCATTTTTGATTTTTTGTCCGAAAACTGGAAAATCCCCCCTTTTTTATGAAGAAAACCCTGTAACTCGGAAAAGTAAAATCGAAAATATATAAAAATCGAAAGGGAGCTCATGTCAATAGATATAAACAATTCACCACAATTTCTTGCAAGTTGGTGAAAGCATTCTTGAGTTATTGTCCAAAAACTGGAAAATCCCCCTTTTTAATGAATAAAACCCCATAACTCGGCAACGTATAACCTAAAATTTATAAAAAACGAAAGGGAGCTCACGTCAATAGAAATAAACAATTCACCAATGTTTTATGCGAATTGGTTAAAGCGTTTTTGAGTTAATGTCCGACATGTTGACGACGGGCGGACAGACGGACGGACAATGGTATACCATAATACGTCCTGTAAATGGGCGTATAAAAATTAATGTTGCTGTTAATCATGTGAATAAGGGCTACACCCACTGTCCCTAAATTATATTCTTTTATTACATGTTTAAGTAGTTGGTATTACCTGACATGAAGTAACACCATAATGAAATCCTGAGGCTCAATCTCCACATACTTTACATGGTACAAACTTATCTTACAACCTTCACATGAAGTAAAACCATACTGAAATCCTGAGGCTGGATTTCCACATACTTTACATGGTACACTTACCTTACAACCTTCACATGAAGTAACACCATAATGAAATCCTGAGGCTCGATCTCCACATACTTTACATGGTACAAACTGTTGTTTTGGTGTGTTGGAATCTGCTGGCTGTATAACACTTTCTGTTGAATAAATCATCACACTTATTCTAATTATTATATATGAACAATGTCAGAAGAGTAAAAGGCTCCTTGGAGCTTGTATTGCTGTCACACATCATTCTAGATTCACTGGTCAATCATTTTCCTACACAGTGACTGAGTGTTCATGCTGTCCAAAATAGAAGGGCGGCCCGCCCTTGGTGCCCTTACCCCTGCCCTTCCGCCCTAGAAAGCAAAAAAAAGACACCCCTCTGCCTTTTCAATAAATAAACTTTTTAACTTACATGCCTCTCAGACTTTCCAGTAAAATCATTTAAATGCTACCTGAGTGTGTAACTCTAATTTAATAACTGACAATGCCATAAAGTTACAAAAATACCAAGCTTTTGGCAGTTTTATCAACCCTGTTGATGATTGGCTTCTTCTAATTAGGTGATTAAAAGATAATTGAACAAATTCTAGATATTTATCAAACAAGAGTGCACACGCTGAAATGTATCGCCTACTATACCGACCATTGATTTTATATTGATACATGTAGTCCTAAATATAAAAGTTTTACTACAAGTATCACATTAACATTTATGATCCAAGGAAATGTACACCTGAAAAACTTTAAGTAGGCATTAAAAAATTAAAATGTTATAACAATTTTAAAGGCATACATATATATAGTTTTGACTAAATTGGGAAAAAAATGTTTAGTTTAATAACTCTGTGTATGAAATTGAAAGAGCTTCTTATTTTGATCATAAACAAGATTGCAACAGGAAGGATTCTTACTGTCCAAGCCGCTGTTTATGGTACCTACAATGTACATCTCTTTTTATTCACAAGAAACGAAACATTTTATACCTTTAGATATTTTGGCAAGGTCTGGCTTTTGATCAATATCTTCATATCCTACATGTAATGCTTCAGTGCTTTGTGATAGTTGGTTGTCATGTTGTTGTAGCTGATGGAAAGATTGATTGAACAACACATTCCTATTCTCAATACTTTGTTGATTCTGAAGGAAAATAGGTGGCAATTGTTCTCTTGTGCATTCACTACTGCTCGCTACATTAGCAGCACTGTATGAAGGCTGGGTCATACTGACTACATAACTGTTTAAATAAACTGCAATCAGTTCTATATAAAACTGTTATTGTTTTTTTTATCAAATCAGCTGATTTTTACCACCAAAAACCTTCCACGGTATACCTGTAATTGCACATATAAATTGAATAAAGAGCTGATGCTTTTAGGGGTAAGTGATTTCAAACGTTCCTAAAAAATCATTTGTTATCATTCCTTTTATCAATTCAATTCAAAATAACGCTTTTTTCTATGTTTTTATCTTCACTAATTGTGTATGTAAATTCTTTCAACATGGCGATTCACTATATCCCAGGATGCAATTCTTTATTTTTCAATGACGCAAGTATTTGAAATTGAAAGTAGGATCTGATCAATACCCACAAAATATTTACCAAACCGAAAGAGTATAAAAGTACCATCAACATCATTGAAATTGTTTTGTCAAATTGGTTTCATGGATAATTATTATTATCCTTACATCATATATTTTATGTTATGGAATTTATTTTTTTGTTGATGAAAGTTTCTGCAGATATTTTCAGGTTTGTTTGAGACATGTGGTCAGATGGGATCCATTAATTAGTAGTTTCATGTGGGAAACTATCCGAGACCAATCTATTTGATGTCTGAGGGTTTTTGATGTTTCCCTAATGGATCGGTAGTTTCTTTCCGATATCCTTTATCGTAGGATTTTCGGCTTTCCTCTACCAGGAAAACAGCTGGGCATTTAGCGGTATCGGTTTGGAATCCAAGTATGTCCTTACGGGTTTCCCGTTCGTTGCCATGTCATTGTGCGGCATACGGGGTGACCTTTTCTCTTATTTTGTATATATTTTGCACATTTATTTTATACTTTTTACATTTTGAGGATGAGAGAATCAAGTGAGTGGGTGTGTTGTAGTTCGTATGTTTTACTTCATTGTATTTATTCATGTTTTTGGGAATGTTAACTTTCTGGAAGCAAGTCCCGTCACGGCCAGGCTGGGGAACTAGGTAGGCAATGCTCACATTAAATCTGTGCCGATACAGTGTCCTCCTTTATACCTTAACTCATGGTGGTGCTCCTAGTGAAAGGGGCTTATACGTAGCATACATACATGACCTTTTAAAAGTTTCAAATATAAATCAACTCCACTATACACACTACTCCAATAGGTTATCAAATTATCTGTAAAGATTCAGGGATCTTGGCCTGCGCAAAAACTGTGTCAACGTATATTTGTTCCGCCTAACAGATGTTCCACTGGAAACTGTGTTATAAACAATGTCATAATATCTGTTCCTCAGTGTTGGAACAAATATTCTATACCATTTATTCCGTTAGGAACATAAACTGTAATATTTATTCCAGTAGAAATAATATTCCAGAATACCTTTTCCATTTGGAACTTATATTATGAAGGAACTTCTATTTCGTGACATGAGTAGATGACACGAAATTGTTACATTATCAAGTTTGAAATTTTGCTGATGATTCCCGAGTCTATAAAGTTCGGGAAAATTCCTCACCAATTTCTTAGTACGTGTCTTCGTGAACTTGGGGGCAACCTTTCCGTGAAGTTTCAAGGATCTGGGTTAAATTGTAAATTGTTGAAATATTAGAAAAAAAGGTAGAAGGGTAGACATTTCGTGGCAAAAATTTGGTTGATTAGATAGGGAATCACTGAAACATGACTGCAGCCTCTTATGGTAGTCAGTGCCGGCCGCCCCCACCCCACCCCCACTCCCTTATAAAAAGTTCTGGATCCGCCACTGGGTTCAACGTAAAATATGAGACATGAAGCCAGAATTTTAGCAAAAGTTTCCTTAAATTGCTATGAAAAACAACATTCATTCGGCCCATTGTTCATATGCATGACCTGGGACTATTATACTAACATATATTATGTCCCAGGTATGACAATTTAACAGAGATTCTGTGTGACATATTGGGAAAAAGGATGTTAAGAATGAATTTTAATAAAAATTAAAAAAAAAATGAAATAGCGCCGGTCAAAATATCTCTATAAAAAAATCCATTCGAGCGATTACTAGGAGATTTTTGAACTTCCTGTCATATTGAGATTATTATGAATTATTGTGTTATTGAAGCGTACATTTAAACATTTTGAAATCGTTGGACGTTATGTGACATTTTGGGAGAATATATGTGTTAGGCACGAATTTCATTAAAACTTGAAATAGGGCTAATAAATGAAATAAACCAAGACAGTAGATTGTAAATTTTTTTACTTCGGTCGATTTTTTCACACTGGCGTTATTAAAGCACATATTTTAGGTTTTACAAATGATTTATTTTTTCTTGTGAAGTATGGATCGCCGAACAATCTTAGATAAGTGCAATCTAATTAAAATATAGTTCTCTGATTTCGTTATATTCATCCTATATATACGAGCACGCGAGTTATTATAGATCAGAATTTTAATCAGATTGAAATAAGTGAAGACGCAAAGTTATCCCCTACAGAGCATATATTACTGTATCACTAACAAGATAACACTACACAGAATAGGTGACTTTAACAGTAATTTGAACAAGGAGAGATAATAAAGTTATTGGACAAAACAAGCTGTAATACTTTAAAGATGGGGGTGGATAAACACAATCAACCATTTATTTTGTTTCATTTGTCAACCTTAATGACCTTCTCTCCCTTTGATATTAGCTTCTGTTTGATAAATCATTGTTTCTTCAGAAAATTAAAATGGATAGATAAATGTCAATGTTTACTTAATTCAAATTGTAAAATTATGGCTCGCGACAGAATAAATAGTTGTAATGTGTAAACAGACGACACTCAGGAGCTTGAAAATTACTAGACATTTATTTAAAAATTGTATATATTAGTGCATATGTTATATAATTAATTGCATGAATAAATGGGGTGTACCGAGGGCGTTTTAAAGCAGAAAAGAAAGTGATAAATCGTTTCCCATTCGTTTTTCAATTATGACTGCATTGTTTGTACATGTTTCTGATTAATTGACCACTTTGTAACGTAACAATATCATGCATTGCCAAAATAGGAACAAACATAACGTTTTTGCCTAATCACTGTCGGTTTTTGTACGACTGAGAGGTTACAACAGTCAAGTAACCTTTGATGTATACAAACATAAAACGTCATTGTCTGTTTCTGTCCAACAATCTAACCGAATGAAAAATCACTGAATGCAAATTATAACAGTGCCATGTTAAAATCTCTTTTTCTAAAAAAAATTTTGTATTTTTTTAAAATTCAATTACTATTTCACTACTTTGTGTTATGTACCAACTTCTAACATGTAGTAACACGATAGTTCAAGGGCGTTTGATTAGGCTTAAATAATGAATAGAGAATGATGGCCTCAAAATTTGATAGTTTGAGAATTATCAAGTTTTAGAATATAAACTAAAGAATATTCTGTTAAAAATAAATACAGATTTAAGTTAATACAATTCTAGCAGGAAATAACATATATGTACATAATAAGGAAAATTTGTTGTAAACAAAAATCAAAATATAAAATTTCCTTATGAATAAGAGATTTATGATGACACAACAAACAATTAGGATGTCGTCCAAATTTTAAGTTTTCAGTGAAAAAAATATTATCTATAATTTGACCGGTCATTGTGATTTCTCAGCGAACTTGGTCAAGAAAAGCGCTACGAATTGCATGTCCCAATACGAAGGAATGTGAATAAAAGGAGATTTGGGTTATACGCCAATGTGACAGTATCCCAACGACACAAGTACTATAAAGGCATCTAGTTTGTCTTTGATGAATTTTCAGATTTTTCATATTTACAAATAAAAACATGTAATTCATATTATTATCATGGACGTAAAATATTGGTAAAAAAATAAATGAATAAGTACAGTGTAAGAAATTATTATTCAATCATACAATCAGACAAAACATGAAAAAAAATGTTGACAATGAGTTAAATTTAAATAGTCATCTTTGAAAATAATTTTCTAAGTCTACGTATTAATAAAATTTCCTCGCGTTTGTATCTATATTTTCAAATATTGTATTGGAAATTAGGTAAAAAGATAACTTATTCACAAGCATTATTAGTCTGGTATCTATGATGAGTTCTGATTTTTTTTTTTTGAAGAAAACGTGTTGAGATGGGGGGATGGACAGGGGGATACCCTTCTCCCACCTCCCGCCCCCTATCTCCCACCGCCCACTTTAAGAATCTTTTTTTTCTCTCCCACCTCCCGCCCCCTTCTCCCACCTCCCTCAAAAGCTGTCCACCCCCTCTGAGATTTCAAGTGGTAATCCAAAGCACATAAAATATGAATATGAAACGAAACCTAACGCTAGATTTTACTCTTTTATATAGTGAATATGCATCTTTAAAAAGCATACAAATAAATTTTGAATTCTGGGGATTTTATCAAAGCGGAACGGATTTAACAATATTACTATTGTAGCTGTAACAAGAAATGTATTTGCATAATTTCAACAATTTTCCATTTAATACTTATTTTCTTCTGAATAATAAGAGATATGTGAAATTGATGAATTTTTAGTTTTGAATATGTCCGGGAATGATAATACAGCACCTTACACGCCTTAGGTTTTATTAGAAAATGGAGGTTCATTAGGATTTTTATCAGTACGAAAAAGAAGCTAAATTGAGATTTAAATAGCATCTGCATCCGGAATTTTACTGTTATCAAATTTGGCCTAGTTTATACGATTAAGGAAATGACTTTGTATACTTGAGACATAAGTCTTTGTAAGCACCTTGATTTATTTCTCCTTTTGATTCTGATAAACAACAATATGATTTTCGAATTCATCACCTAGAGTTAGAAACAAACAAACTGTGTTCATATTACGTTTGGTCAAACTCCTCAGTGTTTGAGAAAGAAATTTGCACCAGAGAAATTGTGTTTTGACGCTTAGATTGAATTACTTCACATATCTACTTATAATAATCTTATCCTGAGCTTTACGATGCAAACATCATCATTACATCAATGCCTTGTTGTGCATATTTCATAGGTTAATTGCTAAAATACGTTTATTTGTATGTTTCTTGTAAAGTAACTAGTGTCAAGTATTTTGTCATCATCAAAGAGGGTGGTATGCTATGCACATACAGCTATGTCATTGATAGTCACAAACCCTTATGTTTAAAATAATTTACAATCACCGTGAATGAGAGCTTACAATTTGTATTTATTTGAATAAGCAACAATATTAGAGTTATGTGCCAAAATCACTGGAAACTACATCTCCCAATTAATATTTGTAAGGCAAAACAACGATAAACTGATGGTGACAACAGTGTCACTTGAGTAGGTG